TTTTTTTTCTAACTGCCAGTTGCTAGAGGGGGTGAGCAATCATTTAACTTTGCCTTTGTCCCTTTTGTAAAGCTTTCAGGAGAGCCAAACTCTTCAGCAAGCCACCAGTTAATTGAGCAATTACAAAGCGAGAAAACCGAACTTGAGAGTAGATTAGAACAGGTAAGCTGCACTGTATATTAGTTCATTTTCAGTTGATCGAATAAAGGAATAGTACAAACTAGATAATATTTTGATGCTTGAAATCACAACTTCTGCAAAATATTAAGATGTAGGATACCATCAACAGCAAAAAAAATTGTGGTGTTTACTGTACTGGAACCAAGAAAAATTGCTGTGAACCAGATATGGGGATGTTAATCTGACTATTGTATATTTTTTCCCTTGTCATCAAAGGTTAATAGTACTGTACAAAGAATTGCAACAGATAAAGGAGAACTCCTACAACAGCACGCAGAAGAAGTAGACCAGTATGAGAGAAAGTTAAGAGCCTTGACAGATGAGGTCAGTTCAGTTGCTTTGAAAACATTTACTTCACTCTTTATTTACCCCTAAATTTCGAAGAAGTGCTTTTATAGCAGACGTATTTACATGTAGGTTCTGGAGAGAGCATTTTCTAACCTAATGACGATTTTATCGGGAATTTGCACCACATTACCGCTCAAGAGTAAGTTAACATAACCACGAAACTTGATCCTCCTAAACGTCGCGGATCAAGGCCCAAGTCGAGTTTCGAGACGTTCGAGTCGAGTGTCCGGATGCTCATAACGAGTTTCGAGACACTCGAAAAGAGGAAACAAAGGAATTTTCGCGTGATTAATTTTTCACTGGACTTGAAGCTTCTTACCTTTAGTCGTATTCACGGGATGAAAATCCTAACAGCGTGCATCGTTGCCGGTCCGGCGAAACTTTTCCCGAACAAGTTGTGATAGTTTTGACAATAACCTCGTAAATTCTTATTTTTACTCTTCGTTGTCTCGCCTAATTATTGTTAATGTTTTGCCGCGTCGAAGAGCATCGCTGCCACTCGGCCATGTCAGACATTTCCTTTATTAACAAATCTCCCGTTTCTTCTCACTGCGCTCTTTGTTTGGTATTGGAAACTCTTGTCACCCTTTTAACAAGGCAGATGCAAAACCATCCCCATCCAGACTTGCTTTTCTGACTTTCTCGGTTTGCTGCCGTAGATACAACTTTGCTTTCAATAATATTGGCTACGTGTGAATTTTAACTCTGTTTTGATTGGCTCTTGTAATTGTTTTGGTTTTAGTTTCCCAGTATTCAATCGTAAATTTATCGAAAGCTTATTACCTAAAAGTATTAACTCTAATGATTTCAAGGCTGCACACTTTTCACGAATCAACGTTAAAGGGAAATGATGCCTTCAAAAAGGTTGGCCCTCGTCCTCCTTTAAATTTTGTGTGATCTAGTGTTATTAACGCCGCGGTCAAACGTCTGCGCATATACGAACGTTGTAATGACTAGGTGGCGCGCTTTCAGGCTGTCAGAATCAAGTTGTCTTGCACGAGTTACAAACAACTACACAAGCCAGTAAGTCACGGTGTTTTCAAAGCTTATAACCTTTTTGCCAAAGCCCAAAACAGACTTTTAAATCAACAGGATACCCGTACTTGAATAAGCTTTGTGTTTGAAAAGTCTCGAGTTTTCCTTTTCCCTGCTTTTGTTTCCTTTTACAGATATCGATGAAAATTTCAATTTACTTTCGCTTATTTAGCGAGACAGCGGTTATTTCTTACGTTTCCTTAGAAATTTGGCGCGGGAAATTGGCGCGCGGGCGCCCAAAATTTATGTACATGATCAATGTTTGACCGCTGTGTTGCTCTGCCTCAGCAGACACTGCAAGTGAACCGCAGACTGACTAACTGCAGGCGCTACTCCATTGTCTTCCCAGACAGACGGATGCTAACAAGTATGAACATGCGCATAACTTATGATAACTTTGCTTTTTTTATTTTTATTTTGAAGGTGGAGTCACATGACAGAGAAAAGAGGTTTTTGATTGCGAATGAGAGTGAACTTCAAGACACAGTGCAGAGTTTACAGAAGGAATTGGGTCAGTATGAGTGCAATGGGTGAAGTTCATTTACCTACATGTACACCGTTATTTTGAAAGAATTTCAAATCACATTCGCCTACAGTTCGTCCCTTAACGAATACTTCAAAAAATCTATTGTGTTCACAATTCAGTTTTAAACTTACGTTCATGTGCTCCCTCTTCTTGTTATACGCAGCTGATCTGCGAGACAAGGAAGCAAGTCTGCAAGTAGAATCAACTCAGCTTGCCGCAGCAGAGATTGAGAGATTAGCGGAGGATAAACAGAGGCTGGCTGAACACTTACAGCAAGAGGTACATGCATTGCCTCACTTTTTTAACCCAGTTTTTTTTTTCTTTTTTGCGCCATAGCAATTCCCTAATATTTTCTCATTATTCAGACTCATTAATGTCTCCGTTTTGTCATGCATCAACCTCACAAGGCGATACCCATTTCCAAGTCAAAACCATTTGTGTAATACTGATATTTCAAATGACTCATTTGTTACATTAACTTACACAGACCAACAGAATAAACTGACCTTATCGAGAGATTGAAGCTGACTACTCACAACCGAACTTCGCTGTAAATACAAATAACAGAACAGCAAAACTGACTAATCAGTTTCAACGAATCAGACTTCAAACAAATGAGTGACAACAACTTATAACTTGATCCTGGTAATGATTCCTGCTCAAGTTGGAGAAATGTCAGTTTGTCAGTCACAGTCTTTTTCGAGGGTTACGCCCACCCTAATAATAACTCTATGCGATCGATGACCTGTGTTTTCTTTTTCCATACAAATGTATGAATCTTCCACACTGTCTTATCTTCCTTACGTGCTGTTTTCATCAGATCTTTTAGCACATTATTACAAAGGTTTTTTTAGATGCATGCATTTCTATTTCTCTTTATAGGGTAAAGAAAATTCAAGACTCGTAAGGTAAGTGTTGTAATGCAATGTACCATCGTGCTGTATTTAAATGTCTCTGTGCATGAAGAGAACTTCAGGTCTTGACAGTGCATGAAATTCCTAACGGGGAGTAGCCTGGGGACTAGTCATCTTGCAAGGGTCGGAGGAACTTTTTTTTCGGAGGGGAGGGAAGGGGAGGGTGACCGCATGGTTTTCAGGGGGGTCAAAAGGAGACTGTCGTTTTACTCATAGAAGACATCTTGTTTCCACTGCGCTCCTCAACAGCAGTCGATCTTTCAAGTTCTATACGCATCACTGAAATGAGTTTTTCGCTTCCGTCTAATACGTTGCGGACTTCTTAAGGAAACATGTTCTATGACTTTTAGGGTTCAACAGATCATGCTTCGGAGTTGTTGGTGGCTCTCGGTCTTGAAGTTTGTCGGTCGTGGAAAAAGGCGCATTGAACATTGTTGATTTATTTATGCCTTCCTTAGGGAGCAGGAGAAATATCTACTGAGAATACAGGAGCTAGAGACAGCCGTAGCCCGCCTGGGTGAGGAGTCTATTGATAAAGCTACTCTCCTGGAAAGTGTTCAGAGTGACAAGGAGACTATCAGCAGGTCAGAAAACCTCATTTTTTTATTTCCCCTTTCACTCCCAAGATGTCCTTTCTGTCTGCCCTACAATTCTCATGATGTTAGTTCGGAGAATTTGGCATCGGATCAACTTATAATCCCCTATTTGATATTTCTCCGCATTCGTAGCACTTGTCTGCTTGAAATTCATTTTGTTAGTTTCTCAGCAAGAGAATAAGTGGCAGTAAATGGTCTAAAAAGCGGGCACTCGACACTAGCTAAACTATGTGAGAAAATCCAGTTTGAAATTGTTGATATTTACATCAGTACCTATGACTAATGATTAAGTTTATGAACCCCCTCCCTATTTAGGTGTAAATGCCTTGAGTGTCAAGTTCAAAATCGCGTTTTCTCGGATTACTTTTACCACAAATTTCATGCTGCAGCTATTTATTCGTGTTCTTTACAGAGCTTTGAAACAGAATAAAGATTTAAAGACCAAGACGGAAGAATTGGAAGAGAGATTTATAAAAATGGTATGTATTTTTATAATGCTCAACGTCATTAAAGAGTTCTTTTAACCTTTGGTTTCCTCATATCTTCTAAAATATGAACTAAATCCCCCATTCGTTTCGCCTTTTTCTACTTTTGTCACTCCATGGCAGCTTTTTCAACTAAATATATGCCGCCTGTCATGAGGATGTGATCATTTTTTCAAGTGGTAGTCTTTGCACAGCCTTTTTGCCTTTTGTCTCCCCTTTAACCCTTTAACTCCCATGAGTGACCAAGACTGAATTTCTCCTTACAATATCAATACAAAATGAAGCAGACAAGTGACGAGAATATAGAAAAATATCAATTAGGGGATTGTAAGTTGATCCAATACCAAATTCTCTAAACTAACATCAGAAGAACTGTATGACAGACGGTAATGAGTCTTGGGAGTTAAAGGGTTGCTTGGCAATCAAGTACACCAGAGCGCGCGGAGCATAAGCTGAACAAGCATAAAGGCGATCAGACTTGAACCTGAACTTGTATAAACTTGTTGGTTGACAGAGTCAAGAAAACATGGAGCTCACAACACGTTTGGAAACTGAGCAACATATGGCTAAGGAACTCGCAACAAAACTGAGCGATATGGGAGTTGAACTGGAAGAGTCCAAACAAATGGTGGGTGTCGTTAGGATCCAGTAGTAAGAGAAGGAAAGAGAATTAGCGAGACTATAGAGCTCTTTTTGTTTTGTGAGGCGAATGAACCGCTGTTTACGCAAGGCGCGGCCTGAATGAGACGCGAATGTTAATTTATGTAAATGGAATATTTTGACTTGTACAAGCTGCTGTTACGATCAGTGTTTCAGTACATGAGGAGATCTGTCCTTGGTAGACACTAGCGATATTGTGTGCATGTACTGAAAATGTTCAGAACACTATTAGAACAAACTATAGCCAGGAAAAAACATTATCTTTTAAAAAAAACTTGAGATTCGCCTACTTCACAAGTCGCTTATTGATTCCTCTGTTGTATGTAGCTCCTTGTGAGGAATTCTGAGGTTCAGTCACTTACAGCAGAACTGCAAACTGCTAACAACAACCTTAGAGAAGAGGTTAGTGAGTCTGTTCTATTATTTTGGCATTCTTTTTTAATGGTACAGCTCATCCGCCATTTCGTCTTCCTGAACAGGTAATCAAAGGAGAGAGTGTGATATCTTCACTCCGAGATGAACTTGATGTATCGTCACAAACGTTCCTTGATCAGGTTTGTAACGCTTTGCCACAATTCAAGAGTAACCTACCTATGTGAAAATTATCTTCAAGACTTCGACTACGGCCGCTGCCATTTTGAATCCTGCTTAGCAGCTTAGCAACCTGGCCCTTGTGACGTATTTTATGGCTGATTCCGTCTTTTTTCCATCTTTGGCGATCTACTTGAACAACGAGGAGCTACAACATTCTTTACACTGATAATTAGTTTTCGCGATAAACAGACAGCAGCTATTTGTGAATTGCACATCGTGGCTCCCACCTTTAAAATTGTCGAACATTGTGTGAGTGTTAACAAACCCTACTATTATGGAATCGTTTTTCTATGAATTTGGACCCGTTATGTGTTGCTAGAAATCGTTTCGTCAAACCTTTTAAAAGTACATTAAAGATTTACTAAAGATCTTAGTAGCCAGGCTAAGCCACGTACTGTTTGATACAAATTCTCGCGGTTTTTTTTCCTTGGACTTACGGTCTAAGGGGGAAGCAATGAGGAAGAATTCGTTCCGGAACGTACTCTACGGAATTCCAACACGATTGTTGAGAGCTTATCTTATTTTCTTTCTCAAGATGACTCACCACTTCATTTAACTGAACCTAATCAGTAACGGGAGTTTGTTGACGGTACAATCACAGCGATGATGAAACATCTTAAAAATATTGACCTTGATTACAAGATTATACGCTATCCTGAGCTGTGGTAATTTCTGTCAACTCCTGTGTTGTGTATTGCCGTTCCCCTCGGTTACACTTCCTCATGACGATGTGAGGCGGTCCCTTCTAGCAGAACTAACTTGATTTGATTTGGCTCGAGCCATTTCAAATACTTGACTTAAATCGCGTTCAAAGCAGAAATTTGTGCTCAGTGAATTATGTCATGTCATACCCATATGATTGTCCCTTAAGTGTTTACATCAATATTCACAGATCAAGCAGAAGGACTTTGAAATTTCCGCTATTCGTGGAGAAATCGATAGATCATCAGAACCACTCAGAGAACAGGTAACTCTCTTTTACTATAATATTCCTCTCACTCGTTGATCAGGTGAAATATTCTCATAACCCACACGGTTCAAGTTATAGAAACACTAAGAAAAGGAATAACTTGTAACTCTAGCTCGTAGCGGTAAAGGAGAAATAGTTTCGTTTGATGTGTGGAGCATTATAACAACGTTTGTTGCAAAATACTTAATTGGCGTTCTCCTTCTCAGTAACTTTATTTGGTATCTGAGTTCAAAAAGGATATAACATCTAGAGTGTGGTTTATCTGTGAGAAAATAATATTAGAGGTAACAAAGAATTGTTCCTTCTTGTAGCTGGCCAAAAAAGAGTTTGAATTGGCCACTCTCAAGGATGAGCTAAGCCAATCAGAGGCGAGGCTGACTGAACAGGTACGTCGTGTTACAGCACATTTTATGCCTCAAGGCATCTGAAATTAGTAACGTACGTAAAAAATAAATAAAAACTCAGTTTGCCTAGCCTATTGTTCAGGCGTCTTGTTTGGGAGAGTAAACGTTACAAGTTCGCGATCGTTTATTCGACCGGCCACGTTCGATTCAGAGTTAGAGTAAACGGTGGGGGAGGGGAAAGGCGAGAAGATTTCTACTGCCCCACCCCCTCCCCTATCCTTCCTTTTTAATGTTGATTACCTCTTTCACCACCCTGCCTTCCGTTGGTGTAAAAATCAAAGAAGGCAGCTATAATTTTCATCAAGAAAATACTGAGCAACTCGCTCGCCAAAATTACGCTTGCTCAGCAGGCTACAGTTTGCTTTGTATTAGGGTTTATGGTAGAAAAGTGAACTTTCCGAAAATTGTCTACGGCAGTTCATCTAGTTTGATCAACTTATAGTTGACAGTTCGACATAAAATCTGGTACCATCATCATATCTGGTTTATCTTGAAACTCACCGGTTTGTGTTTTCACTTCTAGTTCCTCTTGAATGAGGACAGTCAGACGTACAGGAATGAGGCTGAACTTACTAACAGTTTACGACAAGAACTGCAGTTAGCCCAGGTAACAGATCCACATAATGCTCTCGTTAATAAGCTTCTAAAACCAAGTGACTCAATAATATACTACCTTCAAGATCCGTGGAACGACCATTTTTTTTTCCAACTTTTCTACCAAAATTCGGTGAATAGTTTTTAAATTTTCGTCCAGTTTTGAGTTTGTATTGTTTATCCAGAGCAAAGGGAAGAAGTTGGATTGCATTGGTTAGTGTCCACACTGGCGTTCGGAAAGCTGTTGATAACAAGAAATTGGTCATTCGGTATTGCCCGTGTTGTCGGCTGCTTATGACACCGTGGATCATACGCTTTCGTTTCTACTAGTTCAGGATTATATCGAACGCTTTTTTACTGACTTATAATGTTATAGAGGGACTGGCACCGAGCGGGAAGGGAAGGTCAAGGGGTTTCCTGCAGTGGACGAGTATTACATCTAGAGGGAGTAGCTGTGCTCTTAGTCTTTCTATGCTCCTGAAACCCGGTGCAAATTAGCTCCGGAAGCTCTGCGAGTAAGTCTCTTATAGAGACTTTGCACTAAGATGATGATTACCTCCGTTTCCGTTTAGGAATCGATCAGGATATTAGCAACCGACAATTCTCAGCTGAAAGCAATGTTATCCAGTATAGAGAACCACAGCAGCATGGAACCATCACCAGGCGAGAGTAAGTTTACTTATAAATAAAAGGGGTAAGTTCCTAAAGAAACTGTGATGCTGCGTCGGCGGGAGAGTATAGCAGGGTAGTTTCGTGTTATCAACTGAGTTGAAAACGTAAATTGGTCACCGTAAAGAGTTCAAAGGCTGACGTTTCGAGCGTTAGCCCTTCGTCAGAGATAAGTTTGCTTATAACTTGGTATTGCGTCAAAAGCAATACGAATAACAGGAATGGCAACAAGATTACCAGTGATGATGATGGTGTTAGTCGAGGAGTGAGTTACTTAGATTAGAAGAAGTTTTCGGTTCTTCAAATCCTGGCAAATCGCACGGATTATTAGCCTGTAACGCTCAGAAGATATCAACATGCAATTTCTCTTTACTGTTTCAATTCATCATCCACCAAGCAGGTGGTAAGAATAGACAAACTTATCAGTGTAAGGGTGTTTTCTTGTATCGACATTAAATTCTCCTAACTGATTTACCAGGAAATATGAAATACCCAGAAGGGAGAATTAGAAAAAAGATATTGGTAATTAATGGAGTTACACTAATATATACGCAGGTTCAGATGACTCAGATGACCCAGCTGTGACTCACGCAGGTCACGTGTACAACGGAGATGCCGCCTTTAATATCAAGAAGCTTCCCCCTGAGGAGACCTCGATAAAAGCCACGAAGAATACTTTGGAGGAGTCATCACCATACATGAACGGAGACGTGAGCGAAGGAGAGAGCCCTCTGGACACGGACTCCAGTGAGGATATGAATATGGCACCTCACAACAGCTCCCCGCCCACGCCCCCTCCCCCACCATCCAAATACACCAGCAGAGAAGACATGGTGAGGATAAGGTGTAGTTTAAAGTGGACGAGTGAATGGGGAAGTAGTATGCAAGCGCCCACCCCCCGATTTGTTAATGAAATATTGAGTAGAGAGTAACGGGGTTAGTTCAGCAAACTCTCCTGTGATCCTCTCCCCACCCCTCTCCTCTCCTCCCTTTCCCCTCTCCTCTCCCCTCCTCCTCTATAAACTATTTGTGAAACCACTCAATTGACGTGGCTGTGAATTTGTCTTAATTACATCTTGCCCCCATTACAGCACCTTGCCAATAGTATTAGAGGGTCAATACCTTAAGTTGTGACAGAGGAGGGCAGCATTCTCACCAATTCCCACCATGGCAACCAAGCTACTGCCTGGCAACATAAAACTGCTGTGTGGAATAAATACTCAGCCAAAAAGAGGGAGGGAGGGCAACAAAGCAAATAAAGTAGGAAAGCAAATTTGCGAAATCATGTGGCATTGCCCCTGTAAACCTCCCAGCAAGACCTTCCTCCTTCCTCCCCCCTTATTCTTTCCAACCACCAACCTCGCATTGGTGAGACCGCTGTATTGACTCGGTTTTCACCTCTTTTAGGTTGATTCATTGTCTGCGTCCATCCGACAACTTGAGATGGAGCGAGACCAGCTGGCTGATATTTTACATCGAACGCAAGATCAACAGGAAGACGACATGATGAGATTACAACAACACTTGGAACTACAGCTCAAACAGCAGCTCCAACAACAATATAGACAGGTACGTAAGGTTTTACCCACGAGCTTTCTTCCTTTCGTAGCGTATTTCTTTGCGCGCGTCGGTGGAAATCAGTGAACAAAGATATTCCGGTGTCGCGTGTTGCTCACAGAGTCTGCGCCGACAGACTCTGCGCCATCTGTGTTGGGTAATTGTTGGGAGATTTTGATAAGAAGTTGCACGTTAGTTGCGTCTGGAGAGTAACTGGTGAAGCTAAAACTTTCCGTTTTTATTTCCTTCATTTTGCATTGTTATCTTTTTGCCTAAGTTTTATGAAGGGATTTTCCAACAAAATTTTTACCATGCATAATCTTAGAATCTCAAACGCTCCTTTTCTCGAAGGCGTTCTTGACCTACTAACCCAAACTGATGTGACCCAAGAAAAAGCCGCTTGCAATAGTATATCTAGAATGCCGTAATTATGTAGTTTAGTCATCATGCGTGACCGATATTGATCATCCCATAGCGTGACAATCACCTTATTTCTTGCAAGGTTTAGCGTGGCATTTCGGTACCTAGAGTGAACCAGCATGACGTAGTCTAAAATTATTTCTAAGTGCACACTGGAAAATTAATTTTTTGCTTGTTGTGTGACGAATCTTCTCATGTGACAGGTGCAAGAGCAGTTTCAGCAACAACTTCATGAGCAGCAGCAGAAGATTCAACTGCTGCAGGCTGTAGTTGAAAAACAGAAGGATCAGATCGAGAGGAAGGAAGAGCCAGAGCTACCCAACATTCCACTCGATCAGCTCAGTGATAAAGATATGTCACACGAAGCAATTAAGATGGCTTTCAGCAAATTGCAGGTAATGTGCCGATAAAATTATAAAGCTGATCGATACTCAAAGTGGAAAGACAAAAGAATTAAAAACGATTTAAACCTAGACGATGAATGAAGATGTTTTATCAGAAGTCATGGGAACTCAGACTTTTCCGTTGTTGAAAATTAGCAGATCCCAATTGTTACTTTTTCTTTATTACTGTTCCTGTTGCTTGTAAGACAACAACGAAATTTATTTTGTTTAAAGCATCCGCCACCTCGGAAAGAAACTGCGCTAAGAAGTTTCTATCGCTTGATGACAACAGCCCAATTTTTTTGCAGCACTGTCGACTTTTTCATCATCCTCCCGAGGACTTTAAAGAGAAAAAAAAACAAAATTAATCCTCCCTACTGCGGCATTTTCCTCCAATTTTAGTGAATATCCCTTTGTTTATTGTCCATGTCCTTGATGACTATTTATTCCAGGCGCGGTTCATGAAATTAATGAATGAAAAAGCGTCCCTCATAGAGAGAATTCAGGAACTTGAACATGTCACCATACAACTGTCCCACGAAACAGAGACTATCGGTGAGTACCTCCTATGAGTTCATTGAGAGAAGGGCCGGATGAAGAAGTTCTTGTGAATTTACTTTCTCTGGTGACGTTGGAGTAATTTTATTATGATTATCGTTGTTTGGTTTTGTGATACAACGGCAGACAGGGTGGTGAGGATGGAAGTTGCGCTTTTGTGTTGAAGCCCGAGTACTTGTAAGATTTCTATTTTACAGTGACAAGGCTGTGTACAATCTCAGGGGAATGCAATTGCTCAGCAAAATTCGTCCCAACCCATTGCCCATAATACTGCTCGTAGCTCTTAATTTTTCTCACCACGATGCAAAATACCACAAACTTAGCCGGTGAATGTGAAGAGCTAGTGCCCACTCCACCCTTTCTGTTCTATCGCGGTTTGCTTGTGCTTACTGGGGAACAATTTTAGTAAAGACGCAGCACTTTTTGCGCCAATTAAATGCAGAGCTTAAACGAGTCGAGAAAACGTCAACGTCTTAGGTCGTCATGTTTACGTGTAATTTTCCCACTGACTCCGTGGAGTATAAACCTTGATGTTGTGATGACTTTAATTTTGACTTTGCATTCCAAACTTCAACTAATACCTGACATGTTTCTTGGCTTTAATGTATGTAGGGGAGTACATCACTCTTTATCAAACCCAGAGGAATGCTCTGAAGTCTTATTACAAAGATCGAGAGAAAATCATTGCTCAGTTGTCAAGCGAAAAGGCCAACATGCAGGTCTGTGGTACATAAATAATGTTTCTAAGTTCTGAACTCGTACTGATATCATTTCATAGGCAGGCTCTTTTATTTTCATCAGCTGAATGGTTGAAACTACAGTATTGTGAAAACAGCTGAGAAATAGTTTATTCATCTATCCCGCTGACTCTAAATATAAGATGCGTCCTTTTACTGGAGGCATGTTTCTCTGCTTAGACATAGAAATCTTAAAATAAAAAGTGGCAGGGAAAATAAAACTTTTGCCTCAAGAGGTTGAATTTATTTCCTCACGCCGACAGAACGGGAAATTCATCCAACTTGTCAAGAGCTTTCGGGTGACGTCAGGGTGAACCTTATACCATCCTAAAGAAATCTTTCCACATTTTCCACAATTTTGATCTTATAAAAAATGTCAATCATTTGCGAGTTGGACGAAGAGAAATCCTGCGCCTCCTGTGAGGGTCTAGGATGTAAATTTTTATAGAGTGTGCAGATTTTCTTTGTCCTACATCCTTGAGAACTGTTATCAAAACATTCTTCTTCAGTCAACGGATGAGCTTCAGAGTGTGCGATCTTTCTTGCTCTAATTCCAATCTTGTCACTGCCCCCCCCTCCGGCCCCTTAGCACGGGTGACTTGAAGTTCTTAACAGTGCCTGCAAATTTCAGAGAAACTCTCCCTCAAACATTTTTCATCTGCTATCTCTTGTTGGATTTCAGGATAAGATGAACCAACTGCAAGAATTGGTCAAACGTATGCTGGAGGAAAGAAAAGAACTCAGAATTCAGCAACATCAGTTACAAAACGTTATAAACAGTCGGATGGTGGCGCACGAACATGAAGCTGTCATTTCTGGTACTCAACATGACGACGACGTTGTAGTACCGCGAGCGGAATTAAGCTTAGAAAGCGAAACGAACAGTCAAAGCTGGGACGACACTGATGTGTCGAAAAGTTCAAGCGTGGATGAGACAGAAAACGAACTTAATCTACTTCAAAATGAGGTGGAGTTAGATCAAAATGATGGAACTGCTCGTCAAATTCTACAGATTTTAGAACAGTTAGGACCTACAGAAGACGGTGCTCATAAAGGCGGGATGTCTCCTGACCTACTGAGTAGAGAATTCTTACCGTGTCGATCTTGCGGAGGACGCGTCCTTAGATTATAGTCTTAAAACAGAAATATTTTTAGCTCAAATCATAAATAATGGCTACAACAAGTAGGAACTGAGGTCGTGAGTAGACTGCGGAATATGTCAGGCCAACATAGGTAGGATATACAGGGTTTGCACGGATCATGAACGTCTGGAAGGTCGTGGAATTTCTCAGAATCATGTTCCAAACCTGGAAATTCTTGAAATTTGAGTGTGGGTCATGAAAAGTTAACGAAAATGACTAAAAAAGGAATTTTGTGATTGTTAAGGAAAATTGCATTCGTTACATGAACGTCTTCGCGATGTTCTGAAGCCAACTTCTCGATCGTAGGACATGGAAAAAGTTCGAGAAACAGTCCCTGGGAAAGTCATGGAATTTTATGATTCCTTAAGAATACGAGCCACGATAAAGTGAACTTGAGTAGAGGGTAGAAAACTAGGAACGAGTTAAAAGCTGTAATCTCTGGCTTATGAGATCTAATAACAGCCTCCGCAGATAACAATTAGTCATTATCGCATTTACCATCCGCGGCACAGTGCATCGTAGTCAGAACACTATTTTCTTAAATCTGATATGCACGATCTTCACAGGAAATATCGATATTGGACAAATTTTCTATTCATTGATGAATTCCACCTTTGTCTTAACACAGCCGCAAGTTTCTTTCACCTAATTTTGACTTTTCGAGAGCTGCAACAGGGTATTGTCGTAAATATGACTTGTCGAACATAATCGAGAAGCACTCTCTTATCCGATAAACCACTTAAAATTGTACAAGAATGCAAAGTTGAAAAATTCCATATAAATTCAACCAGATTTAGCAGTAGAAGTCAAATTTATTTATTGGGGAATTCATTTGATCATTAAAGCTTGCGTTTTACGTACAAGTAAATTCGTCGATACCGTTCATAAGCATGGGGTCCACGACGACGAGTCGGCGGTGAATAGCAATAGAATCTTAAGATCACCGGCTCAAATTTCTTAGATAATTGAGATAATTGAATATATTCATATTTATTCCATACTTTGAACCTTGCTGTCAATCCTGGTTGAAAAGGCGCCAGACAATGCCAGAGTGATCGCAAGAAATCAAGGCTAATTTCTTGTTTGTCTCTAATCAAAACAATACCTCAGTAAGCACTAGACAGAAATTGAATGCAGTACGAACTGCGCATGTTTTATACACTGGTAAACGCGTTATCTGGATCGCGAATTTTGGTTGAGGTATTCGACAGAAGCTGGACAAGACACGCAAGAATTATGAATTTATTTTTTGAGTTAGCACTCATCCAAAACATTTGAGCCTGTTTGAGGAGCATGGAGTAACGATATTCAGTGTTTGTTCTCAGTTAACAGTGTTTCCTTGATGACCAGATCTTTCTTTCCTAAATAGATTATCAAGGTACGAATTTTTTATACTGTAAAAGAAAGCAGGTCACTCGGGGGCATGTTCACTGTATTCCATTGGAAAGCAATGCGTATCTCTAAGATGTTCTTAAATCATGAATCAATTTAGCCTGGTGGTTAAAAATTAAATTATAATTTTATGGAGAACCAAATAAAGTAGTTTTAAACTTGTTCCATTTGTTCTGTTTTGAAGTGTTTTTTTGCTTGTTTCGCTTCCTTTTTTACGCATTTAGTTTACAATTATCGAGAACTCGTTCACAACGATATAAAAATACACAGTTTTCCGTATAGTGCTACGATAGAAATTAATTCTTGGTTAGCGATCTAATTTTATTCTTAAGCGCTCCCATAAATGACTTATCTCCTTCACAGCAGTTGTTTAGTTTCGTCTCGCTACGCTCTCTCTTCCCCACCAATACGCGCCGATTGAAGCAGTCATTGGTGAGAGAGAGCGTGAGTTGCGTAACGACGTCAACAACGGCTTGCCAAGGAGACTGGTAGAAGACGGGCTCTAAAAGACCTCACGCTAAGGGAGATGTCAAGGCATTTTGTGTGTGCTTGCGTACTTTGAATCAATTCAATGAACGAAGGAACGTTTGTTAGATCTTGATCACTTTCAAAAGGCGCCATATTCACCAATTAGCTCGAGAAAAGGTAAAAATTGCGAATGGAAAAACAAGTTACTACTTTTAACTGTGTTTTCATTATCATTAATTACGAATGTGATTGGATTCTAGAGCCTCTCCGTGTATAAAGTAAGGGAGGGTATCTCGAAAATTAAGACCCTTGGACCTAAGGCCTCGTGAACTAAGGCCTCGGAAACTTGTTGATGAGCTGTCTTTGACTCTAACGCTTAAAACCAACTGATCCTAACAAGGAGAGCTGACCTCAAGTACATTCCAGTTCACTAATACGCTAGGTTTTCAAGGACTTAGTTTTTTGTGGTCTTAGGTCTTAGTTCTCGAGACACCCAGATAAGGCGGAGCATCGAAACAAAACAACAAATGAAATGCATTGCTTTATATTTCCTGTACTTCTTCAAACTTTTTAAATACTTTTTCGTTTCCCCCGATACCAAGCCTTTTTCAATCACACGTTCATTTTTTATACTAGGTCTTTATTTCATAATTATAATTTTTTTTCTCGTTCAGTTTTACCTTGTCTAAGCATTCACTCTATCACTTCACAGTCACTTGTCGATGTCCTGATCTGTTTGATCAATTTTGCTTCTCCTAATTTTTTCCCTGTAAGTATCAAGTTTGATTTTTTTATGATTTGCGTTCTTCAGGCAAGTTCCTCGATTTCTGAGATCAACGTAATTTAATCTTCCTGTTCCTTTCTTGCTTCTTCCTCATAACCGCATTATGAAACTTCATTCGCCGCATCTTGTCAACCAAACGTACTTCGTATCGCAGAAAACTCTTTGAACAATGAAGTTTAACATGATAAAGCAGAGAGGTCCAAAATAAATGCAGGAATCATAAACTATTCTTTCCTCATTCACCAACAGGAATTTTCAGGTTTTCCGTCTGTTTGTTTGGCTACGGTTATTTGCATGTCTGTGTGCCTTTTGTTTGTCATGGTTCAGCGGTTTCTGCGTGACACTTGATGTTAACCAGTCTGACCGGTCCACAACAACACGTCACCATCATGGAGCCTGCTTCTGTCGCAAGACCCAGATTTTGTAGTAGGATGACTAATCACATTGCCCGCATCCTTTCCTTCTACAATTATTTTTCAATATTTTGCAAAATTTCACGGATGTGTTGACAAAGGCTATCACGCTTCCATTTTGCTATGAATTGTTTTCCAGCTTTATTTATTTCGCTTTTATTCCTCAGTCTTATTAGGCGGTGAGTAGTCTTGTAGCTTGTGTAAATTACACGTTGTTTGAGAAAGAGGACTTTGACTCGACCGTTGCCTTTGATTTATTTCGTAGACTTCAAGCCCCGAGTGGGAGCGAGAGAGCGTCAAGTATTCCTGTACAACTAAAACTGGAATTATCACTTTCATCCAAATTGGAACTTTCCAAAATAGTAAGTATTTGTGTGTTGCTTGGAACGACTGTGAAACAATGTCGCTCTAATTAAGGCCTACATTTGACTGTTAACCTTTAGCTTGTGATATATTAGGGCGTTGAATTGATTGATTTACAAGATTTAAAAGTACTATAGAACATTCTTTGCGTGTGACTTTCAAAAAGAGAAGGATAATCTTTCTCATAGAAAAGTTAGTAAGCCAGTTACACATTTTAGTTTTGTCTCCATGACAGGTGATAGTAGTACGTTTGTGTTTTGATTTAGTTCCTGTGTGATGGATCGTTGAATGTTCTGAGTTTCGTTCTATTTCAATGACTCCTAAATTAATGTACGAGGAAAGAAAATTTTTGCGAGGTTTGGGCAGTCGTTAGTAAAGTACGTCTTCCTTACGATGTGAGTTCTCAAAACTCGACACACAAGCTATTTACATATATCTTCTTTTCATTTGTTTTCATTCATTATTCCCAAAACTTTCGGAAGATCTTAAAGTAGAGAAAACTATACTCTTATGACCTGCTACTCAACCGAATTCTAAATAATTTTATTTTTTCCTTCTATAATCATATTTGCCGTAGTATGATATTGCATTTTAGGTTTTATAACGTATATAATGTTTTTAAGTTTTAATTTCGCAAGACCATTTTGAAAGATCACCACATGTGAAGAGTCACCTAAGTAACTTATGTGTAAGAAAGCTATGAGGTCTTGATACACCTGCCTCAAATGTAACATTCTTAAATTGCAAATTTTTGAATCAGCTCTCATGTTAAAATTATTGGTAGAGAGCAAATGGTCAAAAATGACATACAAAATACATGTAGGAACATGGGGTAAAATAGACAATCTTTGTGCGAGAATCCTACTTTAAAAAATACTTTCTAGAGGCCTACTTAGAGAGTAGACATCTAGAAATTGTCTGTGGGTGCTCTGCTGGAATATTTCTGGCTCCTTCATTTACGGAAACAAAATGTTGCCTAGAATATACATGTACACATATCTTGCATGTCTCCTTTTGCTGCTGTTGTTTAACCTTATCACATGAGATATTTTCACTTCAAGACCAAACAATGGCCATAGAGGAGACTAGTACAGCATTAGAATGACTTAACAACTTGACAACCAAGACCACAATTTTTTCAGCATCATCCACCCACTTAAAACTTTAAGAGAACCTTGCTCCAGCTTAATTAAACACAGCTGACAGTTGAGATGAATGGATAACTGTATACGAAGTTTGTTGTAGCTCAAATTTTACCTTGGTTTAAAGTTTTTTAATGGAAACAAAGGAATATTTAAGTCCCAAGAAATTAGTCTTTTATTTGATTTTTTATTTGCCTCAGATAATTCATCCACCTAGTCTGACTGGGCTGGATGGCTTAACTTGATAATCTTTAACCTGAATCTCCATAGAATGAATGAAAAAAGTTTAAAGAATCTTTTTAACTCAAAACTTTCATTACTACTCGTCCTTGTTGGCATAGTCATAGAACATTCTTGAAAAACTCAAATAATTTTTGCTGTCTTGAAATTTAATACTCAAAGACATCTCCCTCCCTTCTGTTTTCACTCTCTCTTTTCTGAATTCTTAAACACTCAATATGGCTCAAGTTTTTAGCATAAGTATTATGAAATCAAGAATGGGGAGAATTTTTTGAGGATTTCACAGTCTACGCACATGTTCATGGATATTTATCTCAAGTTTAATCCCTACAAAAAAAGGAAGATTGGTCTCAAAAAATAGACTCAATGCATTTGGCAGTACACGTATATAAAATGAAGGACAAATTTAGAAAGGAGATACCAATATTTTGATAAAAGTTTACTTTAAACTTGATATTGTTAAAATTTTTAATATCCTGTGGCTTTTCACCATATGCAAGTTTGTTTGTTTACCAACTAATGGAGTTTTTCCTAAGTGTTTGCTTATTTTGTCAAACCTGTTTTGTTATTCTCACCCACATGAACTAAACCTGATTTTAATAATTTACTCTAAATGGTTTTGACATGTGCTCACACCTGTTACCTGTTCAAGTGTCAATACTTTTAGCACTTGTTTGCCTGGAAAAAGAGAATCCAAAATATTTTAACAAAAGGGTATGAATTTTGGCCAGATTACCTGATATTTCTGACAAATTAATCAAAACAATTTGCATATTTTTGTGTCAGATTCTAGATTTTTACATTTCTAAGAGTCTTTTTGGCCCTGAAGAAATTTAGTGTTAAAGTACAGTTGGATAAAACTGAAAATTGCTTGATATGTATCTTCTTCCCATCAAGTGGCTCTTGATTCCTTAAAGCTTAATACATTATAGATAGATCACTTTTTTACTTTTACTATTGCAACTAAAATTATACTTATGATACAAATGGCATGTTAACAGAGAAAGAAGCAGCAACAAAAATTTAGGGGTATCTCTTTAGGTATAGAAGTACCTGTACTTTAGCAGTGGGCACTAAACTGCATCACCACAGTTGTGACTCGGTTCTTGACAGTATTAGCTCTAAATTTTCAGATAAATGGAAGATGTTCAAGATGTTATTTTTTATTACTATCTTCTGGGAGTAAAGAGATACACCACATCATAGTTTTTCATTATGTTTATCTTCAATTACCTTTCTTTCAGGATGATGTTAAACAGTCTGAATCATCCAAGGATACACCAGTTCTACTGCAACAATCATCATCAGCTTTGCCTTCTTCCTCATTACACCTCGAAGAGCTTCTTACTCCAAAGGTGGCTCCTGCCACTCCAAGCTATGATACAGAGTCTACTGCAACCACAATCATTGGTAGTACCATTGCATTTAATCCACAGGCAAATGGTCATGTGTCATCATCTGTGATCCTTATTCCTCCCAGTAATTCTGGTCAGGTTCAGGCATCAGACCCCATGGTTGGTGTTGAGGAAAGAAGTCAGTTTGAGCCTTTCCCTACAAAAGAACCAGAAGTTTTGATATCAGTTCTGGACATTGCGTGAGTTGATTTTACTATATATTTTGTGCCCTACATAAAACAGTTTTTTCTTCTTTTTCTGCTACTTGATAAGGCTGAAATAAAAATGATTTCATCAGTATTGTGCAGTATTGTCTTTTGTTCTTCTTTAGACAGTGTTGTAGAACTGTATATTAATACATTAAGATGCATGTGTGTGGCTGTTTAGAAACTAGATACCTTTAAACTGTTAGAGAAGCCTTAATAGTGAGGTCATTGTGCTTACCTTTATAAAATGGACTGTTCTCTAAAATGGACACTTTGCTCTGTCTTTTCAGTGTTCAAGACAACAGCAAAGTTAAACTCTTTTCTGAATTTCTTATTGAACCTGAGGTAGTAAGGTCATAGTAGCCAATTTTTTTGCGGATTGTTTTCTTTTGGGAATTTATTTTGGGAGATTTAGGACAATCCGTTCTAGCTTACAAGCTAGACTGCAAAATCTCTACGCCAGATGGTTAAATTAATAGTTTTTGACTCAGGCAATTTTGCAATTTTGTAGCCCTCCAACTCCAATTAGTAACACACCAGTTCCCACTCCACCTACTCCAGCTACAGTTGCAAAGGAAGATGAAGACAGCATTACAGCTGATTTAAATCAGGCAGAGGAAGAAAATAAACCAAAGGAAGATGAGATGCCATCATTTGATGAATTCAAAAGGAGAGTTTTGCAAGAAGAAGAAGAAAAGAGCAAACAACAGACTGCCCAGAATACTAGTGGAACTGCACACAAACCCAAACCCAAAAAGGTAAAGGAGAGAAAACAGAGCAACTATGCATCTGTGGATTGTGGCGCCAAGATTCTGGATCACAATAAGGAGGCTTCTAATGCTGACAGTGTTTTAGTGGAGAACAAGGACTTGTATATGTTAAATCCATGCAGTGCTAAAGTGTGGTTTGTTGTTGAGCTTTGCGATGTAGCTCATGTTAAGAGCATTCAGATTGCCAACTTTGAACTGTTCTCTTCAACGCCAGAAAGCTTTCGGGTTTACGTCAGCACAAGGTATCCAACAAGAGAATGGACAATGCTTGGAACCTTTGAGGCTCGCGAAGAACGATCAATACAAACATTTCCTTTAGATGAACCAATTTATGCCAAGTACCTTAAGGTAAAGTGTGTACTATTTACATTTATATTATGTGTACCATTTATATTTATATTATATTAAGTATTAAGTGATGACACATATGAATCAAATCAGACTCAGTAGACAAAAAAGTTACTAGAAGTCCAACAGTCACTTTATCCAAATTTTAATGATTGCTTCACTTTCAAGCACAGATTGAAATGTTGAGTCACTTTGTTTCAGAGCATTGGTCAGTAATGAAAGAAGTTGCTGGTAGCACAAAAGTCACTTTATCCGAGTTGTAATGATTTCTTCACCTGTACAGGTTGAGATGTTGAGTCACTTTGGTTCAGAACACTACTGTCCACTTAGTCTTCTGCGTGTTCATGGCAGTAGCATGATGGAAGAGCTTGAAGATCATGAGATTGGGGGACAAGATGACAGTGAGAACTCAGAGAGTGAACAAGATATTCCAGTCTTGCCTCCTGAACCCGGGTCAAAGGCTCAAGATGAACCCAAAGAGCCAAACTTTCTTGAGCGCGCTGCTGATACTGTTATGAATATTGTCAAGAAAATTGCTGGAAAGGAGGATGAAAATAGAAATGGTAGTGAAAAAGGAGAGCAGTATGATCATCCCTTAGAATCTGTTACCAGTGGTGGGACAGCTTCCAGTGAGATTGAATCCAAACATAAACATAAAATTGTTACTCTTGTTGGTCATGAAGAACTTGAAGAAAACCAAGTGGAAAACAAGACTAATGATGGCAGCAATACTCTGGTAAAAGAACATCATGAAGACAAGAGGACTTCTCATACACAAGAACAAAAACCATTATCTGTTAACAGTAGCAGTCAAAAGACCTCACTGTGCGAGGATACGGAAAGTGATTCTAAATCAAAAACAACGTGTACAGCTTTGACTCCTTGTCAGTCGTTTGCCCAAGTGATTGGCCAATATTGTTTAGGATGTTTCATGGGACAATTGTTGTTCTCCAAGAGTGGATATGAGAAGTCTACATTCCTAGTGAATGCTGTAAAGGATAAAAGAACTAATCTAAGTCCCATTCAGAAATCAAAATCTGATGAGAAAGATGATGATTCCTCTGAAAGCCAACAAGAAGGAGAACAAGGAGAATGGGACAAACTGGTGATACAGGACAACAGCAAAGAAAAGAAATCTGTAAGTGAAAGTATCATGCAGCAGAATGCCCCATCTGAAGAAAAAAGTCCACAATTATCTGTCAACATTCCCAGCTCATCCCCCAGCAATTTGGATGGAAAAAGTGGAGTTACTGTTTCTAGTCTGTTAAATGTTGAAGATACTGTCTCTGTCTCCTCCAAAATTGTAAAACCTAGTTACTCAGGGAGCCCTTTGGATGTGAAAGGTGAAATATCCGACATCAAAACACCTTCATTGGGGAAAATTTCAGTTGTTTCCGAAGCACCTTTGAATTCTGTGCAGTCATCATCTTCTTCCTCTGTGACACTTCAAAGTTTAGAGTTACCTGTCATTAAAGAACCCGAAGGCAGTAACAGTCTAGAACCAGTAGATGGTAATAATGTACAGGAACCAACCACTCATGGAAGTTTGTCATCAGTTAGTCTGTCATCTACCCATGACAGGGAGCCTACCTTGTTAGTACTGAAGAATAGGTTTAAAGAAGTCCCAGAATCTTCTCAGTCAGATGTGAACCCTTTTCTTAAAGCTGAAGAGAAGAAGGAGCCTGATACACCAGATGAATTAAGGGGAAATAAAGACAATGAAGTCAGTGCAACACCAACAGAATGTAAATCTCTAAATTCTCTACACACTGTGCCATTTTCGTCTCCAGATATTGATGTCTTGGAGACAAAACTCACTGATAAAGAAGGGCGAGAAGGAACTGCTCAGCTGCCTGAAGAAACTCAGGCTGAGATAGACAACCTTTTACCAAATGAGAAAAGTGAATCAAAAGATAAAGAAGGGCAGGTGACTGATTTTTCAAATAAGATTGTAGAACCTGAAGAGTCAGGAGACAAAGGGATTCTTCCTAACATGGAAAGCCAGGATAGAGCTGGTATTGGTGAAAGCACAATATCAATTACAGTGGGGGAGTCCCAAAGTGTCAGTCCAACAGTTCAGCCTGGTGCTGGGTCTATAACTGACCCTGGTGACCAGTCTGAGTCTGTTCTTCCATTGCCAGCTCCCCCCATAGCTAGTGCAAGTAGCCATGAATTTATTGCTGCAGCTTCATCAGACACCAATCTGGATGCCGCTATGCTTAGTAAAACACAACACCAAGCATCAGGCTCATCAGCTGGTGTGGCATCAGCAGTTGGTTCTGGAGTACATAAGGAGTCGATTTTTGTGCGACTTAGCAACAAGATCAAGGCCTTAGAGCAGAACCTCAACATGAGCACTCTTTACATGGAACAGCTAAATCAGAGGTGAGTCTATCATGCAAGGAAGTATTGAGGGAACAGGGTTGGTATTGGTCTTAAAAATGTAGGTTGTTTTTTTTCAGTTTTGGAGAGGTTTTGTCATGCATAGACTGAAGAGTCCTGGAAAGTGCTGGCAAGTCTCAGAAAGAGTTAGTTCTTGTTGGAAAGCCCTATAGGGAAAAACAAAGACTAACATCTGGAGTTGGTGTTAAGCTATGATATCATTACATTTTAAAGTCATGAAATAAATATATTAGAGTCCTGGAAAAGTCCTTGAAGACATTTTCATAAAAGATGTTCAAACTTTTGGGAATGAGGTTGAGAGGTTGTGAGTTGTGGAAAAACTTGTGAACTACACCCCCTCCCCTCCCCCCCCCTTTACCCCCCCCCCCCCCCATTCCCTCTGTCTGTAGAGGTTATTTTTATTGGACCTTACTGCAATCATACAATGTGCAGTGAGGAAATTTGGATTGTGTGTTTGGTCTTTGATGTGTATTGTTTTTTTCATTTCATATCTTTTACGTAGTGTTCGTTGTTCCTTAATAGAAAACATTTCAGAATGAAATAAACACAGCACAGTTAAAATGTCATCTTGATGTCAATTTTAATTTTTTAAAAAAAACATATATATGAAATAAGGATTTGTTAAATAGTTGTATGGGAATGAAGTAGTAACCATGCATAAACAGTTCTACATATAGGGTGTTTAAAACAGCAGAGTCAACTAAAATTACCTGCGCTGTAATGTAGTACAAGTGCATGTAGTTGAGTAGTACTGTTGCCCAATACTGTCCAATTGTTTACAACATCTTAAAGACCAGACAGTCTAACTTTCCCTGAAACTTTCTCTCAGGAGTGAGAAGTGTGTAGTGTATACTAAAACTTTTACTTGAATCACTTGTGAGGATATCAACATCATTGTTAGATTATGCTGGTATGTTTCCACTAACTTTACATGCTAAATATGAGGTGGGTTAGCTGCAAATAGTGGGTTGACTTAAATATAAGTACACCGTATGCAGTGTACATTAAACTGTCAAGTATTTAAGCCTTGGAAGGTAACATTTTCTTTTTTTTCTATTGAGTTACTCTGTTTTATTCACAAGCCTTTTTTCTGAACACAGGTACCGGAAATCACTGGATGATCTTCAAAAAAGCTCGGACAAAAAAGTTGCCTTGTTGACAAATGCCACAAAGAAAGCAGAAACTGTGGTATGTATACTTATGAAAATTATGAGTTGATTTTTAAATTCTGGGAAATGGTGTGCCCTATTGCTTAGCACACTTCAAAATTTAGGATACAAGATACATTTCTTTCATGATTTTCTCTCCCCCCAGTAATATAAATCTTCTAAGACATTTTGGTGTGTAGTATCGCTGAGTATTTTATGAGTTGTGCCTATAGGGAGAGTAAAATACAACAAAGAGTAAAAATAACAAGCACTACTACACACCAAAATGTCTAATAAGCTGTTTATTATCCAACTGCTTTTTTTTCTGCTAAGTGATTATGCTCATTTTTTATATGTTGGGAAAAACAAAGTGGATAGAGAAGCATAGCAAACACAACCGACTGTTTAAACAGATTTTTTTTTACAGTACGATATCACAGGATATCTGTACTCTATTGGCACAATATTTTTTACTCTACTTTGTGCAGTTGGATACTACTGTGTGTATATGTAACTGTCATGAAAGTTGGACAAAATGTCTACCTGCAATGGACTATTTTTCCACCCTAAGGGGGGGATGTCAAAACAGTTCTAGTCACCTTATCCTTCACAAACTGTAGTAATGGCCACTGTGTGTGCCACTGGATGGAGAGCAGCCTCAACCATTTTTCATGTGGTAAAAAGAAGAAACTGTGGTCTGTCTACAGATGAAAATTATCAGTTAAATTTTCCAGTTGTATGGGTAACTTTTTTTTTTGGGGGGGGGGGGGGACTTTACTGCTCTGGTTTAACCAACAGTCCAGCACATATCTGTGTATTTTAAGGTTGTTTAATGCTATAGTTCATGCATCACTTTGTTGATTAACCCTTTAACTCCCAAGATCTGATTATTAATTTTCCCCTCCACATTTTGTTACACAATTCCTGGCGAATAAGTTAGGCGAATTTGGTATTAAATCAAGATATCAACTTCAACCTGATAAGTTTGGGTATTCTCTTTTTCCCTTTGCTTGATAATGTACAGATATTATAGAGAGAAGTTTCATGTTAATCACTTCCAGGAGTTAAAGGGTTAAGTAAATTTTACTTACAGATTAACAACCAAAAGGAACAAATTGCCAAACTGCAGTCTGAGCTCGGCAATCTTACCAGTATGATGGTGGAAATGAAGGCTCGCATGGATCCTCTAAACAAGGAAGTTATGGAGAGGCATGTGATTGGTCTGTGTATAGAGATTGCTTTGATCTTGTTATTGTTTTTGGTGTTTACTAAGAGGAACAACAATAATAACAGCAACAACATTCCTGAGGCCCGAGGGGAATCTGGCCACTTCGTGAATGGCAAGGGCCCCCCTAGGTTTGCAATTGAAGATGATCATAACAAGACCAGTACAATCCACCCAACAGGCAAGTTAGATGTACATTATAGATGTATTTGATACTGAAGAATACACAGTTTACAATTACAGGGGCATAGACTTAATCAATCTTTATTTTGTACCAAATTAAACATAAGAATCTCACCCTTTGGAATAATTGTTGTGTGGTGCCATCCTTCTTGTGAATCAAAATAGATAAAAGTACGAAGATGGGTTGTAAAATTTATCTGGCATATTCATGATTGGTTGTTCTTCGTCAATTGACGGATAGGAATTTTTTTTTGTTTTTAAGCAGGGGTGGGAGGGGGGGTGGGGGGGACTGTAGAGCCTTGGAGAAAAATATTATAACCAAGTACAGTAGGAACTCATTTAAATGAAGCTTAGATAAAACATCCTCTCTGGTGTAAGGAAAGGGGCTTTACCACAACAAAACCTTTGGAAGATTATTTACTGTACCTCCACTGAATAGATTGGAGTTTCTTGGTATATTGGATTTGTTTAGTGACATTTGTTTACCTATGAAAAAACAGGTTTTATATTAAGAGTTCATTAGAATGTTTAGATAACTTTTTGGTCATTTTTTATTTTTTTTAGCCTGTCTCAGTGGAAGAGAGCAGCTCCTTCGTAGTTTTGGAAAACCCTCAGAACCGGAGTCTGTTGGTTCTAGTAATATTGCAGATGGTCATGAGAACAAACTAAACAAGGTCAGATAAAACTCATATCGTCAGTGGGGAGAAATTCCAAAGTTTGCCACAAAATGCACATTAACCCATCAGTTGCTACATCACAGCTAATGCATCTTGAAAAATTTACCTCTAATTTTTTAATTTTTTTTTTATTATTTTCTGTCTGTCTTAATCTTCTTTACCATTGATCATTCCAGTTCATTCAAAGTGTTTTTTGTTTGTTTGATTGTTTGGTTGTTTTGTTTTATTTTATTTTACCATACTTGTATTTGTGGTCTTTCTGTTATTCAGGTGCAGATAATTTTTGACGCTAGAGCAATTACTCAAACGCGAAGTCAAGATGATTTATGCAAATTAGTATTGAGATTTTAAGTATTAAACCGAGGGAAAAATTTTGTCCTTGCAGGCAGAACCGTTCAATTCTAATGACAGTAAGAAGAGACGTAACCGCAAACGCAAAGTATCCAGTCCCGAGCCTCCCTCAGACAGTACTTCTTGTGCTGACACGCCTAGTCCTGGTAGTTTTCTCAGTCGAACCGCTGGCTTACTCTTCTCGAGTGCTCGTGGACTCTTTGGTAGTTTTCACAATCCATGGAAATTGAAGAAGCCATCGACTGTGCATAGCGATCCTATCCTCTCTACAAGATCGGGAGACTGCCTCGTTGGTGAAACGGAAAGACTGAGGCATCCTGTGCTATTAAGAGCTAGGAGTCTAGACTCAGTTCCAGAGGAGACACCTTCACAAAGACTTGCACCTCCGCCCACACCACCCCCTCTCCCACCGGAGTTTGGGGTCGTGTTTAAGCGCCCCCCTGATTGTTATTACTCCAAGAAGACCGGTGTTAGGAACATAACCCCTGGCCCGCTAAAATATGGAAAATATGGCGTCTTAGATTCCCAGCTGGCGTAACTTGGGCCCCTCGAAGACCACACCCATTCTTCAACTTATTTCGGCAGCACGTTTCACTGGCGAAGTTGAGGAATGTGATTGGTTTTCGAGGGATTTCCGACAGAGAGAAACGAAGAAAAGGAGAAAAATGTCATGGGGTGACCCTTCTTAAGCAGCCTTAGAAATTTTACTCAACTTGGAATGAAGGAATCGATTATCGGAAGCTGAAGCTTAAAAGAACTTTCTCTTATCAGCCTTAAAAGGTGGATAGAAATCTTATATTTTTGCTGAAATGCGTATAAGGCTTGGTAGACTAGCTACCAATTGAGTAAAATTGTATTCAGTGGGCCATTTTCATAGACCTAAGAACTCAGTAATATTGGGGGGTTCGTTTAGACCAAATATATCTCTGAAATGCTGCGTGTAAATGTTCTTTCTAGGAAAGCATTATTCAAATGGTAAAGTCAGTTTTTGCAGCAAAATGAATTTGTATATGTAAACCAAAATGTGTAATAGGTAATACAAAAAGTAAATGCCGCAACTGGTATCAAGAAGTAATATATATTTTCATATTTTAGACAGAATTGGTACAAGTTAAGATAATATTAAATTAGTTGGAAAAATAAAAGAGGCTCGTGGTTTCATTTGGATTTGTGTTGGTGTGTAGTCAAGTTTGCATTCCTAACAGTTTTGATTCCTTGTTCTCCTACTCATGAAAATTGGATTTGTACCCTGTTTTAACTTTTGGTTTTGGAAGTACTTTGTTCTGCTTCTTAATTGCGATGTAAATTTTCGGTGAAGTGGTGCACTGTCTTCATCATACATAGACTTATAAATGTAAAATGTAGATTTCCAACGTTTATCATAACACTGGCTTGTAATTGTGCTTCCATCCTTCGCCGAGAGACTCCTTCAGACGACGGAATGCAAATAGCGAGAAATGCGATACGGGAAAAAGTCGTTCCTTCCAACAACCACTTTTCTAAAATGCCTTCCTCGAAAAGTGTCTATCCGTTGACATTTTTAAGTTCAAGTCTAAACTTCACTCTTTTTTATAACTGTAGATTTTAATTCCTATTCTATGGTGGCGAATTGTTTAAAATCCGTCCTAAGGAGCAGTTTTGAAATTAACTTAAAATCACACGGACTTATGGCCTCTGCACGAAAGCCAAACGATTGGTTTAAACTCGAAACATCTGTAAATTTTAGCTGTTTTGAGGTACAAGGTATTTCGCCATCTGACATCTGACATCTGGAAATATTGGTCCGCACCTCGTGCAAACATGAAACCGTTTCCATGCTGACTCTGTATTAGATCGTAGAACACCTGATGTGCTAAAAAAAAAAAACCAAACCCGTCTTTGATGTGTTTACATTCGTTGAGGTACTGGACAAAGAGAAAAAGTCTGAGGTTATGGTTTTAGACAAAACCTTTCAGTTTTTCTCCTTGTCTAATAAAGTCTTAAACATGTCTTTAAATTAATACTTTTTCGTGTAGCAAAGAAAGACTCGGTCCAACTTTTTGGGATGCCGAACGTAAAGATTATAGACTCAGATGTGATCACGTATTGATGTCTTGGTTCCTGCCTTCCCATGCTTGGAATCTTACAGGTTTGGCTCTGAGATATCGGCAATATTTCAGCTGGTCCATAACGTTCACAGAGGGATCAATTAAGGGGACTGTCTTGGACGAGTGTTTGCTATGAAACTTAGGAACGCAGCCATCTCGTATTGGTGGAAGAATCATAGATTGTATGGTTTGATTCTCGGGTAACAAATGCCAAAGTTTTTTCGTCACTTCATCTGGTGAGCTTCGCGCACTGTTAACGATACGTGTACCAGCTTCGTCCCTGTTTCCAAATGGTTCACTTCGTCTCCGTAGCCATAACATGTCAAAATACTCTTGTGAGTTTAAAGGTGGCTTTTCGAGGAATTCTTTCACTTTTTGCGTCAGTTCTTTGTCTTGATTGTGGTACAAAGAAGGGATGTATCTTCGCTTTAAGTTCGGTAAACCCGAACTATATGCGTTTCGTGTCAACTTGGAACTTTTCACCGTCGATGCAGCGGATGACAGATGTTCGTTTCTATATTGAAAATTGTAAACTGGCGATGAATTTTGTTTGTTCTCGGGTAACCGCTGGTAATCGGCCATATTTAGTTCAGAAAAACTCTCTTTACTGGTCCTTGGTTTTTGATTCATCAAACATTTTAAAAGTAAAATCAGGGCGGTTTTCAACTTTTTTTCCGATGTAATAAAACAGGCCAAGTCCAAATACCATTTAAAAACGTCGGGCTTCGTCGCACAGGATAAACATATCGGTTTCCTTGCGAACGAAAGAGCCTTACTCATGAATAAATAAGTCAATTCCTAAGCTTGACTTGAATGATTTTAGCCTTAGGCGACTTCATTGGCTTATGGATTCGTAGCAGGAGTCCGTTCAAGGAGAATTCATACGTAATTTAACATATTCTTTACCGTATGTAAAACACAAAATGTATATTTAACTCCCCACCGGTTAAATCTATAGTTTCGAATCGAAGTTTGAATACAAGGGACCTAGGTTATTGTTTATAAGTTTGATTCTCGCGATGTTTTGAAATGTGTTCCCGAACTACGCCGGATAAGTAGGAAAAGCGTTCAGATAAGAGAATATTCTTATTTTAATAGTGTCTCGTAAAATATTCCATTCAGCTAGCAGGATGTTTACACGTACACCAAATTTGCTCTGCGTGATACGAAACAAAAAAAGTTGAAAAAGGCGACCGCATGGAATCTTCCAGCCTACTAGTTTCTCAATATTTGGCTTCAATGGCCAATGTATTTGTAACAATAATTGTTATACTCTTCCAGTTATAGGAAAACTTAACACTGGTTGGGTAATTTGAGCAAACTGAATGATATACGTTTAGCCACCACATTCGAAATGATATATTCCTTTTAAAAGGTACATTCACCCACAGTTATCAGGATACGTCGATTAACACCCACTGCTAGACCCGTTACAGCCAGAGTATGAAAATGAAAACATTTATTGCCTAAACATTTCAGCGTGCAAATATTTTTGTTCACTAAATTGCTTCAAAAAGTTGAAGAAGTATATTTCTTTGTTCCTTATCTTTTTTTGATGCTTTTCTGGCACGCAAGGAAAAATGTCGTTTGACACAAAAGTCACATAAAACCCACAAACTCCCACAGCAAATGGAGAAAAATTGTTGACATTTAGATAAACGGCCGTAGTTATGATAAAAGCCGAGTACTTGACAGCTTAGGAAAGGTAAAAGACACCATAATCAGGGACGGGGAGGGAATAAGCAAGTCGGTGATGGGAATGTCAAGGAGGCCAGATCAAACATGGGAAACGATTAACAGGGTAATTTAGTATTATCAACTGAGTTGACAACGTAAATCGGCCTCCGTAAAGAGTTTATTCACCATTCGCTCTGACGAAGGGCTGACGCTCGAAACGTCAGCTTTCAAACTCTTTACGTTGGCCAATTTACGTCATCAATTCAGCTGATAATACTAAATTACCCTGTAATACTCTCCCACCAACGCAGCACCACAGTTTTTTTTAAAAACTATACCCCCTCTATTCTTTGGGAAAACTATTAGTCGATTTTTCTGAAAAAAGAGGAAGCTTTAGCCGCTGTGACTATCGCGGAAGGGCACAAAGCAAACAGGATGGAATAGAAAGAGTTCGAGGCGGTATTGTAACAGTTACCTTTCGCCCTTGCTTTAGTTTTTCCACTTCCTCCCCTTTGAGCGCTGACCGCTGAGGCCTAAAAAAACGTTAAGCATTTTCGAACTCCCCGACAGTCCGACAGTCAAACTTCTTTTACTTGGACAAAGGATTCCACTGACCAGTCGGTTCGCTTACTCACCCAAATTTTTCATTCCAGTTATGGAAAGACCTGAAGACGAGGAGTAAGAAAAATAGATTTCACGTGTGTAACGATGCACGCGGGAAGGTTGAAGGACACGAGAGAAGCTTGCGAGTTGTTTGAGGCGCACTCGAGAGCAACTTTAGCTTCTTGAATGCACTTCAAATTTCAAAGAGCATCCATGAACCAATTCTTTTCTAGCAAAGCCGACAGAATTGTCCTGTTTCATCTGGTTGTCTTGATGTTCGATGAAAGTTCGCTTCTTTGAACAAGTTCTCTCAGAAAATGTACTTTTTTAAGGAAGCTGAAGACAAAAATTGAAGGTCAAAACACTCAAGATTTAGTAGAGTTATAACCTATTGGAAGAGCCTTAGCTCAATAAAAGTCGAAGATTCAAAGGGTTTTGATTCTTCGTTCTACGTGCATCAAGTTTTTTTGTGCTGTTTAATCAAAAATTTTGCGAAAACTTTATTGTTTTTTCGATTATATAATTCTAGTGGTTAAATGGTAAATGAAAATGGAGAATTGAATGGGTACGAAAACAGAGCAAGTATGATGAGAACGTTAAACAAAACACACAAGTTCCCTCCAACTGCAACCTTATCAGCTTAAAACGTCACAAACGGAAACAGCCTGAGCTGAATTTTACCACAGTCCGATCGGACAAAAACATATCTATAAAATTAAAATACGAGCAGTCCCTGCTTTTGGGCGAAGTCCGTTGCACGATTAAAAAAAAAATGTCAGCGCGCCGTGCCCGTAGGAGTAAGCGTGCCTCGCCCCCAATGCTCCGCGCTGTTTTTTTTTTTTTTTTTCACTCATTCGACGGACTTTGCCGGAAGTGAGGAACTGCCCGTAGTCTAGAATAAATTTAATACCAATGATAATTATTAGTCCGACTACGCTTTGCGGAAGCGATATTTCGCCAGGCGATAACAGTATACCGATACGATACGATAATAGTATATTATTTCGCGCTTGTTTTAGAAAATAATTGGTGGACATCTTCTTAAGCTAGAATCAAGCTCCTTCATTTTAACTTAGCGACAAAATCTTCAAATTATGGCGCCGCCTGTCCGTCAAACTGCATGTTTACAATTTCAATAATCGCTCCAGGTAGATGATGAATTTTTAGTGAATGCTTCAACAGTACGAAAAGGAAAAAAGATCATCTTCTTTCCTTCTACATCGTAAACGAACCGCAAATTTGAACTGAGTCTAGGAGCATACTACCTAATTATTAGCATTGATTCTTGTGGTTTGAGGCTGAAAGCATGCGTAACTCTCGCGTATCTGAAGGAGCTACAATCCAATTATCATTAATATTTAATAGCAGTTTGCAGTGAAATATTCGCCTTCTTAGCTGGTGGCAAACACTCCTGTTTGCCTTTTCTTTGTGAAGACTGTGAAGCTGGTATACACAGAATATTGTCTCCATATGCAAACTATATTTTCCAAGTCATAAGCGGGTTAAATTCAGAAAAAAAAGAGAAGGAAATTGGCTCTGTGTCTTCTTGTTTCTAATAAACCAAAAACATTTTAGGGTGCTAGTAGCTTATTCCATTTTGCTGCGAATTTCAATGCCAACAGCTACATCCATTAATCCATCATTTAACAGGTGAATTAAAAAGCAGATTTTAATCAAGTGTTTTCTGAACTTTCTGCTCTTCCCAGAGCAGTTTCAGGCTTGACATACTTTCGTAATTTATTAAAAGTTGAGTCCAGGTTTTGTTCCACGCGTCGCAAATTATCCTCTAGCCTCTCCTGTTGCCGTCGAGCAAACCACTGAAAGTTTATTTCTTCTTTTTCTGTTGTGGGGGTTAATTCATAAAGTAAAGACCAGCTCGAAGTCCTTGGGATAGGAAAAGGCTCTTTAAAATTCCAAGACTTACTTCCATAATTTTCATTTCTGTCAAGAGAGCAGCTTGTGTTGGTTCTTTTGCTTTCAACGTTCCTTTTTTGCGTGTAATCTAATTCGGTGAGGCTGGTGCAACGACGAGGTTGCATGTCATACACGGTTAAATAATCGTCGTCATTCGAAAATATGTCGAAGGCACTCGAGCTTGGTGATACAACGTTTCTTCGCCTTTCGTGTGCTTTTTTCCTTATTTCGGTCTTTTTCCGATGATATTGCGAAGGCGCCGACGGCGATGAGGGGTGGATTGTTCTGGTTCTGTAGTATCAACAACAATCGAGATGTCTATCGTTTCCTTTTCCGCTTCTTCCCTGTCACAAACTTCAGCTGCTTCTTCGGAATATTGTCGTCGTGTCCTCGATGAAAAAATACTCTTATTTCCCTGGACATATCTAGGGATTTTACTCGGCTTGGATTTATCAACTTCCCTACAAGTCTTGTAAACGGTAGGCAACCGGCTTTTTAAATTTTCATTCACCTTCTCCCGGCACGCGACTTTAGTATCTTCTCCTTTTCCAATACGATGGTGACGTCTTAAATTCAGTAGCTCCTCTTGATCAAATAAACTAGGTGTATCTTTACCGGCTGATACCACACTACCGTCTGTAATTTCAGTTGTGGCAGATGAATGTTTCAACCGCTGCAGAATCTTTTTCTTTTGAGCTCGAAGATTTGCTTCTCTCTCAATGGCCGTGGTGGTCATTTCCTGAGAATTTTGCTTATTGCGGTGACAAAACTGGGTCTGTATCCTCTTAGAACTGACTTGTTAATTTTAATTTTCATCTGGAGAGGATGAGTGACAGGTCTTTGATCGTATTGTCAAGTATGGAAATGGGTGCTTCGAAAAACACCATACATGCGTCAGAATACAGAACAAATATGCCATCCATGCTGATATTAAATATATAAACTTTTCATTCATACATCAAAAGCTCTAGATAATTCTAAGCCCCAAACAGATAAGGCAAAGATAAATTAAAGAATATAAATTTATTTACAATGAACTCATCAAAAATTCGGATATTTATTCCTGGACGTGACAAAAGGCAATATCAAGGAATTTTGCTTCCTTCAAAGCTGTTAACTGCTATACGGCTTCCTTTATTAAAGCTTTTAACTTGTTCGGGCAACCGCAACAATCCGCGAATTGATTGAAGCAACCGCGAATTTCCGAATACAATTAACTGTGTTACGTTTAATTTTTAATTTGCTTCAAATGAAAGACGGTTGGAAGCAAATTCAAATTTTGTTAAAATGCAATTTAAATTCGAAAGTAAAGATAAACCGCAACAGTGTGTCCGAGTTTCCATGGAAATGCAGTGAATTATGAATTCTGATAAAACTAACAAAGCAAAGCGCATGTTTGCAATATCTCGTTACTGAAAACATTATTCTTTTACTCGAATACCCGAGGAAAAAAAACACTCATTAGGATATGTAGTTATGCTCCAGAAACGTTTGTTATTTATCTAACCCGTTTTTGGCCTTTTAAACAGCATAGGGCAATTGAAAGCTGTTTCTCGCATATTCCGTTACTGTTCTGAATGACGCAGTTAGGCAGCATTTGTGTCAGTTGGTAACGTCACAACTAAATACCTGCTTCCACGCAATCCCGTCAGCGCCTATGCTAAGGGCTATGATATTTTTGCTTTTGAGACGAACTATGACTGCAATGTGCCAAAGTTTAGGCGAGAGTCTGACAAAGCTTCCATCGGTCTTGACGTTGTGCAAAATCAAGAAAAAAATGGTGGGACACCGTTTACTCTTCTTCCCCTATTTTCTCTTGGCAAAACACGTTCTTTCCGTCCGTAAAAAGGAAAAAAGTTGATTTTTGAATCTACAAGCTTATTTATAGAAATCGGTGAACTGAAGGGATGATGCAATTTTCAAACACTGAATAGAATTTTTTAATAGAAAATGAGTTCAGCACATTATTGACAAGTCTTTACAAAAAGCAATAAGAAGTCTTTTCCCACGTATCTTAACAAGAAAAAATGAGATACTGATTAATTTTTTTGTTCTCTTTTTGGGTAATTGCTGCCTTTTTAATTCTTTCAATTTTTCCTTCTTTCATTTCTCGGCTTTTAGACGAAAAAGCGGAGAAGAAAGCGTCGGCAAAGTTTAAGTTTTCACAGTGAATTTTGAGTAAAAACCAGTCAATGCAGATGAAATATAAATCCAGTAATCCAATTTACCTGTTTCAGCGGGTTGCTGATCTGCAACGAGTATTGTTATCATCGAAGCAACCCATGAGTGACCAAGACAGAATTTCTCCTCACAATATAAATACAATATCAAGCAGACAAGTGATGAGAAAAAAGAAAAATATCAATAAGAGAATAAAATTCTCCTTTCTGTCTGCCATACAATTATCAAGGCACTACTTCAGAGAATTTGGTATTTTATCAACCGATAATCCACTAACTTATGTTTTTAGTTATTCCCTTCAATGGACTTCACTTGTCAGCTTGATTTTGTGTTGATGTTGTAAGCAGAAATTCTCTCTTGGTAATTCACGGGAGATAAAGAGTTAAGCAAGGCATCTAAGGCAAACAGTGAGCTTCTCAGGATAATTCTCAAATCAGCCCTGAAGAAAAAGTAGCTAAGAATCTATCGCTCACAGCCACAAAAATAATCCCGTTTTTATACGCAAACAACAGAAAGCAGACAATGAGAAGTCCACCTTTTACCGTTGGCTATAAATCTGATGCTTATCTTGTCTACTAACACTCCAGCACAATTATTTGACGTGAGACTTATACGGCTGCGTAGTGATAAAAAGGTCAGCGAATGAAGGAAAATTATCTTCATTGGAAAAATTTCCATACAACAATGAAGTTAATCTGTCTACACGACATCAGGGTTTTAGAAGGTTTAACACATAAAAATTTTAAGTTCAACGGATACTTTCACTTAATCTTCAATGCTTCACATAATAAAACTCATAAAACAAAAGATGATGGCTTGGCTGAACAGTTAAATATCTTAATCCCGAGAATAATAGTCTATTCAATAGACATGGTATTACCTTCCTAATTACGGCATGTAAACATTAAAAGCCAAGAATAAAAAGATTCTTTTTAAAGGTGTTTTGTACATTTGTCACTTCTTATTAGTTCAAAACTTATTCCCGAATTAAGCGAAGAGCCTTCGTTTAATTTGCACGTTGCTTTCGACTCCGTCGTGAGTTGACCTGAGAAGACTGTTGTAAGAAAACCGATAGTGAAATCAAAAGTGGGACGTTTTTGTATTTCACTTGGTTTTTTTTTAGTAAAAAGGCACTTTTCGTTTCTCGGATTATCTTCCAAGGGGATTAATTAACACGACTCGTCGTCTCGAGAAACTTGTTAAGTCCATTGCGCGCACGAAACGTGCACGAATCCTGGTTAATCTCCGGCTAGGCGGAATACGTCCCGGGTGGGTGCTGTTTAATCTCACGGGTAACCTATAACATAGGGAAACGCCGGTGGGAAGTATTCCTGCAAAACGATATGTTTTACTCTTTGCCTCAGTCAGAATCAATATTGAGAGAGTAAAATCGCACGGACAGGTTATTGTTTTTGGGCGAGTGCGGGCTGGGGCTAGCCTCGCACGCAGTTCCCCCGGTCCGCATCTGGCCAATATCTCCCTTTTTTCGCTTTTTATCCTTTATGGGCCATTCGCTTTTTTTCCGTCCAGCGTTGAATGCGTTTCCTGATATTGGGTCGGTCGGTCGGATTGAAAAAGGAAACCTAAAAAAAAAAACAATTCACAGGAATTCTCTGGATAGGAAGCCTGGTACCCCAGCATTATTGCTGTGGAGCCCGGAGACATAACCCAGAATCGATAAGGCGGGAACGTTAGTTGATATTATTGTAAAATTAGGACAACGTGGGAAAAGGATCAACCACCAAAACTCCTATGCGACATACCAGCATCCCTCACTTTCCAGTAACTGCTTGAAAAGGAAGTCCTGGATATATCAAACATTGCGGCGTTAAAAAGTAAGTATTTACGTACTTGGATTGACAAAACGCACAATATACTGTAAAAAAATGTCCCAGTTTTTGTTCCTGTTTTTCTCTATGCTGTTACTATGCTCGTCCTTCAGATTAAAAGAATCATTTAAAGTGAAAAATAGTCTAACAACGTCGTTACTTTTTTTTTTTTTTTTTTTTTTTGGAAAATGCCAAAAATTTGGGTCGGTCAGACGACAATAAACGGTGAAAAAAAAGAGGATCGCCATATTCACGTAACAAATTCTGCTTGATCTACAGCCACCTTGTAATATGCTTTTGCGGGTGACAAAGGAATTATACGTGAAGCATGACTAAGGCCAAAATCAATATATGAAGCGTGAATTTTACAGAAGGCAAGCGCGATTCTCAAATTCATGAACCAGCGTGAGGCGTGACATACCTCCTGAAATATACGAGACCCGTGAAGTTTTTCTTTCAGTTCGTGAAAGCCTCAATATTTTCCCGAAACTTGTATTCAAGAACAGAGATTTGGATTTCCCCTCCCTTTTTGCTACCCCCACTTTTATGCCTTTTCAAGATATTTTCTTCAATGAATTTTCCAACTAATCAAAATCAACAGATTCTTTGCCCTTACATCACGAGGCTTTCAGTTTTTCCTCGAAGTATGGGAACGGTAGTCACTTTCATCAGCTAATCACGTGCAAGAATTTTCGTGACGTATTACAAACTTTTCGCCATTTCACCGTGCGTTTGGTGCAGTATTTTTTTAAGGAATGATCTGAAATCTCTGATTTTCTTTGATGATGAAGTGTTTTAAGCTTAGCCGCTTCTTCGAAGGTTCATGTTATTAGCGGGATGCCGTGTTTGTTATTCTGAAGAAAGCTTGGAACGAATACGGCGGTGCTGGGTTGGTGTGGGGTGTAACAAGGTAATTTGGTTTTGTCAGCTGAGTTGATAATGAAAACTGGCCACCAAAGAGAGTTTGTAAAGCTGACATTTTGAGCGGCAGCCTTTTGTCAGAGCAATTAGAAGAATCATGAGTTTTGTGGGGTTTATTTACAGAAAGATGGAGCTTCTCCATAGATGGGAACTGGAAATGATTAGGCCGGTAAGCTATTTTCAAATTCTAGCAAACCTATTCAAATTAAACCCACCTGAATGTTTGCAAAATTGAAGTCCGGCAATGGAATGAACAAATTCGACTGTTTAAAAATGTTAATGTTTTGCTGGCTTGAGAGATGAAAAGTCTTCTGCGAACACAGTATGTGCAAAACCAGGCTTCTGTGAATATTATCCTCTCTGGCTTGAACCTGAAAACTCTTTCAGACCCGACAACAGTGGAAAGAGCATTGGAGCAGCCAGTTTTATTTACTTCAACTATAGACTACGAAAACTTTACGCTTAATGTGGCTGTGGTATATTTTTTTTTACTGATATATCTTTTAAACTAATTACACAATGAATGTGATGATAACTAGCCTACAAATTGAAAATGATAACAAATAGATTGCAGATTTTTTTTTTGTCAAAGCGGACTCTCAAAAGAAGAAATAATAAGACGAAAGGCGAAAGACGGGACGAAGAAATTGTGTTGTGAACGAAAAACCATTGTTAGAAGTTATATTCCTGCTTTTAGCTGCGGCTAGTTATGCGTTTGTTATTTTTCACCTGTCCCGAATTTAACCCTAAAACGTAACCCAGCCTGCAGAGTTATTAGGCAGAACGCGACAAGATCTCACGCCCTTGCAATGCAACGATTCTACCATCAACGTTTTAAAAAGAATTCGTGCGTGCATCTGCCATACTTCGCAGACTGGTCCAGAACCAAAGCCCCCCCCCCCCCCCCATTATGGCAATTTCAAATCAAGATCTTCGGCGAGCTATTTACAATTACCAGATTCGGTTACATTGATGGTTTGCAATTTAAAAAGCGTGTTTCTACCAATCGGTCAGAACCCAATTTAAGACGAGAGATTCTTTGTGTTGGGTTCTTTTTCATTCTTATCACATATTCTTGACACAGCATCTCGTGTTCCTAAAAGCGGTAACCGAAAGGAACCCATTCTTGAGTTCTTATCTTCTAACAGCGGTAGTACAGGAGATCTGAATGACTTGAAAGGTTCAATGAAGCCGGGGACAGCCAGTCTGTTAGGCGTTTCTGGCGCAGATAATGCCGGTATATGAAGATGACCAGATTCCAGACGAGCAGCTGATTCTATCTTAGGAAGTTTTAAACTCGCTTTATCTTTGAACTCATCTTCCGCCTGAGATAAGACTAGGGCTGGGACATCAAACTCCTTCTTCCTCCCTGAAAATTCTCCAACAGAATACTGTCCAATCTCTGTCGAAGGACAGTTACTGTATTTACCTTCTACCAGAGGCGGTAAAGCTGATGTCCTTGTTGGCTTTGACTTCTTCTCCTCACTCTGCTGATTTTTAAACTTTGTCTGTGAAAGTAAATTGTTCCTCTCCTCAATTGTACCATTCATTGTTGCACTATATTCCGTTTCATAGTTCACGCACCCTGCGGTGGACGAAAATGAGCCCAAACTTTCGATTACGTAACTCTTTTCCCCATTCATGTCGTTGCTTATGACAGGAAAACTTAGTAGTCGTTTCGGGCGCAAAGGTAATGCAACTTCGCTGAAGAACTCAAGACAACGTTCTTCCCAGGCCGTCAGTTTATGGAACTGATACAATTTTTGATCGTGATTATCAGCCAAGTCTCCGAATGCCTCGAAGTTTCTGTCTTCGCTGTTTGTTGCGCCATCGTTTTCCCATTGTGTATCAAACACTAATGGTTCTGCGATGGAATTCTTGTTCACAACCAAGTGCTTACCAATATCTCTCTTCTCCATAAACACGCAAAACAGTATGTCTCATTCTTTGAAAAACTTAGTGGCGCTTGTGGCCGACAACGTAACGAAAGCAGTCACAAAACTAAACCACGGTAGTATCAGAAAGTATCGTCTTATTCTCTTGTAGGCGCAATATATCTGCAACGGTAACCAGCATTTAGTAGTGTCCGCGTATCCTGATAATCCTGTAGTGCGGTCAGTTTAAGGACACAAATTATCACTGACGCAACTTTGACGGTGTCTACAGATGTTACAACATTTCGCCATCCTACACTAAAAAACCCCAGAAAACGTTTTAGAGATAAATGCTTTGCGAACTCCTCCAGAGTGTTGGTTCAAACAAACGCTTATCAGCTCATTGCATTGTGTTTATTACTTTGTCGGTCCGATATCTAGACATATCAAGCACGGTTGAGACCAAAATAAATGTGATGTTGATACCACAACGCTCAATATCCTGCTTGTCAACCTTCGTCCGCACATTGACAAATTCATATTCCAGCAAAGGAGCTTTTGATGTTAATTATCATAGCAAAAATATTTTATTTGTTCTCATTATATGGCCGCTTAGGCACAATGGTGATTTGAGAACGATTTCAAGTTCAACCTGAATTATTTATCAGTTCTAGTCGTACATTTTTTGTTTTCTAACTAATTTCCTGTCTTGATTCGTCCCATGCGTCAAAAGGAGTTGCGTTTCCCCTCATTAAATCTATTTTTTACATGGGTCCTTTTGTTATTTCCAGCCAGTGTTTTGTGCATGTACCAAATCATGTCGAAGTATTAAGGCTGCTTCAGAAGTTTACTTTTCCTTTATCAACTATTTCCTATCTTTTACGGAATAATGAGTAATTCTTATCTGCGTTTTCTTTCCTCTCTTTAGCTCTCCTCTTTTAAGAGGTTGTTAATTTAATTTCAAAAGATACTTGGGATTCTCTCCTGGATTTCTCTCCCTGGTATGAATTCAGTTGAGGAGCTTTGGAAAACTTTCTCGCTCTTTTATCACAAAAACATTAGTGAAATTCAGTCTTCATCGGAAAAGATGGTTAATAACCCCCTACCTTCCCCGCCCCCTCACAAAAAAAAATACAACGACAAACATCACGAACAGTCTTCTATATCTGTGCCCGGAAATTCTGAGAAATTTGTCCGAAAAATTATCAAAAAAAAGTTCTTGTTATCTCTGAAATCCCTTTTAAGTATGTTTTATTCTTGTTTTGAAGATAAATCGATTCTTCATCACTTAAGCCAAATTTTTCTTCTTGGGAGAATAAGATAGAAAAACGATTTTCTATACTTGTAAAAATACTGTAAAAATAAGAAAATCAGAGACAAGTTTCAAAACAACATATTCCTAATTTGTCAATAGTTTATTCATATCTGGGAAAGTTCTAAATATTCCCAAAAGTATCCAGATATTTGTGAAAAAGTGTGAAAGAAAGCTCCAAATGATTTACCCCACATTAAAGGTGGAACCAAAAACGGTGTCAATTTGCAGGAAAGGTTAGGGGCTCTGCAGAGACCTAAGTCCTATATCTAACCACAATTCCCCCACGAGAACCCCTACGGGACCCTTTTTCACCGACTGTTTGATAGTTCAATACTACTACTGTTTTTTCCTGTGTTCCCTAAAAGTCGTGTTCAATGAAATACAATTTACATTTATTCTCAATATCTATAATGTATTGACTTTTCCGATGGCAAAATTACTGCTTCTTATAGCCTTGATCGATGTTAGCTCTATATTACTGTAACTCAAACACTAGGGGGTGGGTAACCCCAGTTTTTTTATTGCTTAATAATAAGCAGATTAAGGTTCATCTTCTAGGAAATGTTTTTACTGAAGACCCTAAAGTTGTGCTGAACTGTAGGTACAGATCAAAATGAAAGAAAAACAACTTTATATTTGAATATCTGAAAAAGTGCATCCGATTGTTATGAGATCATACGTTACCATATGGCATAATTTAAAACTTGCTAACTTATCAATAATGGTAATAGGACAGAGTCGAGTCCAATTTGGTCTGTAATCAGACGAGTGATTTCAATCATTGTCAATCACGAGTATGATTGAACAGACGCGAAGTCCTGTAACCAATCAATCATAACCATTACAATTTCGGAAAAAAAAAACAGATACATTTATTTGAGAAAATATCTCCCGTAGAGGCATTGTCTAAAGTCCAAAATCTCTCCATTTTGGAAATTCCTCGATTTTTTTGTCAATTCTGTGATTGGTGGATTTTACTGAGTGGACCTATTGCAATTGGCTGCCTTTACCGTCTGGTTGCAGGTGTCCGTTTACAGCCAACTGTGCGATTACACTGTCTCACAATAACTCTACAAAATAATTAGGGAAATACAAAGCAGCTAATGCATCAATCACATTTGAGGACATTGAAATGGTTATGATACGAGCAATTTTCAACTGTGTCGAAAGTAATCGGATATTGCGTTGGTTTTACTTTTCTCCGCTCTGTGGTTGGTCCAGAGAATTCATGCCACTTTTTTTCAACCAATCAGATCCATGTTGAAAACAAATCATGACTTAGTCGTTCGCGCTTTAGAAAGTTTGGCTACTCTCACTTTGAGATTTTATTGGCTGTTTAGAGTATTTCCTTTCTCCTGATTGGCCAATGGGATTATTTTGGTTTTGGTTTTACGTCACTCAATCGAAAAGCACACCTATTATTGTAATTTTTTCACGAAGCAGTTCTGCTTTAATCTAATGTACTCTATAGTCTGCCAACATGGATATGACCCACTTTACATGGGTTTTACCGTGAATTTAGAGCTTCTTAGAGACATGACTTCAGTGTTCAGCCAGAGTCTTGTTTGCTGGGTTTTTTCTAGTCTTCTAAAACCGCCTCATCCACTCGCCATGCATTTCGACTTGATATCAGGATTGTTCTCACTGGTAAAGCTTTCAACGGCTGAGAGATCTTCAAAATAAACACCGGTCATACCAAGGTGAACTGTCTGTTCTCATTATTAGTGAGGTCGCTCTGTCAGGAAATGAATCAATTAACCACAATTACTTGTTCCGTTTTAACACTAGCGTAGAGAAGTATCTTCCTCTCTGTTGTTTGTAGATTTTTGAAATGGGAAATTTGGTTTTATCAACTGGGTTGGTAATTTGGCCACCGTAAAGAGTTCTAAAGCAGACGCTTTGAGTATTAGCCCTACTCAGACAAACGGCTAACGTTTTGGAAACTCGTTCGCTAATTTACATTATCAAGTGAACTGTTAACTCAGTTGATAAAACCGAATTATCTTATCATACCCCCAGCGACGCAGCATCACAGTTTCTTAAAAACTTACCCCTTTTTAATATGTGAAGCTATGCAGAGTATGTCACTCGAAACATTTTCAAAGGAACGACTCAAGTTGGTGCGGAGCAAGTAAACTTTTATATGTTTTGTTTGTTCTAGGTTTGGTTTTTTTGTTTTTTCTTTCCGTTTATTTTTTCTTACACCTCTTTCACATTAAACTCCTGGGTGCTCTCAAAAAACCTCGTCGTACGAGGTTTTGTTGAAATGTTTTGACAGGTTCTCTTTTTCGAATCAGTTCAGATTAGCATGTTGCGATTTAATGCGGCAATCTCATCATTGCAAGTGTTCGTTGGCTATACGATTGTAGTTTAAATATGTTATTCGTTTTCTTTTCTTTTTTATGTAAAGAAACGAAGTAAAAGAAACCTTCCAAAGTGTCATTTGTTTGAAAAAGTGCATATCAACTGTTCATAATACATTTTTGCTTGTAAAGATTTTATTGTTAAATCCTTTAACATATGTCTATCGCGTACAATTCTTCTTCGTTAATTCATCCAAAGTTAATCTTTACATTATATTTGCTGCTTATGAGGATAAAAGCAAAGCAGAAGTCTTCGGCAATTTATGAGACCACGACGAGTCAAACTATACTAGTTTCACCTTTCATCACTTTAGCATGTGTTTCAATAACGCCTAACAAAGGAATCGTAGGATGTTTGAAAACATATCGCTGTAATGCAATGAGACTCAATTTACATTACAATTCTTTTTCAATTAAAATGTTTTCACTGTTTTTTCTTTTCCTTGCAAAAGCTGGTTGTATATAAAGCCTAAGTTATAAAATTGTACTGTTTCTGATGGAGAAATATGATTTCCGTACTGGTAAAATATTCTAGAACTAAAGCCCCCGCTGGTGTGTATTCAAACGGATGGAAATTTCCTTTTGTTTTTAAACCTAAGGATTACAATTAAATCGATTTTAAAGGCATCTTAATTTTGACTGATCACAAACGTCTTAAAGAGCTTTCGCCGATTATTTTTGTTTACAACTTTTCAGTTTAAATATGGCTGGGACGTAGACGGGTAGTTCAGTCCACAGGCGAAAAATTTGTATCCATTGTGAGGTGCCTGGCAGATTGAAACATTTCATTAAGCCAGTTAGGAAAGAACGGCCAAAATTCAAATTGAATCAATCGTTCTTTTCATTTAAATCAAGGACAGCTGCTTCAACTAATTAGCAATGCGTCGCCTGAAAACGGTGTTTTCTTGTTCAGTTCAATAGGAAAAAACTTAAAAATCAGGTCATCAATAAATTAAGAAATTTATTTCCACGAAACATACTTCAGATACATGTGTGCTTGATACTTTCCATTCCATAAAATATTTCGCGCTCATACTTTGAGACACATTTCTCTAATGTTTAATCATCTTGGCTATCCAAATTTTTCAAGAGCTTTTAAGAGGTGCAACTTAAAATTTATTCCATGCTTTTCGACTCATACCGTGAAACGTTAAGAGGGCACATATTGAAAGCGTTATTGTATAGATCGACATGTTTTCACTACCGAAAGTGGAAAGTCACTTAATGGAGAATTGAAACCACCTCAAAATAACAATGTCCGTTTTCCATTTACGTCGAAATCGAAGAACAAAACGTAAACAGTTTAGAAAATTGTTCGCTCGTTACCTCTTGAACTGCTTGGTATTTTGAAAACAGTGATCCTTTGACTGGGATATTTAAAGCTAATTTCCACGGCAAGCGATCAACTCCTATTGTGTGCGGAGTATGTTGTTTGCAAACCTCCATTAAACAAGTACATTGTGCTTACAATTGGTCGCCAGGCATGCTCGCGGGCGCCGTGAGAAGCACGTGTCTCTTCCACCTGGTTAACAATGGCGATTGTGATCGCCACGCGTAACATGTATCGACGAAACAAAACCATCTAATAACGATTAATTACTTTCGCTTAATTATTCACACTTAGTTCCTTCATGTTCGGGAAGAAATTCGCGGCAAATAAGACACTTCATTTCGCCTGCCACCTGCCTCGCTTCACGTAAGAGCATGCTCTCATTGGTCCGCAGCGACCACGTGACTACACAATAAGTCAATTTTACTCAAAGTTTTGAATTCTGGGTTTTTGAATGTTCGCTCCCTGTCAAACCACATTTGTGCATTGACTATGTGGAGTCGGCAAGCCAGATTTCGTCGAGAACGATCTGCACTCGCCGGTTGGAATTCCCCCTTAATGGGGTTTCGGCATGTACTATGTGGAACATACTGAATATTGTGTGTTTTTTGACGATTTACGTCACTGGAAAAACAGGTAAAGCTGAACATCAGGGATATTTGGTCAAATTTTTGAGCCTGACTTTACAACCCAAATGTTGTTCATATCGTAAGCGATGACCGGTATTATTTGATGTTTTTCCAGCCGTCGGACGATACTATAGACGTCTTAAATCACGGGAGGGCCAAGCCGATCGATGTCCAACTCCGCGACTAGTGCCAATTTTATTTAAAAAATACTGTAAGAGTTTAACGCCGTGTGAGAATGATAAAGGGTGCAGGAAGCCAAAGTGGATCTGTGAGTGCCATGAACACTGCGGCAGAGTTTGCATAGATCCAAGTAAGTAATAACTTTCAGTTTTGTAAAACTTTGCGGTCGGTTGATCTACACATCGGTGATGTATTTCGAACCGGCGTATTTTTCTAGCATCGACGTTCTACGTGCAGTCGTCAAGAGATCGCATCTACGCAGCCGGGTAGAAGAAACTCGTATATGACACAGTCCACCTTCGTCTTACCTGCTGACCGAGATGAAATTGCTTGATATTTTATCGACGTAAACGTCGAGTGAAACCCTCACATACCCAATCATTAAGACGTCGGGTCATTTCAATCTGTTCTGCAATCGATTTAATCTAGCGAATAATTTCCTTTGCAAACCAAGAAACGCGAAATTAATGAACGTGATTATGAATTTATTTTCATAGATCGTCGTTTCACTTGTGCGATACGGAAGGCCCTGTTCGGTATATACATCAAATGGAGAGACATTTCATATAGCTCAGTTAATTCCATGTACGCCTTCATTTCATTTGCGTAATTTTGAAAAATAACCTGGCGGCTTTTGCCCTCTGTCATATGCTAGTTTTCTGGTAGTCTCTCGCACAGGTTCTGAGCTTAGAAAAAATGTCTTTCTTTTTTTTTTTCTTTTCCGAGATAATTATAACCCACGAGATAGTTTTACCTGATCTGTTGCGATTCAATGAATGGATCAATCAATCAATGAAACTGGTTTAAGTCTTACTTTAATTTTGCTTCTTTCGCTTTAAAATACACCTGTTTATCTTCCGCATTGATGGGTTTTCGATTCTATTTTGCACCAATAGCCTAAAGCCATATGCGCCGATTAATTCCCACTCGATATCTGCCAATTATATCATGGCCAACTTTTGAAAGCTACTACCTACAAAACTCACCCACCAGATCTACTGGAAGCGAGGTCTGGTTTGTAAAGGCCATTAGGACCTTTTTTTCTGCTCTATTAAAAAAAAAAATCATCCATAGTGTACAGAATATTAAGGCTTATGTGACTCTTGATCTTATAGTCAGAAAATGCTCGAAAATGATCACTGATTCCGCTTGTCGATTACTACTCAATACGTGGTAGCCGGTTCCCGCGAATTCTCTTGTTATCAACAGCTGTTCCTGAATCAATGGTCCCCCTCCAAGACTATGGGATATTTAAATTTGTTTGTGTGGAGAGAGGCGCCCCTTCGCTGCGCCTCAAAGGCGTGCTCAGTCGTTTAAAACAAGCCTTTTGTAACGTTTTGACGTAAAACCAGCTTAAATCTGACGTTTGGCACGTGTCTGCACGCTTGTGTTTGAATAGTATGCATATATTTCGCTTACGATGGCTTCCACAATAAATTCAATTTTAGTCAATGACCAATGTTCGCATTATTTATCAGTGTGATTTTTTTTAAGCGAGGCCGGCGACCGCAGGTTTTTATACAAACTGTTTTTATAGTTATACCAATTTTCTAACCAGCTTCGTTATAATTTGTACTAGCCAGTGTGGCTGATTTAAAGGCCAATTTTGACGTTCGCGCTAAATACCATTTTATTAACTCTATTTGTCAAATAACCGTATATTCTTTGAAAGACAAAACCCCTCTGCCTATTCGAGCATGTGTTTCTTTGGAAATTTGAAAAAGAAAAACTTCTTTCTTTAGCAATATATCCTATGGAAACCATTGTGAACACTGTGAAAAGAATCAGGTACGTTCTATGCGATCTAATTTACCGGAACAAAAGGCATTTGTAGTTGATTTGCAAGCTTCGTTAGATTTGAAGTTTGTCAGGCCGCTTTAATAACAAGATTTTTTTAAAGTAAACACAGTACATGAGACTTTCCAGTAGTATCATAGATGAAGTTCAATTTTCCGTCTCCGTAAAACTGAGCTGACGCTTATAAATAAAAGCAGCTAATTTTGATTTTTGCTTTTCTTTAATACGTTACTTAAATGAATATTCCATCGTAATTACTTTCGATCGAAAATCTTGATGCGCTCGACGACCTCACGCAGCAGTGTGGCTTCTTAAAAACTGCAAGCTCCTGTGACATCTTTCAAAAATACATTTCTTTTGCATAAGTCAAGCGAGAAGATATGTGCCATATGAAGACCAATTATTTACTTCATTTGATCTCAGAGTTGTAATTTGAAAGAAGTGGGGAAAAAGCATTGTACTAACATATTCATGGATCAAAAATGTTTACCGATGGGGTGCGATGTGTTTGCATAAAAATGAAAACAGCCAGAGTCTTTAATGAGAAACGCTTTTCAGAAAATTGAAAGCCGTTATTAAAAAGGACTAGGCATTGTTCCAATTATAGACGAATTGTCATGGAATTGAGCTGAGCTCTATATAAAAAAGAAAGAATTAAAATAACGCTGAGCTCGCGCGTAGAATTACGCAGACAGACTTTCCTTCGCGCTTTAAAAATCTTCGAATTAAATTTGTCCGTGCTGTGTTCTCCTGGTGGGGAAATAATATTAAGTGCGGAGAACACTGTGAGAGATCAGAATGAATTATTATCTGATGCAGAGAGAATGGGCCTTGTAGCATTCATTGTTAACCAACTTGTTAAGGCGCGTTTTCGAGGTGTGCCTAATTTCCATAAAAATCACTGGAGCACAAAGGGAACATTTCTTGAGTAACGTTTCGTTTATTTGGATCTTACTTTCTCCAATTTTCCTTCAAGGGCTTGCCGGCATAAGCTTTCTTCTAGAAGCTTTTATGGATTCTCTATTCCATAAAACTTGGAGTATCTCATATTTCGCTCTTAAATTGGTATAAGATGTTTAGCATCGCTGAAAATCTCTGAGTTTCTTTCCGCTTTATTCATTAGCGAGACCTGTAGGATCATTTACATAATGGGATGTATCTCGTGCGAGTTTTAGTCTGTTTAGATCAACAAATCGATGGAGTCTAGTTGCGAAAAGGTAAATAATTGGAACAGGGTGGATCTAGTAAGGAAAATATTTATTCACGGCGCAGGATTTCTTTTTTTAAGAATATGGCTATTTGTTTTCTTTGCCTCGACTGAAAAATTAGGGTTTGCACTCATAATCCTTTTCTTTTCGCCTCTAATTCAAACTCTTCCGAATTAATTAACTTTTGTGGAACATGCCGGCTTCTGTTTTGGATAAGACTGAAGTCTTTTTTATAATTATCAAATTAGCTTTGGAATTTAAGACTCGAAAATAGGTCGCCCAGACTGCGCAAGATTTGATTTTACTGAGATAAAACTGTATCTCTCAGTCAGGAAAATAAAAAACTTCACTAGAGCAAGAGGTCAAATGAAATTGCTCTTTATAGTGTGCTACAAAATCAAGTTGCAGATATTGCCATAAACTTGTTTACACTTCTTGTGAAATCGGCTCCTCAATTTATCTGTTACAGCTTATTTCACTTTCGAACCGTCTCAAATCACTAGGCATGTTTCAATTACATACTTCCTGTCTTTCTCGGGGTACACCCGAAGACAAAGGAGTTTTTTTATTCCAAGTTATTATCATGACCCACATGTTATATTCCACGTGGCAAGGTATTGCAGTATAATTTACACCATCTCGTTTAGTTTTATCATTGTTTTCCTACTGAAACCCGCCAAATTACCCACTTTTTCTTAAAGTTGGCTTCAGAGCATGGCACACGAATGAGTACTCAAATGGATTAACAAAGACATTTTACGGCCTAAATTTGGAAAGATCTCGTCATGTAGAGATAACCTTGAGAGTCAAAATATCTTATCAGCCCAAATTCAGGACACTAAAATATTCTCGTACTGTAAGCGTATTTAATCTGTAGTAGCTTGAATCGACAATGTGGCTATGTCTTTCATTGACTTAAGGACACTGTAACTCAAAAACATTTGGAGGAGCCTTATTTCTTGCACATATTTTGAATGTTTGTGCAAATTGGTCTTTGCTTCAAGAGTTGAAATTCTTGATTTTTCGAAAGGAAGGCTTTACAGGAAAGGTTCGTGTGAAGACTAAAGAAAGTTGTAACGTAAATTACTATCGTAAGGCCTCACAAAATCATTCGGATTCTTTCACATGTACACAGAATATATCCTGTAACTTTTGGGGGTTGCTGTTCGAATCTACGCCTTTCTTCGCGGTTGCAAGTATTTTCTTTAGTTATTTATCTACTTTTTTTCATATTTACTGTCCGCATCTGATTTTTTCTTCTGGACGTTTAACAATAAATGAGAACAGACTCGCTTACTATACATTCACCTGGAGCTAGAGAGCGATAATTGTCTTAGTTCTCTTTATCAGTCTCTTATCAGTCTAGTCCAAGATTTAGTTGTACAATCTAATTACTTGTATTAATTGAATTCAATAAATAGCTTTGTTGGCGATAGAGTTACTTTTAGTTTACGCTTAGAAGCTAAGCTTTTACAGATAAATATCTCTGAATTCCTCGTCTGTGTTTTGAAAGAATATAGTCGGGAAAGACTGATTACGGGATTTCCGTTTTTCTTTTTTAATTTTGGCTTCATAGTTGGAAAGTATCAGATAGCACCAGCGAAAGTAATGAAGCTTCCAAAAATCAACATGTGCGCTCCTCAGGAAGTGTTTGAGGAGAAAAAAGAAAAAATGAATTAAACCAAACGAAGTGATCTAGTCATGCTAAAACGTATAAGTTAGCGAGGTTCGAATGGTAAATTACTTTTAAAAAGTGCGCCACCCGTTTTCTCGTCCACTGAAAGTACTTAATTTTTGACAAACCTCAAATTGTTTTTAGCCTCATTAGGCAGCGACCTTTGGAATCAAAAAATTAATCCCAGTGATGATATCTTTAAAACTGAAAGATGAACCGTGAAAGATTTCCATTGGACGGTTTTCCAGAAATAAACAATCTTCGCTGGTGGGAAAATAGAATTAAGCTGGAACTCGGGGAAGAAAGGAAATACCTTTATGTGATTAAACTAGATAGAAACAAGATTTCTTTGTCACTATGAGGACGTCGTAAATGCTGCCAGCTAAATGTCGAAGAACCGTTCTATTTTTAAAACGTTGTTCCATTTTTGATTTCCACTGACCTCTGTTGCCTTACACGGTCAAGGCGTAAATATTAATGCCTCTTCGTGGATTTAATGACATCTAAATGTACTATATATCCGTTTACGGTATTCCTTTGGAATCTGATGAATGTTGACAAAACTTTTAAGTCCATGCAGTAATAAGCACTCTAATGTGGTCATATGTCTGATCAGGAGTGAACCTTTACCAGTGAAACGAACAATAACCCCATGAACAGTTTGTAAAGGGAATTAAAAAACCCACGTTTTCCGATGACTATCAAAGGTCTCTGTTAGGACTCTCCATTTCGTGACGGTTTTGGCTCTAAAAGGCTACGCTGTAATCGTTTTTCGCGAAGGAATAAAACACATCTTGGAATGAGAAAGATGGGAATGAAATAAAAATTTTTTTTTTTTGCGGCTAGTCACGAGTGTGGTCAAAGGAGAACATTCTGAGTCCTCATGAGGAATCGAACCTCAGATCTTAGGATTCCGCGCTTTGATGCGGAGTCCAAAGGTCTGAGGTCTTAATTCTATCGGCTCACACGAAGCTTTCGACAATGTTGATTGGAACAGTATGCGACAAGCCTGCCACATCTGAACTTTATTAAGGCCTGGCTCATCACTGAGTCGCTGTGACTTAGTTTAAAGAGCAGTGGGAGCGCGGAATGCGACAGGTTGAGATTTGATGCCCCATAAACACACCTTTTTATACTACTAATCAAAACAAGAACCTATTGATTGCGGCCTTCTAATTACAGAATTAACTAAGCATTGAAAGATTTCCACGCTGATGGCTCTTTATTGTAAATCCCTAATAAAGATAACAACAGAGTTCACAATTGTTATCTATCCAGTCATTTGACCACACCCACCATAACACCGACCACCCCTTTATTGCCGCCGCTGTTTTCATAGTTTTCTTAATATAGTCTTATTGGCGACTGACTCTCAGAGCAACGGAAAATGGTGAAGTGAATTCTGTAGTGCCAAGGTTAATAGGGTTTGCAAAATAGGAAAATAACTTAAATAAAGGCAAGCAGTCTCCCTCCCTTGTGCAAACAGAAGATAACAGCAGGCAAACAAATTAAGAGGCAGTCATTATTTATCATCTGAAAGATGGCGGGAAGGGGGGGGGTTGTCCGGGGGACTTTGAGTATGGATCAGATGGTTTCCAGGGGGAATGGTTGGAGGTCAGTCGTCGCTAAAAGTGTTTAAGGGAGAATTATAGAATTGACGGCCAATGAGGCGGGATCATTGGAAGCCTTGTTAGGGGATTAGGTAAATGTTGCTGTGACATAGCCAAAATCCTCCGAACTCGTACGTACACCCCCTGCAATAAACAACGACTGGTCCCTAGGGGTTTGGGGGCCAGCTTACCATAACCTAAAGGGGCTCATTTGACGTTATCGTTCCTACAGCAACACCGTACACAAAACTGCTAGCACAACAGCCTCCATTTCGTGACCCAGATGATTTTTCATAAGATATTGCTCACTAACAGAAATAGAACACACATCATTCAGTGACCACATTAGGTGTCTCCCTCAAATATGTAGGGTTTTTTGCTCAAGTTCCGTGGGAAACCAAAATGGAAGACGACAGTGAAATTCTAAATCGGCTACGCAAGTTTCAATATTCCATCAGTTTTACTGTAAAATATCGGAACTAGTCGAAAACTTTGTTGCGTGTGCTTCTGTGAGCACAATGTTCCGTTTTTGAAATTGATGATCACCACACCTAAGAGCCACTTTTAGAAGAATTTTTACAAATGGTCTCCCAAATAGGGTCTAGATTTGCAATTAAAAAATTACCCAAAAGTTCCGGCTAAATTAATTCGCGTTTTTTTTAATGGAAATTAGTCAGCACTTATATTGTGAACAAGGCGCAAGACATGCACAGGAAGGGAATTCTAAAGGAAGGCCAAGGAGACATTAAGATTTCACCTCTATACTCACCATAAATATAAACACATATGACCTATGCCCCTCAGATTTTACCAGAATGTGACGTTAAAAACCCAACTGTTTTGATTGATTGGTCCTTACGCTAAAGAGGCTTCTGTGGTTTGAATTGGCTTTTTTTTTACGTTCGTGGTCTTTGCGCTCTTCTCAGTATTGGTAATGCTAAGTTCGAGTTTGTTGTTCTCGTAACTAAGTAGGTCCATAAATACTGTATATTTCAAGATTTTACAAGTGCATGTTTAAGGTAAACTAATGTTAACAAGTTTATTGTCGAGGCTTAGAATAAGATCTAACAGAAAGTCTATTAATTGTGATGATAAACAAATGAGCAATAAAGGTAATAAGCGGCATAATTACTCTAATAAACTCTTAATGGTGCGTAATTGTTTCTCATTTTTTTTTCTGGTAACAGTCGATAGAGTTTCAGAGTATCACTCCAGTTCAGCGACTTAGCAAAAAGAGCCTTCTAGTCTTTGAGTTCCGTCATAAACTTACTGCAGATTACCTCACAAACCCACTAATGATGTGACAAAACCACATCTAGAGGGTGATTTTTTTTTCATTTAAAAGACTGCGGTTGTTCAATAGAAGTTACTTAAAACAAGGGCACTATCCATCATTGACAATCCATCAATATATCAGCTTATATTCGGCAGCGGCTAAAAGGGATACCCTATTCTATTCCTCTTCAATAGAACAATAGCCGACGATGCGATTATGAATAAATCCATTGAAAAGACACGCTAGCGGCAATAAAGAAAGTAAACAAAAGCTTAGCAAGATTGTAAAAAATGTTACATCAAACATCAGGCCATTTTGCAAGAATAATCTCTAAAATGAAAAGAAAAGCTTTTTTTCAGTTGGAAATTGGAATAACAGCTTGCGTCATGCACTTAAACGGTCTCTTTTGGACCTCTGGGTATTAATCATAAACAAACAATATTAACACCACAAAGGCATGCGAAAGGACGGCACGAAAGCGATCGAGGATAATTTCCCGCCGCGGCTATATAAACAGAATCTTTTTATTTAAGATCAAAGAGGTTACCGATCTTTGCTGTAGTCAAAATTATATAATGAACGAATCTTAAACAAACAAGAACCATTGCAACGTGGCTACAACGGCAAACCTATCAAAAATGTGAAGGGAAAAAGTCAGAAAAAAAGCACCAGAAACACTCGTGACGCTTGAGCGCATTTTAAATAAAGGGGCTGTCGAGTCGATTGTTTGCCAGAATTGAGGTATTTTGTGTTTTGTTTCGCCACCTGCCGTCATCGAAGGGAAACGAATCGGTGAATAACTTGAATATAGAACAAGTACATTTGATCACGCCCTTACTTTAATTGTCTGCAACGGAAAACAGCCGCTCGGCAGCGACTGAATCAAGTCATGGTGGTAAATATGAAAGCTTAACGGACTACGCCAACATACCGCACGCGGAAAAATCTCTTTGAAAAACTTAGTTCGAACTAATGAGGCGTTGACTATCCGATTTAACAAATGGTTTTCCTTTTGGCACCTAGGTAAAAGATTAAAGAAAAAATATAAACTACAATCATTTCACCGGCTAAGAAAATAAACTTAGTCGCTGTAATTTCACTGTAGCTGGAGAAATTTCTCGCCAGCTGGTAATAAAAGCCACATAGACTCTACGACTTAGCGCATGATCGCCTTGTTGGTTAACGATTAAACCTGAGTTGTTTTGCCTTTGTTTGGCCTCACCTGTGCTAAGCTCAAAAGAACTTATCACTGCAATAGCCTTGGGATTTTTAACATTACTCTGAATTTCGGATGAAGAGAAAAGTTTTCCCCAACACTTAAAACATACCTTTCTTCAGCATGATTCCACGAAATGAACGAGTTCTCGATGGATTCGAGAAGAATGGCTTTAAATGACTGACATCCAGGCCATCCATGCGAATTGAAATGGCCTCTTTATGATTATTCAAGCCAGAGGAAGTCCCTTGATGTAAAAAAGAAGCAATTTGTGAGTTTTCATCTTTCTTGAAGGCTAACAAGTTCCTCAGAAAAAGAAAAAGAGAACTGAGCTGCTTTTCAATCGAACCGGGACCGGATTTGTCAGTTTTCAGAAGCACGAGTACTGTACGATGAGGTTTTATTGTTTCACCTTCCCTTTCACCTGATGGCCATTTGTACACTTTTACGCTTTTGCCATTTAGCTGGCTAAGGATACAACGTGTTTATCATTCTGCATTGTCAAGTTAATTCCACCCGGATTCATTAGCCAGTAAAAAGGGACACTTGTACTCCCCGGAGATAGAGAAATTTTGTTTATCGAAAGAACTCTGTGATCTCCTATTGGCCAAGAACGAGTATTCTTTCAAATGGTCATGTGTTCCTTTGTTTGACGCACGATGTCGTTTGTCGAAACACCTTTTGTGCCTCCAGAAAGCAACTTTAAGTCTTTTCTTTTTATTTGAAACAACCGAAAAAGATTCTCTCGATCTAAAGAAGAATACAGATTTCAATAAATGACCATCCCCTCACCTATGTAATTTAATCATTTCCGTTCCCCGGGCTAAACTCTCTAAATTTTTTTTAATAAAGGAGCATGATCGGGAATGACAATATAATAAGACAGGTCATACCTTGAGATGGTGAAAAGACCACCTAGTTTCCACTGTAGAAATAGAATCACGTTACGTCAATACCTGAGACAACCGGGAACACATGAATTGAGACCGGCGGAAATTAGTTCCTAGAACAAAGTACAACAAAAAGTTTATTGATCTTGTTAATTGATAACAGTCCATTTCAATTTTTTAGCCATACAGAGAATAGATTGCGGCTATTATTTCATGTACAATCGTTTTGCAGCATTCTAACGTGATTTCTGCATTCTAAGGGTGCAGACGTTCGGCCGATCACTTAAGTGTCTTTCACAGTTGTTTTTACGGGTGGATCAAGATTAACAGAGCGAAGCACGTGTATGCGTTTTTTTTTCTTTTTCTATTTTTGAGTTCGGAATCCAAAACACGTAGTTCGTGACAAACATGTCACCAGTAATAATGTGGCAGTTAAACCACACGTGGCTTAAAGTCAGCTTACTTTAAGACGTAAGTCACATGAATATATTTAGGAGACTCCTTTTATTCTGCAAAATTGGCATTTTAAAGTTGAGTAATCATGCAGATGAAATTCGCGGTCACGCCGTACCTCAAATATGGCAAATTAGAAAAGAGTCAATTTCGGTTACCGTTGCAACGTGAAATGTTTTTTGTTTCTTTTTATGGGTGATATTGCAGGAATATTGGATTGTGTAATCGATTTTATCATTTCATTTCTATGATGATTCTCATCGAAAAAATATCAGAGATATATTAAAAGATAGGATATGTGTGGTCTCCGTTGAAGCAAATAATAAAAAACTTTTCCTAGAGCGGTTGTAAGACTACTCCACTTGTTTATTACATTTTGTGCAATCGCAATACATTTGTTCATTTTTTTGTCTATTTATATTTAAGATCTCGCTTTGAACAAGCCCAAGCATGTATTTACATTGTGTTACTACAATAGACTTCAAACCAGCGCAGTTTTATCTAAACTTTATTGTTCCACATCGCAACATCATTCAATTTTATAAACTTGCCAAGATCTTAATGTCAATATTGTTTTGGACACTAGAATATCGTTTGACTCTTTGTTTGCTTTTGGAGTCATGTTAGTTTGCCTTATTCGGTTTTTACTCTCAGCGACACAGAGGTTAAGTTAGTTTTCTTCCTTTTTTTCTGCGTTCGGCATCCAGCGAAAAATGCTTCTGTCAGCCGACATTTATCACTTGTGCCAAAGTGTAATGAGTACATTGTCATTTTTATTTCACCTTTCACTACCAACTCATCAATCAAAGGAATATAAACCGGAAAAAAGGTCTATGTCTGCTTAGGACATATCCACCGCTACGCCAGATTTGTTTGGGGATGTTTTAGTTTTTTATTTAGCGACATTGTTGCGTCTACCTCAGCGAGCACTGTGCTAACAATGACAGGTCTGAGGTTTTGTCGAACAAAATTGAACGAAATATTCCAGTAACCAGAGGAAAAACTTGAATCCTTCTTTCATTTGCATAGTTTGTAATCGACAATTTTTAGTTTACTCGAAACTGCATTATTTTGAACTTGAGAGATATTCGCACTTTTAATGTTTATCTTTGAAACGAAATTTCGATTTTTCATTCTTGGCCTTCCGGGGCGACGATGAAAGATAACTTTTCCTTTCCACTTTTCATCTTATCTGAAAGCCGTGGGAAAATTTCCGCTTTGGATATATTATAAGTTGCTATGGAAACACTGTCACAGACACTTAACAAAGAGAGATAACAAAAACGTAATTATTTTTTTAGATTCAAAAACAATCACAAAGTGAAGAAGGACTTGCATTTGAAATGGGTTCTTTTTTAGCACTGGGTTATGATGGACTTCTCTTGGACTCGAAGAGTATAGAGAATTATTGTCTAGTTCGTTCTTCATCAAAGGCCCTTAAAGTGTGGACGATATTGCCTCGATCAGAATATTTTGTTTATTACCCTAAATGTAATCTTCACTATTAGCTTTTATGCAAATTAAACCAACTGGTAGTGAAAATGCAGTTAAATTTATTGAGTCGACACATCGTTAGACGTGTAGACATCGATAAGGCGTGATTTACGCTTCCACTTCCAAATCGGGTTTCTTTCCCACGTTTAGTAATCGTTATTGAAGTGAAAAGGGACTGGAGGGGCAGGTACAGTTCGTTGCACAGATAACGCAAGCTGATGTGATAATTGGGCAGTAAATCAATTAGATGACCCTGAGACGACACCCGAAATCACTACTACTCTAGGCAAATGAAAGGAAGTGCCATGTCATTGGTCAAGCGGCGATGGCGCTCTATGATTGGCCAGCTGCGCCACAAAGGAAAGAGCGCGACGCGCTTGTCAACTGTAGTGGAAATCAGTGGCTCATTGAATATGCAAATTACTCAGTGGGTGCCCACTAGGGAGTTGAACGTACTGAAACCCTATCGTCAGTACTGCGATCGATTCGTGGGAGAATACTGTGCTTTTCACGGTTTGATGTTTGAGTCTACCGATGAAGCGCAAAAGTTGATCAAATTTGTCAGTAATTGAACGCCAAGTTCGCAATGAAGGGCTACGTAATAGCGATTGTCTCTGCCCTGTTCATTCCGATAGTGTTGGGTAAGTTGAAAAGTTATTTTCCCGAAGTGCGTGCTTTGGGGCCATATTATTAACCGTCGGATGCCACTGTTGGATAAATGGCGTTTAAGATCTATCATTGGAACTGTGGTTCGCTTGGGCGGATTTCGCTACATTGGTTTGGGAAACTCACATTCGATTCAAAAAGAATCTTTCCTATGTGCTGTGTACGGAAGGAATCTAACGAGTAGAAGTGATTTAAGAGACGGTTGGTTTCAATATTCGTGGGGCGCTTACTTCATTAAGATGTCCAAACTGCAAGCTATATTTACACCCCTCTTAGATAATTGCGTTCACCATATCTTAACCCTAAACATAAAAAGCTGCCATAGATTGAAAGCTTAACTAGAAATTTGCAAAATGATAGAGTTTGAGAGCCTAGTTCGTCTGACAGAACACCGGCAAGCGCTGTTTTGGCACTCAATGAAAATTAGGTTAATCTTTTATTGAGGATGACGGCCCCTGTGGAATTTGTCCGCAGAATTAAGTTTCGTAAATATGTGACTATAAAGTGCTGGCTGAGATTGATGAAAGCTGTTCAGTTTGCTAGTAGGGATGTGCATAACGAGCGAGTTTACACGGCGGAACAGCTGTCCTTGTTTCACCTTGTAACATTCAATCGTATTGTTCTAAGTTCCACCTGGCTTTTCTCTGCTCAACTCCGGTCTTTGTTTGTCTCTTGCAGCCTCCACGTGTTATGACGGATATTGCAAGAACGGTGGAACATGTTCAGTTTTACATGGGAACGCTAGTTGCAGGTATGTTCTTTTCACTCATTCAACATGTCGCGTCAAAGTACGGCGGTTCGGTTTTTCAATCGTTATTGTGTTCCGCACGTGAATTCTTGCCTGCGTAGTTTCCGCGCTAGTTATCAGAGTAATGTTTGTTTAGTAAGACATAAATTCATGTCTTGTAATCTCTCCGAAAGCTTATTGCACGCTTAGTCAACTTTTCACAACAGCCGTTTTTTTAATTTCGTCGTAGTTTGTGTCTAGTCAAAACGAATCCCTCGCGCGTTCAACACCTAAAGAACAGCACGGCATTCAGATTGGTAAATAATGGCACATAAACCACAAGCCTCCGCGCCACAGACTTAATTGGCTTATTCTTCTTTCAGAACGAAATTCACTTTACTTCTGTGAAAAACCGCTAGACATATCAATAGAAACACTTAATGGAGTTTGTATGGCGTGAAGCTAGCTGATCATAAATTTCCTTGGCATAATCAATAATTCTGAGAGCTAGCAACGGTAGCGACACATGTTTTGTGGGTATTCTTAAACAGTCACTGGCAGCAAACACTATGAATTATTGAGAAAGCTTAAGCAGATGTTTTTATTCAACATAAAATTGTCCTGAATAAACGGTTTTTTAAGTGTAATAAATGAGTCAGTGTATATGAAATTGGTGATGAAAAGTTCATTCGGATACATGTGACAGTCTGTTCACTTGCGCCGAAGTGCGAATAGTAAAATGTTTTTACTTCATAGCGTCGACACGTTTTCTAAAGCTTGACCTAATTAGTAGGGCTTTTATGTTGATGAACTCTCGAGACTCCTGCTTATCTGCTAAAAGCTAGTTAAAACATAGAGTAAAAACCGATTGCGATCGCACGCTAGCCGATTTTTCAAATGCTACTAGTGGATTTGTTGTTCTGCTTAAGTTGACAGCGTATTTGCGTGTTGAGTAAGGTTTTATTGTGTAAAATGAACCAATTCTACCTTTAACCCAGATTTATAATTTGAGCATAAAATAGTCTCCGTAGGGATTAAGTCTTGAGTAAAAGGGCTCCAAAGATTAGTGAGCTCAAAATAGTTGTTTTGCACGAATCTTGTAAGCGCGCACGCAGTGAAGTCGGATAATTATTCAAAAGATTTTGGCTATTTGGCTGCCTGAGTAGATAGTGAACACACGACCCCGACCCGCGTATCAATTTAGAACAAAGCGCAAACTTCTTGTAAAAGGATACTGGAAACTTGAAACTATATTTCCCGCGTCCTTTAACAGAGTTTCATCCGTCTTTCGTCACTCTATTATTTGTATCGCTTGGTAATTAGTTCGTATTTGGTAGACGACATATTGCCTAACTTTTCTTGGCGTTTTTGAATAATCTTTATTTACATAGCCTCTGTCATCCCCGGAATGCATGATGTAGTTTTAAAGTAAAAATCGACAGTCCTAAAGAGGTTCATGAATGTTTTCTTCCACAGTAAGAGCGGGCCAGAACATGCCTGAAGTTTTGCGAATAAAGGAGGTCAACCGAATTTTTTTCCCCTCGTCGCGTTTGTCAAATATAACCTCATACTCAACAAGAAAAGACAACTTAACAACATTTTGACAAGTTTTACTGATAGTTTATAGAGAGCGCAAATGTCTGAAAATGTTCAATTTCATTTCATCGCCGTTCCTTAATTTAGCCGAAATAGACGGACAACGCACATATTATTGGCCAACATTTTATCAAATTTTCTTGATCGTGACTAATTACAATTGATTACGATTGGAAATTTCTTCAGATTAGTGATTTAACGTTCGATTAGGCCTTGGAAATCAAACGTAATTGAGTTAGCGCAAATGTTTTTACCAAATGAGACGTTTTCAAAGGCGAACGATAGATCGCGAACTATAGAGTAGAGTTATTCTCGATATTTGTTGCTGACAACATCAAAAAGTTATGCGATAAAGTTCAGCCATCAAGAATATTTGCCTGTGTGGTTGAACCTGGATTGTTTCCTCTGAGTTTTGAATCTGGCTTTCATTGTTAATTGTTTTATCAGCATTACAAATTACAGCTGAATGTTCGAAACATTTCCTCTTTGCCAATAATGGTAATATTTCAATAGACGTAATGCGTTACGATTAGGGCTATTTGCCCATTAAGTTTATGAAAGAATGTGCCTCTTTAATGCTACTTGTGTACCCTATTTTGTGGACAGACTTTTTGGATGGGTATATGTTAATTTGGTAGTAATTTTTGAATGGAAAATAGAGCATGTTTTATTCATTAATTTGTGAAGCCTCAACAGGAGATTGCGGTAGTATGAAAGCAAGAGTTTGACCCTTTTATGCATGTACAGGATTACAAAACCAATCTGGAATGTGCATTATAGCAATTAATGAAAACATCCCAGGGGGTCTGTAGAGTTTAAACGCAGCATTGTGACCAAATCACCAGGTTTCTTCTTATATTAAAGAAGCCTTATATGTTTTTGTTTTTAGTAAACTAAAACATAATTGAAACAGGCCGCATCAAACTAAAACACAATATGGCCAAATGATAATGGACATCCTTCTTTAGAAATGGTGTGTCTGTCGATGGGTGAGGCTAAGGTCCGGTTGCATATTCTCTATACTGTACTTTGCACATTTCTCAAGTTGCAGACAGGGAGAATTTGTTTCACAATCAACAGCTTTAATTAGTGACCATTTCCTTTTTTTTGGGTGACCTTTATGCTTGTTTCAGGGGTGATATTGGAAAGAAACATTAGATGCTAGATACTCTTGGTGGTCATAGTTTTAAATCTCATTGCCATTAATTTATCATATTCTTTTGCCAACTCTAGTTGATGAAAAGTTGTTTTCCATGAACCCAATTTTTTCTTGCTAATTTTTTCAAGAACTGAAAAAAAAAGGAGAGAAACTGATTTGCCATGTTGGTTTACATGTAAAAGAATTGAAACTGAATAGTTTATCCTGGAAGAGGACATTTTTCTGTAAGATAATCTCTAAAGCAGCTTTTTGCCTAATTTCCTCATCACCATAAGAATATCCATTTTCAATTTATCCTTACCTAGTTACAATCATGATGGATTTATTTAATTTGAATTTGGTATCTTCAACTTGATTTTTTTTTTAAAGGAATTGAACATTTCAGGTAGCTGTTGTCTTAATTTAAAGAATATACAGTGAAAATATTTCACACATTTTAGTGGTTAGCCTAAAGGTTTATGTTTATACAGTGAAGTTTCCTCAGTTCCATCAAAATAAAAGATCTCATGACCTTAGTACCTGTTACCTCTTTTCCATGGGAAGGAAACCTCCTCTCAGGGGTGCTTTCTCTTGTTACAAGAGTATCTCGTTAAAGATAGGTCCAATAAATATGACTGACCAAAATATATTCTTCATCAACAGTTGTCCTTCTAATTTCTCTGGAAACCTGTGTGAAAATGATGTGGATGAATGCCAAGTGAATAATAAATGCAAAAATGGTGGAACTTGCGCAAATAATTTTGGTGGCTACATTTGTAGTTGTATATTTGGTTGGGATGGACCTGAATGCACCATCAATAAGGATGACTGTGTGCCCTCTGGTAATGCCCCCTTGTGTTATAATGGTGGCACATGCATTGATAAAGTTGGAAAATATGATTGTCTCTGTCCTCCTGGAAAAATGGGTTAGTAAATAGTTTTAGTGTAGAGTTGGTACTGATTGAGTCTGTGATTCTGGCAATAGTTTGTAAGACTTAAGACTAGTTTACCAGACCCTAAAATAAAAATAAAATCTGTATATCTTAAAGTATGTCTAGATATTTCTCTACTCTATAATTAGTGCTTGGTTACTTGTGGAAATGATGGTAAGGATGTCATGCACTGAAGAAAGTTTGAGTGATATAATGAGGGAGATTTCGAGAGTTGAAATGTGTTAGATTCAAAAGAGAGCTTTCTTTGTGTACCTGCTAAAGCCTGAACCTCTTCTAGTTATCTTATTGCACATGTGCTCCAATTAATATCAACTAGGTCCTGTGTGCCAACATGATGATCAATGTTATCATAAACCTTGTTATGGAACTGCTTCTTGCTTTACTGATGCATTTGGAGCATATAGTTGCATTTGTCCGAGAGGGTGGACTGGTAAGAATTGCAGTATTGACATTGATGAATGCAGTTTGGATTTGGTGTCACCTTGTCACCATGGTGGTACATGTGTCAACACTGATGGATCATTTGAATGCAGTTGTGTTGCTGGTTACAAAGGTAAATATCATAGTACAGTCTGCAGAATTAACTAGATAGTAGCAAAGAAGTTTTCAAAAAGACTTAAGTTAAAAGGCTAATTTTCATGTCAATGTCCTTAAGTAGAAGTTATTGTAGGACTCTGATAATGACTTGATAATTGATTGTCAAGAAGTCTTTTTTAAAGGCCACTTACAGAATGCATTACACAAGTGACAGGGCTTATGTCAGCACATTTCTTGACAAGAAATAAGCTGACATAAGACTGACAAGTATGTGTAAATTAAATGTGCAACACCAGAAATTGTAATGTCTTCTTTGCAATAAGTCTAAGAGGGTACATCCTGTCTAATAAGATCTAAAGAAAGATTGTAAGCTACATGAAGTAACCATTTTTTCACTTCTGTTGTCCTCTAGGTGAAAGATGTGACAAATTTATAGATGAGTGTGCTTCGAATCCATGCAAGAATGGTGCTAATTGCTTAGACTACACCAATTATTTTGTATGTGCATGCATACCAGGATGGACAGGCAAATATTGTGAGACTTTGATAAACGAATGTGCCAGCAGTCCTTGTCAAAATGGTGGTCAGTGCACGGATTTACTGAACAAGTACAGTTGTAAATGCACCATTGGCTTTAATGGCACTAATTGTGAGACAAACATTGATGATTGTGCACACCCTAATCCATGCAAAAATGGAGCCACATGCACTGATGGTGTTGGATCATATACATGCACATGTGCTAGTGGGTTTACAGGAGGTAACTGTGATAAAGACATTGATGACTGTGTCTCAGTACCTTGTAAACATTATGGAACATGTGTGGATGAAGTGAATGGCTACTCTTGTCAGTGCACCCCTGGTTATACAGGAAATAATTGTGAAAACCAAGTTGATGAATGTGCTAGCAATCCTTGTATGAATGGTGGAAGCTGCACGGATTTGCAAAATGGTTTCCGCTGCACCTGTCCACAAGGCACAAGTGGTAAGCAGTTTTAAAGTACATGTAGTTGTATTTTGAATCTTTAGTCTAGGAGAATGGTTGATGCATGGTTTGTCACTTGTATATGTTGAGGCCTGAGAAAAATTTTTACTCTTTCCTACATCTCAGTAGTGTACATCATCTGAGGAGTCACATCTTAAAATTGAAGGGAAAAATTTCCTCCAGATTATTTGCCAGCATAACAATAATATTTTCTTCTGTGTTTTCAAATATTTGCACCTTTAACTCTCATAAGTGACTAAGAGAGAATTTCTCCTTGCAATATCAGTACAACATCAAGCAGAAAAAAGATGAGGATGAAGAAAAATATCAATTAGGGGATTATTGGTTGATCCAATTCCAAATTCTTTAAACTAACATAAAAATTGTGTGGCAGACAGTAAAGAAGAATTTTAGGGTCAAGATCCCAACTTAATGGTGATTACATTGTGCTGTTTATATTCTTTTTAACTGAGTTTTTGCACAACAAGTTTTAGATGGTAACAATGGCATTCTGTTTTAAAGGTGTAAGATGTGAGCACAATGTTGATGATTGCATTGGAGTGACTTGTGCCAATGGTGGCACGTGCATTGATGAACTCAATAGCTACAAATGTGCCTGTCATCCTGGTTTTTATGGTGGAAAATGTGAAATGAACACTGACGAGTGTCGCTCACAACCTTGTCAAAATGGTGGCATTTGTACTGATGGTGTTGCCCAGTATCACTGTCAGTGTCCAGCTGACTTCACTGGTTTGTATTTGTTTTTAGTGTCTCTTAACTCTTCATTCTTAAGCTCTAACCTGTATTTGTGATATCATAGTATTAAGTAAAGAGATTATAAGATGAGATTAGTCAGTTACAGATTCTTTTGACCCTTTGACTCCCAGGAGTGACAAGCCATGAAGTTTTCCTTTTATTATCAATATATTGTAAACCAGACATAGTGGGAAGTATGCACCTCTAATAAAGATATCCATAAAACTTTATTGCTATAAGAATCACCAAATTCTGAGAGATAAGATCACGAGAAGTCTATGGCTGACAATGTGGAGAATTAATATGTTGATTGTGAAAGTGGAAGATATAACTAATTCATAAGGCAATGCAAAGCAGCCTGAATGAATAACTCAGTTTAAGATTAACTTCTTACGATACCAGTACAATTAACAGAAGAACTGATTACCCAATCAGGTGAAGAACTCTCCTAATGCAGCAATAAATTCTCTTATTGTAGTTAATTTGTAAACAGTATGGTAAGTGCTTCTCTACAGTGATACAGAGAATCCTGATGCACATGAACTTGGACGTAATGTGGTTGATTTTGTATTAATTTCTTTGTAAACTTTTGGAATTTTAAGGTCGAAGTTGTGAAACCAGAGTTGACAACTGTCTTGGAAATCAGTGCCAAAATGGTGCAACATGCCTCTCTGAGCAGAATGGCTACTCATGTCAGTGTGCCCCTGGCTTTAAGAGACAGTTGTGCGAGGTTGACATTGATGAATGTGCTTCCAACCCCTGCAATCATGGTGAATGCAGGGATGGTCTCAACAAATATGTTTGTGTCTGTGACAGTGGCTACAGTGGCACTAAATGTGATACCAATATTGACGACTGTCAACCTAAGTAAGTGATTCTACTTTGAGTTTGAAGGAGAGGTCACTTAATGGCTACCTCATCTGTTAAATGGGTAACTGTATGCTATTGCATTTTGATATCTATCTATCTATTTTTTGCAGTCCCTGTTTCCATGGATCAACTTGTTTTGATAAAGTAAATAATTTTTCCTGTATGTGTTCTCCTGGTTTCTCTGGGCAGAGGTGCGAGCACCATATAGATGAATGTAATTCACAACCCTGCCAAAATGGTGCAACCTGTGTTGATGAGATTGGCTCCTACAGCTGCTACTGCAAGCCAGGCTACACTGGAAGGAATTGTGAAAGTGTGATAAATTGGTGTCAGAGCTCTCCATGTAAAAATGGTGGAACATGTAAACAAGACCCAAATGCTCTTGATTTTCATTGTGATTGTCTTACAGGATTTAAAGGTATAATTTGTGATGTGGAAAACATAACCTGTAACAATGCTAAGACTAAACTTACAGATCGAAGTACTGTGTGTTTGAATGGTGGTACTTGCATTGATGATTACCAGAATGTGCAGTCCTGTTCTTGTCCTCCTGGCTTTATGGGAAGCTTCTGCGAATCGAACATCAATGATTGTGCAAGTGGTCCTTGTAAGAATGGTGCTCAGTGCTCTGATGGTGTAGCAAACTATACCTGCAGTTGTGCGAGAGGATTTGCTGGTGACGACTGTGAAACAAATATCGATGATTGTGCTTTAAACCCATGTGACAATGGTGGCACTTGCATTGATCTTGTAGATGGCTTTATCTGCTCTTGTCCTGTTGGATATGTTGGCAACAGGTGTGAACAGAATCCTAATGATTGCTTGATATCTAGTACTGCCTGTTTCAATGGAGGACATTGTGTGGATGGCCTGAAGGCTTTCTCCTGCCAATGTGCTGCAGGATATTCAGGAGTGCGTTGTGAGGTTGACATCGATGAATGTGCATCCAATCCTTGCTCTGCACTTGGGACTGAAAAGTGTTATTCTTTGCCTAATAATGATTACAGTTGTAAGTGCAAGATGGGATTTCTTGGGAAAAATTGTCACATCGATATCAACGAATGTTTGTCAAATCCCTGCCAAAATGGAGCTGAATGCAAGGATGGGGCTGGGAAACATATCTGCCTCTGCCGGATGGGATATTCAGGGCTAAACTGTGAGCGCCGTGTTTACTCATGTTCAGATGATCCTTGCTTGAACAGCGGCACCTGCTTGACGCATACAAATGGTAGTTTTCGTGTGCTTGTGTGGATGGGGTAAAAGGAAAAAGCTGTGAATGGAATCTGGACGACTGTCTTGCCGCACCTTGCCAGAATGGAGGAACATGTGTGGATTTGTTCAGTAACTATGAGTGCAAGTGCCCTGTGGGGTATACTGGAAGAAACTGTGAGCAGGAGATTAATGAATGCCAAAGCAATCCCTGCAAGCACAATGGTACATGTGAAGATATGATGGGCCATTACAGATGCAAGTGTCCAGGTAAAAAGTGATTTCAGGGAATACATTTTTAAGGCATTATTGGTACAGGGAGGGGGATATGAGGGTTGGGGAAAGAAAAGCGTGTTGACCTGAAGGATATGAGACATTCATCTTGGATTCGTTTTAACCCTTTAACTCCCACGAGTGACCAAGACAGAATTTCTCCTTACAATATCAATACAATTTTAACCAGATAAATGATGAGAAAAAAGAAAATATCAATTAGGGGATAATTAGTTGATCCAATACTAAATTCTCTGAACTAACATTATAAGGATAGTATGGTTGACAGTAAGGAGAATGACAAATTTGATCTGGGAGTTAAAGGGTTAATGAAATGACAACTACTTTTAACCCTTAAACTTCAATGAATGATTGAGACAGAATTTCTCCTTTCAATGTCAATGTGATATCAAGCAGGCAAGTAATGAGAACTAGGTGGACTGTCAATTTGGGGATTCTTTGTTGATTCAACAGTAATTTCTCCCAACATCATAAGAATTGTATTTCAGACAGTAAGGAGAATTACATGTACTAATGAGATCTTAGGAATGGAGGGGTGAAAACGTTTCATTGCTCCATAGAGCTTCGCCAAGTTTAGAAGCCAGTTTAACTCTTTAACTCACAAAAGATAATAAATTTTTTTCCTTTGTTGTCTTTCCTGCTTCATATCTCCAAACATTATCCTTCAGTTGGTGTGTTTTCATTTTAGATTCTCATCTACTTGACAGAGATTTGGCGTTTTGATCACTCGTCAGAGACATAATGTCCACTTCAACAGACATGATTTAATTGTATTTATTTATTTTTTTTTTCCATTCAGTTGGCTTTAACGGGACCGACTGCGAGGAAGAAGCGAAATGCCCATATTCGTATTGTAAAAAAACATTTGTACCAGGAGGGACTTGTAACGTAAGCTTATCAAATGGATTTAAAACAAAATTGCAGAAGTTTGAATTTTTTTGTTCTTAACTTTTTCGTGTATAGCCATTCTTCGTAGTAATGTCTTACGCTTTTTGTTTTAATTCAGGAAAGTTGCAACACTCACTCTTGCAACTGGGACGGGACTCTTTGTTCCCTTGGAATACAACCATGGAAGAATTGCTCTGTATTAACAGCAAGTGGAGAATTTTGCTTCAAAGTGTTCCAAAATGGAATATGCGACAAGCATTGCAACAAAGCTGAATGCCTTTTTGATGGATTTGACTGCAATGCACCCAAGGAAGAATGCAGGTATTTACGAAATATTGCTATTGCAAAACTGATGCAAAATAGCTAATTCTTAAATTAAGTTCAGGAGTCAGAAAAAAATAAAACGATCACGTTGCAAAAGAAGCTTATTTTTTACTTCCTTACGTACTATTTTGTATTTGTTTGCATTACAGCAATGATGATTATTGCAAGTCACGCTTTGAGAATGCAATATGCGACACGGTGTGCGACAGTGAAGCTTGTTTGAAAGATGGCCTGGACTGCGAGACTGGAAAACCGGAACCGGTGGGTGAAATCACTAATAGCTGTTTCTGCAGAATAATCAGACAGTCGTTATTGTGATAAAATTAGTACCTTGGTTCTCCACGTGAATAATATCGAGTTTCAGTCAAAAGTAGGCTTTTGACGTTTACCTATTCGTGAAACGAATCGAAGTCATAAAAATCTGTTGAAAAAAACCTTTTCTCTCTCTTTAAGGGCGAAGGGACGCTTATACTAGTGTTGAGGGTGCCTCCAGAAGTTTTCCGCAATGGCTCAAGAATATTTATGAGGGAACTTTCTGCCGTTTTGAACACCATTGCGTTTATCAAGCGTCTAGGAAATGAGGAAATGATATATTCCTTTGATCTTAGAACGCGTAAACGTCGCCAAGTTGTTCATCTGCGTGTTGTTCGAGCGGCAGACGGAACAGGGTAAGGAAAACGATTATGTTTCTCTTTGATTGCGGATACTTGCGTGCAGGAGGCGTTTTCACTCTGAATGCTTCGAACTGGCGTGCCGTGGAACAAACTCGTAGACTTATCTTTTGTTTCTGTTTATGTTCCTGCCCGCCATGTAAACCACTACAACATTCCCTTTTGTATAATGTGTTTTGTAAAAGATAGTCGAAACTTCTGTGGACAGATGTTCTCGTTACAAGAGAGAATCAGTGTCTGCTACCATAAGTATCTTTTTACATGACTTACCCCATGGCCGGACTATTGCTGTATATTTTCTTGATCGAAATTTCAACCGTTCAATGCTCCAGTTCTTTACCATACAACTGAACTGACTTCTTCCCACGTTGAATTCTGTTGACGTCACTGACTTCCCTCTCTCTTGTCTCTAAAGGACGAAAGTGCACGTACAGCTTGACCAACGAGGTTGTTCAGGACCAGCGTGTATCTCCACAGCCAGCGAAGTAAGTCTTTTATTTTTTTTGTCTAAGGTTGTTCTTGGTTCCCTATCAGTGCTAACCTTGTCCTGTTTTATGCGATTTTAGGCGGCCCGCTACCTAGGTGCGTTAAAGTCGTCTAATAAGCTGGATCTACCCTATCCTGTGTACAGAGTGGAAGGTTGGAACTCTTGTGTTCTTTTGTTATAATTGTTATCATGATTATGATTATCGTTATCATTACCATTATCATCAATATTATTATTATTATTATTATTATTATTATTATTATTATTATTATTATTATTATTATTATTATTATTATTATTATTATTATTATTATTATTATTATCATTTTTACTACTGCTATTATTGTTTTTGTTGTTATTAGTGTTTGTTTGAGGGCTCTGCCATCTTATTAGTGTCTCGGGTTATCAGCCGTCATCGAGTCAAGATTTGTTTAATACTAAGGGCCTGTTCCACATGTGCCAAGGATTCCCTAGTGGTAGTAGTTCCAATTATCTTCACATAGTTTTGGCCGTGCATTTAGCTTTTCGTTTTTACAGGACGTCTCATTTTGAGCGAAACAGAAAGCGAGAGATAATTGTAATCTGATCGCGCTTCTTAAAAACGCTTTGAATGTTGCGTAGCGACTCACGGAAACTTACCGGTTTACACTTGCGTACTGCATGCGTTTATCTGACGTAGTGTCGTTGTTTTAAATGTTTCATTTTTGTGTTTTATTTAGTGGAGGACTCCTCTTCAACTTCATCACCGCCTGTTTCTGGAACTAAACTGTCACCACTTTACATAGCCATTCTGTGTGTAGTTATCCCACTGCTTCTTGTGGGAGGGTTGTTGGGTGGCAAGAAAGTATACGCCAAGCTATGGGTACCAGAGGGCTTTCCTATATACCGGTCCCGGCGCCAGCCGTCTACCAGACGTGATCCTGTAGGGCAAGAAGTCTCCATGAGGTGAGTATATTTGGTGATCATAAGATGATCTCTAGGATCAAGAAAGTAAAGCTTGTTAGGGGAAATGATGAAGTGGAAATTCATTTTGATTTTGCTGTTTTCCTTTCACGGAAGATCGATGAGCAAGAGTTCGTCAGAAATTGATGAAGAGGGTGCATGCGCCGACGGCGAGAGCAGCCGTTCAGACCTGACTCCTCCCAGAGAATCAAAACGCGTTAAGCTGGACAACGGTGAAGACTCGCGAAAGTGGACCTCACTTCATAAGCAAGCGGCGGACGTAACTGTGCGCAACTGCGCGTTGGCTTTGACTCCTCCTCAGGAGGGAAGCGGCGAAAGAGGGGCACCGGGCGTAGACGTGGATGCTAGAGGCCCAGGTGGAATGACAGCCCTTCACTTGGCATCCTGCCGTGGAACTTACGGTGATGGCAGCAGCCTTGATGATGACAAAGACAGTGATGACAGTGGAGGGGCCATGGTGTCGGATCTACTGTCCCTTGGGGCAAACTTTGTTTCCAAGACGGACCTGGAAGAGACGCCGCTTCATCTTGCTGCCCGGCACTCAAGGGCGGATGTGGCGAAACGTCTGTTGGACTACGGAGCAGATGCGAACGCACGGGACCGTCTCAACCGCACGCCCCTCCATTTGGCCATCGGAGCTGATGCACAAGGTGTCTTCCAGGTAAATAACACTTAGTATTCACCTTGATTTAGGAAAGCAAGTGTTATCCAACAAAATTCCATTCATCATCATCTAGCATTCTCGCGATGTTTCCTATTCCAAAATGATTTAATTTTTTTTTTCTCTGATATCTCTGACCGACTTCATTTCTCCGTGCATTCAGATCTTGTTAAGGAATCGTGCCACAGACCTCGAAGCCCGAATGGACGACGGTACCACTCCGCTTATCCTTGCCGCAAGACACGACCTTCCAGACCTGGTGCGGCACCTCATCAAAGCCGGAGTGAAGGTTAACAGTGCTGACAATCAAGGTGAATTCCTCACCCCCATTTTCCGTTTCTGAAATAGGATAGATTTAAACATTCGTATCGAATTCTGACAGCTTGAATGTTTCCAATAGGGAAAACGGCTTTGCATTGGGCTGCGTCAGTGAACAGCCTGGATGTTACCAAAGAGTTGTTAAGAAATGGCGCTAAGAAAGACGCGCAGGACGAAAAGGTTAGTTTAATTCACATTTATTTTTCATGTGAGCTTGGTTCGCAGGAGGCAGAGGAGCTTTATTTGACTGCATATCTAGTCAAATTCACCGGACATTTGCAACGCAAATTGATCGTTGAAGTCGACGATACATGCGGTCATTTTATGTGGCTGTTGAACTCCTATGCGCAAGGTATTGTGGGTTTTTCACCAGTGGCCCATCGTGGCTTGCAGGGAAAGCTATTCTCGCTGACCGTGCCTGTATGGAAAAGGTTCCCTTGTCGTTCGCAGCAGCCAGGGGATGGATTTAAGCGGGTGCGTAACGCGATCGTTGAAGTCGCACTGCAATTGTAGGGTGAATTTAAAAGGAATACAACAGTCAAAGATAACCCTTTTCTGTTTTAATTTTTTTGTTTTGTTACGGTGATTGGTGTTAAAGTTTTTTTTAATCCATTTCTAGGGTCAAACTCCGTTGTTCCTGGGTTGTCGTGAAGGCAGCGTACAGACCGTGAGACATCTTTTAGTGAATTATGCCAACAGGAAAGTTGCCGATTCTATGGACATGACACCTGAGGATATCGCTAAACAAAGACATCATCAAGACATTGTCGAATTGCTAACGGATTGGTCACTTGGCTGTAACTCGCCTAATGCAGTTCCAGCCCCTACTTCACTCCCCGAGGGGCAAAATTCGTCCATGGTTAGCATAGCATCTCCTCTGGCAACATCGCCACCAACTGTCGAAATTCCGAATGGTAGCGCAGCAGCCATGGTACAACAATTCCATGTGGCGCATCCAAAGGCCACAGTGAGTAGAACGCCTGGGTTGAGACCCAGACCGAGCGCAGCCGGGAATAATGATAACAGTAATGCAAAGAGGAAGCGAAAAAAGGCGCGGCCAGAGAGGAAGTACACCCGTCTGTGAGTGTCGTCCCGACGCTCTCACCTGCTGGGTTCATGCATGTTGTAACGTCCTGCACCCCTGGACAGCAACAGCAGCAGGCGTTTTCGCCAAATTGTGTGCCAATCACGAACGGACTCTCGCCGTTAGGGAGCATTTCTCCCGGCATATCTCCCGGCATATCTCCTGCGGATTCAACTACGCTATCACCTTTTCAAGCTCAAAATTCGTTGGATGCACAACCGCCTTCACCGCTAGAAATATTATCACCCGATGACCTAGCCGGGTTGGAAGAGGTTGACCTTGATTGGAGTTTAGTTGACGCTCTAGATGATCCTACGGATATGTCCATATGCGGGTTTACCATGAACACATCTTTAGGGCAGGGGACCGCTATGGACCACACTGTACCCACTACATCAGACTGTCTGTACATGCCCGTCAGGCCAATAGAGGGTCAAAGACTCTACTCGGTGCATAGCACACCGGACTTACCTTGTGTCGGTCTGCAACCTTCCGACTCTCGATCTTTAGTCTTTAACGGAAGAACTTGTCATTCGGCGCAGAAGGCGCCTCCACCGATCTCTCAACAGGCTGCATTTCAGGCCATCACTAACTCCAACATGTATTCCCACGCCGGTGGCGTTGGCGGATTAGGAAACGGCCTGTCGTTTAGGAAAGACTACCAAAATGACGATTATTCGATGCGCCATCAACAATTGCAACATATGCCGCATCAGCTTGTCTTTCCGGCCGACGAAATGGCTCCTGTACATACACAAGTGCGGTTCATGAATAATTACGACTCGTCGCCGCAAAAGTATTTATCATCTTTCCCGACCCCCTCACCTGATTCGCCGGGAGACTGTTCATCATCGTCATCATCGTCCTCGTGCTAATCAATTGATTTCTGTACTATTCGTGTTTGTTATGATTGGGTTTTTTTAAGATCGTCATGAGAGTCGTCACAATACATGCTACGCTCAGTTATTTTCTATTGTATTCTTGGTTTATTAATCGCTAAGCGTATTTATTTATTTGTACAAAAAATGACAGTGTAATTGCCAATAGTCACAAGTCAGTCTGGCTCTATAAGGAATGTCACGCAATGTTTCGTGTGAAGCGGTGCGTGACGCCCCACCACAATTTGTCACGACTCACCCAAAATAAGCTTGGAATTTTCAAGCGAGAATCTTTTGTTTTTTTTGTTTTTGTTTTTGTTTTATTTTGGCCTGCTTGTGTGAGTCGTGGCTTCTTCTTGAACTAGATTGACAATGAATACTGCCATTGACACTAAAATAAGTTTTGTCCACGCCACACCTCTGAAGAGAACTTATATTGTGCAACGATGAATAAGTAAGTTTGGTAAAACTGGTGTTTCAGGTTATGCATCATAATGTTACGAATCGTGTCAAGTTATTTATTAATCAGTTAACGTTGTAGTTATTCTATAGTCACTCAACTGTGTTTTGGGTGGCGAACTCGGAAGGTAAACAAATCGAAAATCAAGGCTTCTTAAACATACGATAAAAGGTTTCTAGATTGAACAGTTTTATAGTTCTTAAATTGCAAGAGGTTGTGTCCAGTCGGTTGAATGTTCATCAGATTTTGTAAGATATACGTTAAGGAATGATATTTCGTATGGTATGACCGTAACTGTAATTTTAAACGTGGGAAGGATTGCAGTACATAGATGCACTGCGTATTTGAAGGACAGTCCGCTCGAAGGACGGCGAAAAGTGGTCACTGCTTTAAAAAAGAAAAAAATGCAATTGATTTATAGTCGAATAATTGAATTTCATGTTGGAACAAAACACACAGAGCTATAGAAAAGTTTAATATATTTTTAAGATGTAATTAGGGAGAACGTACCAAACTGTAAATACATTTTTTTTTTGTATATTGAAAACATTTATGCCCCATGTACTCGCCACACTCAGTTGAATCGACACACCTTAAACATTTGAGTTCTTAGTACTGAAGTGAGGGGTTTTTAGGTATGGTTGAGTGACTGTTTTAGCCCGACTAGAAGCTTCGGTAATCCGGTATATTATTTTTATAACTTCTTTTCTGGAAATCATTTAAGTACATACACTATGTTATCAACGATAAAAAATACTATTTTGGGACGGAAAAATAATAATAAACCTTGAATTGCGATAGAAGGCATACAGGTGGTGTATTGTTACGAACTATTTTTAAGATAGGGATGAATCGGTCGGAGTTTACAAACGACCTCATTGCACGAAAAGAACTGCGAACTTTGTTTACGCTTTAGGCAACAGTTGGAAGTTTGCCCGATTTTATTCACGTTAACAGACAATCAACTGGTTATTTTCCGTATGAACAGGTCGCTTAAATTCCCAATGTAATAGAAGGAATTTCCTTTGTTCATCTTGTTTCCCTGATTTCAGGGAAACTTGGTTAAAGACGACTTTGCGAGGTAGGCACCAATTGTTTTTATGGACGCGAAAAACGTTGAAAAAGCAAAGTCTGAATTGGAGTACTTTTCAAGAGCATGATTAATCTTCGTGTCAAGCCCTACGTTTTGGCCTGTATGTAAAGGAAGAGACATAAACACAATAGAAGGTGAATGAGTTGGTAAATATTGACGGATTGAGTGGCCTCGTGGCGTTAAAACCCGTGGGAAAAATGTATTTTGCACCTTCCCACACACTTCTTTTCTCGTGCTCCTTTGTGCGGGACATCTGGTCCGTAGCCAATCACAGAGCGAGGTGAAGTCGAAACCGTGCAGCACGTGCAGATTGACAGTGCTTGTTGTTCGAAAATCATCGCTTTTTTATTCAAAACACTTGCGGACAGCAGGGATTTACACTGAGTGGTAGACCGCGTGGAATTTAGGTCTTAGTACGCGCACAGTCGAGAGATTTCTTATTGTGCGGAAAGACCTCCTTATTAATGCGGTGAATTAATGACGTTTAACGCATGAGAGGAGGCAAATGGTGCGCAACAAACCGGAACAATTTCTTAGAAAGGGCGTCATAGAATGAGAGCGAGTGTGCTGTTTATCACAAATAGACTTACGGAAGAAGCAGAAAACACTTTAAAAGGGCCCATGAAACTTACTGGAATCATTGATGGTGCGCGGATTATTATAAGCGCGATTAATGTCATAATGTAATCTTCGTCGTATTTTGTTTGTGAATGACAACTCGCGACTCTCTTAATTGTGACCTGGCAGATGTTTATTGACTATGCAGCTTATTTGTTATGACAATTTGAAGCATTTTTCTACATTTTGGACGATAGAACACGAATAACGAAACCTGCTATTTGAAATAGGAAAGTTGGAGGATCTTTTGTTCGAAGGAGAGAAGCAGAGTACATATACTGGTCACCAAAATACGTTCCGTGCACTCCCGCTTAAGTTATGTTTAATTGTTTGAATAGATGCAGAGTTAATAAACGCTCGAACGATGTCAAACAAAAGGTATCTTTGCAAAACGAATCAAGTATTGACTTGGAAGTACTTCAAGTTGACGCAAATTTCTCAAGTTCCGTTCGATACATTATGAATTGGTCGCGAGACTTGAAAAGTTCATTCCTTTCCATTATGTTGATTGCTGGGCAAGACCAATCTTGAAAACGAAGGCCCGTAATTAGTTAAAACCTCCAACAAAGCTTCTTTGGAAAACCACAAACAATGTCGAAAATGTGAAGGGTCAATCAGAACCAGCGAGCGCGGAGATGCAGGATTCTAAGACAGTGTGTCCGGAAGACAATTACTTAATTCTGATTTGTTGAAAGCCCTACACAAGACTTGATCATCTTTCCACTTGTTACTCCTTTATTAAGGGGGGCGCGCACGGTGTTATGGGGTGGAAGTTCATTACTTTCTAAGACTTACAAACGGGAGGCGGGAGTGTGGCTTTTTAGGGGTAAGGGGCTTTTTAAAGGGCTGAGCAAAACCTTGCGGAAGGCTAAACTGCCAATTGTTATTTACGATCTAAATCTTCGCCCATACTAAACACATACCGTATACAATACAGATTTCTTGGGTTCAAAACTTAAAATATTTGAAAAGGAATTAGTGTAGGCTTTCCATCAACAATAGTGACACAATTCTATTTCGCCCAAACGAATGACAAAACCTTATCTTACCTTGGGAAGGAGGGGAAGGGGGTTCGTTAGGAGGGGGGCTTAAAAGAGGGAAAGGGTTTTGGAATGGTTTGACATGCACACCAAGCAGCGATCTTCCTTAAAGAGCGCTTAGTGTCACAGAAATTTCTGCCTTCTTATTTTTCTCTAAAATTTTTTAGTGGAGCGGAATGAAAATATTATAAAAAATCAGGAGTAATGGGCTCCTGAAAAAGCCAATACGCTTTTCCCTTCAATTGTGGGATGGCAGGAACAGCACTCTGGGAACGAAGTCGGGTCGAACTGCTGTGTCTCTTCAGAAGGGTTTTACCGTCAGTGACCGGAATAATTGATGCTTCGGAGACAAGGTCAGAGAGTGTGAGTGGAAATTCGTGTACGGTTAACCCAGAATTCTAACATGTGCTCTGATGTAAACAATACGTAAACCCCACCTCATTCCTCAGTCAAGTTGGATAGTGAGAAAATAGTTCGTCCTACTGCTTTTGGAGAGATCTCCAAGGGGAGGGGTGGGACGGAGGATTTTAGGGGATCACATGGTTTTCAGCGGCAACGGAGGATGGAGGCGGAAGATTTTGTGGGAGTCACATGGTTTTTAGGGGTAATGAAGGGGGGCGGAGGATTTTGGGGGATCGCATTGTTTTCAGGGGTAACCGAGAGGGGAGCGGAGGATTTTGAGGAATCACACGGTTTTCAGCGGCAACGAAGGGTGGAGGCGGAGGATTTTGTGAGAGTCATGTGGTTTTCAGGGGTAATGGAGAGGGGGGCGGAGGATTTTAGGGGATCACATGGTTTTCAGGGGTAACGGATGGGGGAGGGGGATTTTGGGGGAATCATATGGTTTTCAGGGGTGACGGAGGGGGGTGGAGGATTTTGGTGGAATCACATGGTTTTCAGGGGTAATGGAGGGGGCCGGTAGATTTTGGGGATCACATGGTTTTCAGGGGGGAACGGTCGTCGCTAACAGAGTTTAAAGTGAGGACTATATTGAGGGGATATTATTGGAATACTACAGAGCATTATGAAGGATTAGGTAAATTTGGTTGCGACAAAACCAAAATCATTCGATCCTCTCCCCCTCATTAGCAATTTTTAGTCAGTTCCGAGAGATATCATTAAGGAAGTCAGATTTTCCGCCTAAAACTTGCAAGTTCATTTAGGTCAAATTTCAACAAATTTAATACTTTCTGCGTCATCTGTCGACTTGCTTTTCTATTCCTGATCTCCGCCTCTTTGCAGAAATGTGTCATTATTTTAATTTACACAACGGCCTCCTCAACCGAAAATGGGACCCTAGCATTCACTCTGAAAAGAAATGGGGGATGCTTAATTAAAAATTCATGAAAGGTAGTCATACATATACATTTCTTTTTTTTGATAGATACAAACTGCCTCCTATGCGAGGCTTTTTGGGTGGCCGAATGCATCGTCTGCGTTTACCCTTTTTCGTATCAAAGCGATAACGGGTGCAATTTTCTTTGTTTGGAAGTTTTAACCCTCGTTCAATTGCATTTCTCCTTCAAACAATCAACTTCCAAAATGCAATTGACTGGTGTACAAAGTTTACACACAAGTTTAGTGACAAAGCTGGTTTATTCAACTTCCTTTAATTTTCCTTTCTCTGAGATCTAATTCTCCACGAAAGAAATTTTGCGTCATTATTGAGATTATCTCGAGAACCGTTCAATTAACTGAACAAAAGGATACGTGTTTTGTCCTGAGAATAATATCAAAACCCGCGTGGACTACAGCTGTGAAAAACAATACAGTCGGGTGCTTGGAGCGACAGGTGCGCTACCTAGCTGATTATCAGCTTATAGATTAAAGGTGAACCACCGTAGCGGATTTTGAAAAGCTGAAGTATGGAACTTAAGCCTTTCATCAGACAGAGCTTGAACTCTAAGCTTTTCAAAATTCGTTAGGGCGGTTTATTTCCATCGATAAACTCCATCCTAGTGGTGTGCTGTGTACCTCACATGTCCACCAATGTATCGCTATAGTTTCTTTAGAAACTAAATTTTTACAGCAGGTGTACCAATGCCATGTACCTAATGATGTTAAAGAAGATGATCTAATCAATGTATTTCATCTAAGAAGCCATTTTCTTTTTGTTTGTTGCAAGTTTGTTCTTGCTTGGGAATAACATGTTGTCTTTTTATATTTCGTGACTTAAAAAAAACAACTTTAGCTACGAGGGTTAATCGTCATTGAAGTTTTTTTTTAGTTGTTAATTGGGCGAATTTATACTAAGCATTGAAAGAAGTTTGTAAGGTAAATTGATTACGGTTCAAAAATGAGGCCAAAAATAATTGGTCCATGCTTTTAGCTGTGCGCACAAGTCGAGTCATGGATGCACTTGAAGAGCACTCAAGTAGCAAAATTTTGTCCCGGCTGCGCCTCGAGCAACTCTTGCACTTCCCTCGTGCTCTCCAAACTTTCCGGGTGCATCCAATTTTTTTAGTCACAGATCGTGTAACGTACAAGATTGAAAAAGGACGGGTAGTAGGGACCGGTCATTGTCTGGCACCTGGGAGGGGTGAGGGGAAGTTGGAGGATTTTGATTGTTCATGATAAAATTTACCCGATCCCCTCTGTAATATTCTAACACGGCCCCCCCCCACCCTACCCCCCTCCTCATTGGCAGTTAATTGGAATTCAATTTTCTAAAGTCCCCCTTCATACTCTGTTGGTGACAGCTGATTCCCCCCTCAGTTCCTCCGGAAAAAAATGTGAAATCCCCCTCAAATAAACTCCTCCCCCCCCCCTCCTTCCACCCCCTCCCCCGGCGAATAATTACCGTTCTATTAGCGGAAGTAATTATCGGACGACATTGATAAGAATTCTTTTTGATCTCTGAAAGAAGGGCAAGACTTCTGAAAAGCTTCTTTGACTGATACCTTTGACTGTTGGTGAGTAAGTCTTATAAAATTTGTCTTTACTTTGGGATCAGGCATGCAATTTGTTTTGGGACTTTCCTTTTTCTGAATTTTTATTCTTTTTTCTTTTTCGAGAGTAACGGAAACATTCTTTCAGTTGACAAGCCTTTGTAGCACGGACTAAATTGACACTGACGATAATCTGCTCCTCGTGCAGATAGTTTGCATTGTTTCGACTCGATTGCGAGCGGCGAAAAATTCGATTACCCGGAGCCGGCGACTGAAAGAAGACTCTAAGGACCTGTTTATATGGAGGTAGGGGACCCCAGGTAGGTGAGGTAACCCACCAAGGTGGGGTAACTCGCCTGTCCATATAATTTCTTATTTTATCTTGATCACGTTTACCCCACCTCCATGTAAACAGGCCCGAAAAGAGTTGTAATAGGAGATCGTAGGGACATGAAAAAATGCTCTCGTTTTCAGCCAATTAGAAGCACGGGAGTTTTTCATGTATACCATTACCTTAGTATCTTGCTCACTGTTAGGATTTTCTTCCTTACGATGGTTAGGTATGCATCTCGTGCTCTTTTAGGGTTCTCTTTCATTGGATTATTACGTTAGTATCTCACGCACTTCTACGATTCTTTTCTTTGGAGTGTTACGTTAGTATCTTGCGCACTTTCAGGATTCTCTTTCATTGGATTGTTATGTTAGTTTCGCGCGCACATTTAGTATACTCCTTCATTCGAAAGTTACGTTAATATCTCGTGCATTTTAGAATCGACTTATATTTGATTGTTACGTTAGTGTCTCGCGCACCTTTAGGATTCTCATTCATTGGTTTGTTACGTTAGTATCGTGCGCACTTTTAGGATTGTCCTACATGAGATTGTTAGTTAGTATCACGCGCAGTTTATGATAATCTTTCATTCGTAAGTTACGTTAGTATATCGAGCATTTTAGGATTTTCTTCCGTTTGATTGTTACGTTAGTATCTAGCACACCTTTAGGATTCTCTTTCATAGGATTGTTACGTTAATATCTCGCAGACGTTTGTGATTCTTTTTTATTGGATTGTTACGTTATTATCTCGCATATCCTTGGGATACTCTTTCATTTGGCTGTTATGTTAGTATCTCAAACACTTTGGGATACCCCTTCGTTCGAAAATTATGTCAGTATCTCGCGCATTTTTTGGATTGTCTTACATTTTATTGTCACTCTAGCCGTGATCTCTTGCACTTTTAGGCTTCTATTTTATTTGATTGTTGCGTTAGTATCTCGCGCTCCGTTAGGATTCTCTTTTATTTAAATGTTTAAATTTATTTAAACGTAAGTATCTCGCGCATTGTTAGGATCCTCAATCGTCCGATTGCAACGTTGGTCTTTCGCTTACTTTCAGCATTTTATACTTAGACCAAAGATATAAACGTCGTTGATCTTGAGGGAATTATTAATGTGCTGGCGCAAATCCCCAAATTTACGAGAGCTTTACAGTAAAAACTATCCACAACCTTCAGGAACACTCGACGGGATCTAGGGGTGATCTCAGTTGTGATATTGTCGAACGGTAGGAATATTGTGTTACACTGCCTGTTTTACTCGGCGAAAATTAGTGAAAACGATGATAAACTGATCACTTTGGAAATCCAGATTCCAGATCTAACACTGTCGTTCGCAAGGGGCTTAAATAGAGAGATTTTTTAAACCGTTTGACAATTAATAATGAGTTGCTTTTGGAGGACTGACGGTTAAATTTTAAGGCCTTCGACGGCTGACGGTTAAACCCATTTGAGACTCTCCCTCTTGATATATTTGTCTCAACTTTTATTTACTTTTCTGATCACCTATATTTCTCCGAAATGACTTTCGGAACCAATTGGAATATTCCCAGAGGGAAGAAAGTTAGAAAGAAGTTCGTACATAACCTCGTACCCAGATCCTATCGTCTAATTGTAACTGAACTGTAGGCCTTAGGAAGGTCTGGGTACATGCCTAGTTTCTACAAACCTACCGTGTCTCGCATAATTACTTTTTGTATTCACCATCCCGTCTATCACACGTCAGGAATTCCATACCTTAAGCTTTTTCACAGTTTCTCAGACTTCGTCGTTTGTGTGGTGACGACTCTGGTTTTTCCGTAGAATCTGGGGCAATGTGCCAGTTTTTCGATAAACGTGGCTATCCTATATCTGTCCTTCAAGCGAGCCACCGCCGCCTCCAACAAATTGATCAACCGTCAGCACTACAAAGGCACACAAAGAAAATACCGGTCGTATTCCATTCACTCTCACATTTCACCCTCACAGCCACGCAGTTAAATCTATCATTCTTAAAAACTTTAAATTACCACAAAATGATTCAGAGACTGGTTCTATCTTTTCGCATTCTCCACTTGTTTCACTTAAACGCGACAAAAACATCGGCAACTCTTTGGTTCATTTCAGTTCATTTCAAACCAAACACCAAACTGGAACTTTCAAATGTGCTCGCTCACGATGCAAAACTACTTGTCCTTTCATTCATAACGTAGAGAAAATGTCGGGACCCTAGAGATCTATCGAGATCACTGATCACTTTAAACACACACACACACAATCCACAATTCCTCTATTCGCTCCGGCGAAAAGTCAGCTTATAAACTATTTACGGTGGCCTATTTACGTTATCAACTCAGTTGATAATACTTAATTACCCTGTTAGTCTGTATATTACATGCATTTTGTCCCTGACGATTTTAATTTCGTCTCTGATAGGCGGAGGAATTAGAATTCAAAGAAGGAACTCCACACCCCTGGCAAGATTGCTCCAAACAGCTTTTCTTAACTTTGCGGAAAGATTTATCTTGTTATATTAAATTCAATGCATAAATTGAAAAAAACAGGTCACTGCATTTTCTTTTTCAGGTTAGAAGCTTTTAAAGCTCTAGGTAAGAGTATTTTTGTGCGCCTATAGTGTTACTAAGGTAACCTTTAATGTGTAAAAATATCTCGACAAGTTGAAAAGAAAGATTGGACTTTTTAAATACTACTCTCAAGGAAACAATCGAAGTGCTACAGTATTAATTCGTATAAGGACCGGTATTGAAAAATTACAAAACCGAACTACAGCTATCAAGCTAACAGACAGCTCTACAAGTCGGCCAAAAGAGGTGCAAATTCAAATGAAGCGCGTAAGGTGACGTCATACTTGCCGCGGGCTCAGGTTCGAGTGGCATGACTCGTGTCGAACGGTAGCTTGTGTTTTTAAACGAAAGCGATGGCTTTGACCGTGTGATACCAAATTAATTCTTGATTAGTCCCTGTTTCGTGCCGAAAATGAATTAGCTCATATAAGAATCATGGTGTTTGAGTCGTATGTTGTCGATCTTTTGAACAAGTTCGCCGGCCAGTACTTGGAGAATCTCGATACTTCCCAGCTGAGGCTTGGGATCTGGGGAGGTGGGTCGCAAGGGCATCAGAGCTACTTGTAGCTGGATTTTGATTGCTTTGCAAGTTCTTTGCACTTTGATTTTTTTCCAAACCTTCGACAACCACATTTACTGAAAACAACGACTTGTTTACGTTTGCAGGAGATGCCCAACTGGAAAATTTGATTCTTAAGGAAAGCGCCTTAGTAAGTTAAAGTTGTACTTTATGTTTCGATTACGTCGTGTGCCTACAGCATATCCGGTTTTGCCTAAAATTGCACCAAAGCTCTGCCATTTTGGGTGAAATCGTACGTTACCTGTATAGTTATTTTATATGTTAACCACGACTGGGTAATTAGGAGTTTGTGGATATTTGTATTGTCTCCGAACTGCACAGTGGCAACATTTTTTATATTTCTAGCGAACGACGATTGTCCGGTTTTTTTCTAGAAAATTCATGTGAGTTGCAGTATTGATAAAATATTATCGAGACCTGTTTAGGTTTTTCTGCTTATTCAGACGTGTTAGTTTGCATAAAGATAACCTGTGTACTTGTTATCTTGGTTTTTTGTGATCGTCGAAAGCAACCGCGATTGCACTTATGGAAAATCACACAACATTAAATTTAAAGTGGAGCCGAAATGTAGTGGATTCGTAAGTTCACATATTTGTTACGTTGACGAAACATTTTGCATAATTATTATTCTATATTTTTATTTTCCTCTTTCGTTGAGGAAAATTAGTAAATAAGATTTATTTTATGGCACTATTAAAGCTTCCTTCTAGTGAAATTTCACATTTCGAGCCTATTAATTTTTCATAAAATTATCATAATTTTAGGACAAATTTATTTTACAATTCAAGCTTGAATTTGTTCTCATATTTCAAAGTGGTAGTCATTGACTCAACTCTATGAATTATCTCAGTTTGCTAGTATTTAAACTGGTTCTACTTTTTTAAGTTTTTTGTCAGAAGTGCTTTGCTTCAACAATGTTGGTAATATAGGTTTATTAATTTCATGACAAATTCAAATAATTATTAATCTTAATACCTCTCCTGGTGACCATTCTTTCACCTGTTCTGCTCCGAAATTTTAGAGTGGAGTACCACTGGAACATGAAAACCTCAGAAACAAACTTAAGATCTAACCTTTTCTCCTGGAAATTTTTATAACTTTTAGATATAATTTTAATGTTTTCATCTTTATCAAAACTATTAGTGTTAATTTTATTTTTGGTGGAATTAACCTTAACTGTAATTTTTTCACATTTTTAAAATGTCATGCATATTTAAAGACTGTTAGAAATTTGAGGGAAAAACAGTAATTATGATAATGATGATAATATATAATAATAACTATTACTATTAGTTATTGTTGTTTGTCCAAAGCAACTTGCTTGTCCAGCCCATAATGAGTAACAATTTTTCTGACTTGAAAGTGCCACCTGATGCAGCAATGTGGAAAATTTATTAGTACAAGTAATAGTTACTTTTCTTTGCTCTAAGTGGGAACAAAATCTGATCACAGAGGTAGATTAACCATAATTGGCAAAGTGTTGCTATCCCTGTGCTGTTTATAACGAGTCTTACCCATAAACAAACTCATCTACTCAATCAATCAACCAAGCTACTTTCAAACAAGCCAAGGAGAAATCTTGTCATGGAATAGTGACAGCAAGACTTCAGTGCAAGTGTCTTATTGGGGCAAGTTGATCTTATGAGTGTGGGGCTGTTAATTCAACTGGTCTTGATAGATTTAGAGTTAGAGTGGACCTTGGGGGGAGTTGGTAGGGAAGCGCAAGTAGACATCTACCTGAGAAGGCTGTTAAAAAGCAAAACACCCTCTGATCAGTCATGTGTCACTGTAGTTCCTGTTGAGTACTTTTCAGATCTGAGTATGTGGTCCCACATAATTTTCCCTCCACAAGTTATAATTATTAAAATAATACTTATTAATGACTGAATCATCTGCAGGGTTCTCAATAAGTCAGGGAGTACATGGTTAGCTGCAAGGAGTATTTGGGTGACAATTTGAGAGCTCCTTCCTTCTTCCACAAAATGTTAGTTTTGAAATATAGAGGCTCTGAAATGCTACATTATTAATTCTTTTGGAGGTATATGCAAAGCAATATGCTGGTTTGTTGGCTTGGTAAACATACGTAAGGTAGAGATTGGAAGACTGTTTAACTCACAAGAGAATTTAAGAGAGTTGTCTGTTCAGTGACTTGTTTTAATATTTTGTAATAATGTACATGAAAAAGTTACGCACTTCTGAGTGCCTACGTTTTCAAAACGTCTTCTGTCTTGACTTATTGTGATGTTTTTACATGTAGATTATTAACAAGTAATAACATGATTCCTCTTGCAATTTGGTGTAATAAGCACTTGAAAATTTTTCAAAGACTATATATTTCACTCACTTTACGGGCTTGTGCAATTTTGTTGTCTTTGTAAAATTTACTTGTGCTTATTTACACCAAATTGCACTCAAAATCATGATATTACCTTTAGTTATTGCTTACTGTTCACAACTTACAGATGTTATTTTATGAAAAGGAGGCTGTTCAGTAATTGAGGTAGCTGGTTATTAACTGGCAGCCAGGACTTAATGAGAACCCTGCATTTGTTCAGTGTGAAGATGTAAATCAAAAATATCATGTGCTTTATTAGCTTAAGTGTAGCCGTACTCTCCCCCATCCAAGGTGAAATGGAAGCAAGGGAATGTCTATGCAAACCTGATAGTAATCATGTTCTGTGATGCAAAATAATGTCATTTCATCATGTTTTTTTGCAAAGTGACATGTGTCAGCATGAAAGTTATCGAGATAAACAACAACATTGAAGTGGATTCATTTTCCATTTTATGGGTAAATTTACAATTCAGTGTCCAAGTTTAAATGAGTACTTTTCTTTAAGGATGACTAGGAAAAGATTATGAGCGATTTTTGGTATGGAGTAGGGAGAGGACTATGTTTGATTAGCATCATGCTTATGAAACTAGATTTCAATGTCCACATGGTTTCTGCTTGCATTTGTAAACAGTGCCACAGTTGTGGAAAAGAGTTGGATCATTTGCTGCAGAATCTCTAGGATTTCACAGATTTTTATAAAAGATAGTTGTGTTGTTAGCGTGAAGAAAGAGCAACTCTTTTCTCAGTCCAAAGAATTGCTGCAAGGAACAACTAGCTTTTATTCAACTTTGCAGCACCATTCACAAAGAAAACAAAAGTTGAAGGCAGACAATCCTCTTGGCCCTAGTACATTAAGATAGTGAACCTGTTCTTCTGTGAGAACTTTAACGGAGGCACAATAAACATAGTGACTGCTTTCTTCTAGAGAGGAGAGGCGATCAATCACTAGACTACTAGATATAATAAAGATTTTCCATAGCCAGTTGGTAATAAAACAGAGACATTGTTACTTTTGAAAAACGTGATATCTATGGCTTTCTGCTGTTCTTCTTGAAGTGTCTCTATCCCAAAAGTCACGCAAACTTGCCTTAAAACCTCGTTGTAAATCACTGTTGTCTGAAAAGTTGATAGTTAAAACATCTAGTTAATTATCTAGTTTGTTAGTTTGGAAATAAATTACCAACTCAAACCAATCAGAATTGATGAAAGAACTGGCAAAAGGGATTAACCAATTAAAAGTCATTATATATTTTCTTGCAAGAGAGTGACGTCACAGAACATGATTAGTGTCAGGTTTGCATAGATGTTGCCTTGCCTCTGTTTCACCTTGGCAGGGGGAGGGTATGGCTACAAATAGGCTGGTGGGTTATTTGACAATGGATTTCTTTTGTTATCAGGATGACCTAGATTTGCCTGTCAAAGTTCTACGTGGTCATTTAGGTAGGAAAATGGAAAGAAACAGTCATCCTTTAACAGTTAATTAACTGCTTTTACACCCTAACATCAGTGTGCACATTCTCCTTACTGCTCTTTGTACATTTCCTCTGGCAGTGACAAAAAGAATTTAGTAAGAAACCAACAGCTTTTCAAAAGTGTGATTATTTCTGTGATTCTTATTGGTTAATGTTTGATTCAGTAGCAACCTAAATGAGAAATTAGATGCAGTCAGCCTCAGGAGTTAAAGAGTTAATGCCATTTGGGAAAGTGGATTTCAGATTTATTAATATTTAATTTGTGTGTGTGTGTTGTGTACTTGTTGTTTTTACTCAGGCAAACTGGTGCTGAAGATACCCTGGAAAAATCTGTACTCAGAACCTGTTGTTGCACAAGTAGATGGACTTTACTTACTTGTCAGACCGAATACTGGTGAGAAAGATTTTTATTGAAGAAATACCCTTAATTTGTGTGGTATTTTAGTGGTAGTCCCAGGGTGCTAATCATTGTAAATATCATAGTAATGTTCATGGTCATGTTCATGGTCATGTTCATGTTCATAATCATGATAATTGCCATCACCATTGCCATTACCATTGCCATCACCATTGCCATTACCATTGCCATTACCATTGCCATTGCCATCACCATTGCCTTCACCATTGCCATTACCATTGCCATCACCATTGCCATCACCATTTCCATTACCATTGCCATTACCATTGCCATTACCATTGCCATCACCATTGCCATCACCATTGCCATACCATTACCATTACCATTGCCATAACCATTGCCATAACCATTGCCTTTGCCAATGCCTTTGCTTTTGTCTATGCCTTTGCCTTATCATTATCATTGTTATTGCCATTGTCATTGCCTTTGCTAATGCCTTTGCCTTTGTCTATGCCTTTGCCTTATCATTATCATTGCCATTGACTTTGCCATTGCTATTGCCATTGCCTTTGCCTTTGCCTTTACTAATAATGCCTTTGATTTTGTCTATGCCTTTGCCTTATCATTATCATTGCCATTGACTTTGCCATTGCTATTGCCATTGCCTTTACCTTTACTAATAATGCCTTTGATTTTGTCTATGCCTTTGCCTTATTATCATTGCCATTACCATTGCCTTTGCTAATGCCTTTGTCTTATCATTATCATTGCCATTACCATTGCCTTTGCCAATGCCTTGGCTTTTTTTCTACATGCCTTAAGTTTGTCTTTTCATTATACTGTTTGCCATTACCCTTCCATTGTCCTTGTCTTTGTATTTGTCTATGTATTTATCTTTGTCATTATCATCATCATTACCTTCATCATCAATGTTATTAACTTAATCTTGATCATATGGACTACTGTTATCACTATCACTGTCATAATCATTATTACAATAATTTTCCTCAAGTTATTTTGTCACTTTTTTGAGTGTCACTAGATCTGTTAGTAGATAGTGTGGTATACCAGCCTTTTTAGTATGTGGCAATCTTAAGGGATAAGTCAAATTTTAGTGATACATTTTTCAACTGAAGGTTACAGTCATCAATTGGGTAATAAGTGCCCTGGAAACAAACTATTAACTTTTGGCTGTTTTCTATGTCTAGAAAATATCTGTGTGTGATGGACTCTCTTGTGATGGACTCTCTTGTAATGTGCCTGTATCTACCTCTCTGGACAAGAGTTATGCCAAGGGAATTGATGTAGTAGTTGTTGCAGCTGTAACCATTAATGATAATAGGTTTGTTGCTCCTGCAGATATTAAGTACAATGCTGAGAAAGAGGAAAAAGCCAAACAGGAGAGAAAGCAAAGACAGCTGGAAGCAGTGGAGCTTGCTCAGCAGATTGAAGAGGAAAAGAAAAACCAGAATGGTATACCCTAGTAATCAATCTGTTTTTATTGGTTTTTTAGGGTCTCTAAAAAAAAATGCCTACTTGTTTATTTACAGGTCTCTTTCAGGTTGATAATCTTTTACTTTTTGTTTGTCTTGTCATCTGACCATTTATCTGCCCATACATCTGCCTTTGCTCTTCAAGCTGCAACTGTTTTGGTAGCTATGACATCTAGAAAAAGTTGTCATGTGAGTCTCCAAAAATGAATGCTAGCCATGCCACTTACTCCAACCACAAGGCACATGGTCAGAGGTTTAGTTTTTATGATTTTAGGTTGCCAGAAGGTGACTTAAAAAAAAAACTTGGCTAATATAAGAGCCCTGCATAGTGTTGGATATTAACATTGTTACACAAATTACTGCAGACAGCTTTGATTGACTGTCTCTGTCAATGACTAATAGTCAGTAATGGGAATTAGTCTGTAACTGAGGTGAAAAATGATTTTCTTGTCGATTACCATGCAGGGCAGCAAAAAGATGAAAAGTCAGACAGTTTTGTGGAGAAGTTAGCCATGCAGATTGTCAAAAACCTTCAGGTGAGTTTGATAAGAAATCCACATGTATCAATCAATTCCAGTTACTTGCTTGACTCAACACTGGCAAAAATCAAATTCTATTTAAATGAAAAAGAAAAAGAAAAAAGGTATATTCAGAATGATTGTCATTTCAGTGTCTTTTCAACTTAAAGATGGTTACTTTTTCTTTCCTCTCCAGGTCTCAGTTCGCAATATTCACATACGATATGAAGACTCTGTAAGTACTTTTACATTCAGGTAGACATCAATTTGATTCTTATGCTTCAGTGGAAGTTTTGGCTGATAGTTCTGGACAGTTTTTGAACTAAAGTTGTAATTTCACTTCACCCTGCATCACTTTTAATTTACATCTACCAGATGCAGACAAAATGAATTGAATTGGATTGAATTTCTCCAATCATAACTTAAGGCATGATGTTTTGACACCCTGAAACATCACACATTTTTCCTTAGAGGTCTTGAATATGGTTGAAATTGCAAGTTTAGCACTTGGTGATAGAGTGGGCATGACACAAAAAGATGTATTGTTGAACATATCCCATGTTTTTCTCAGGATAATCATTAACCTTCTACACCTTAACATTAGTATGCATATTCTACATACTGTTCTCTATACATGTCCTGAAGCACTGACTTAGAGAATTTGTGAAAAAATCAAGATTGTTATAAGTTGGTGATCATTTCCTTGATTCTCATGACCTTAATGTTTGATTCAGGGTGATATTGTAAGGTGAAATTAGAGGCTGGTCACCCATAGTGGTTGAAGGGTTAATTCTTGATGTACACAGCAGTCACTCTTTGGTGTTAATTATAATGTCCATGTTCATTGTTCTTGTTTGTGTCAGGTTACTAACCCTGCTGCACCATTCTCAATTGGAGTGACATTGGAGAATTTGTCAGCTGAGGTGAGAGCAGTACCCTATATCCTCTAATATGTCTCTTAATAATGGGGGAAGGCAATTGATTTCAGCAGTTTCCAGACCAGAAGCTTCTAAGAGGTGTGGGTTTATTGAAGAGGGTGTTAAAAAAAAAAAAAAAAAAAAACCCTGTTGAATGGTGGCCACAATGGCATCTATTACTTTTCTTTCAACTCCTGTCCCGGTTTAATGAACACTCTAAAAAAGAAATTTTGGGAAAGGGTGTGAGGCCTATGAGAGGCTATGAGTAACTGAGACTTGATTTTCAATATGGAAGGAGGGGACATTTTTATATTAACCCTTTACACTCAAACGTCAGGTATATATTCTCCATACTGTTCTCTACACATATTCTAAGGTGCCGACAAAGAGAATTTGTGTAACAATCAAGAGCACCTCTTGTTGTTTATCATTTCCTTTATTCTTATGACCTCAATGTGTGATACAGGGGTGATATTGTAAGGTCAAATTAGATGCTAGTCCCTTGAACCTTTGGCCTTAAAGGTCAAAGGTTCAAGGGATGCATACAAGAGAGAGGGGGGTTATAGGAGTGTATGTAGTGATAGTTGTATACAGTGGAACCTGTATTTAGTGGCACTGTGTGAGGTGGTCACTGAGTATTTAGCAGTCAGTGGTCAGAGTTAGAAATTTTTCCCTGTGGATCACTGTAATTTTCAACTCTATTAAGTGGTCACGCCTATTAAGTGGTTGGGGTCTACCTTTGCTAAGTCCCAACAGCTTGTTGGGGAACCTTTGTGTTAAGTGGTAAACCTGTTTTAAGAGGTCACCCAGCTATTTGACTGGTGATTGCTTAATACAGGTGCAACTATGGAAGGTTCAGGGAGATTGTACTTGATCAAAGAGTATTTTTCATCTTGCAAACAAGGGTTTGCAAAATGATGTTGCTTTGAAAATTTTTTGACCCTTCTCTCCCCTGATGTGATGGCACTGCTACTGGATGCTTTTTCGCATTTTGTTATCTTCATTGGCTTCTGCCACTATCTTTTGTCCCAGCCAATGAATATATTGCTGATGAGTTTATACCCATCTTTAATACATTTGATAATGAATATTTTGAAAAAATTGATCCTCTGTACAGCTCTTTTGTGCAGGTAGGTTCTGTCAAATAGTGTTAAGGCTTATCTAGTGATGATCACTGTCTGTTTTAGTCCACAGATGAAAATTGGAAACCCTCAATTGTGGGTACAAGTGTGAAAATTGTACACAAGGTGAGATACAGATAGGTCTGAAAATATATCTGGAACAATGTTAATTATGTAAGGGTTGAGTAGTGGTTGCATAGCAAAATAAGTAGTTGGGAGGTGGAACTTGAGGATACATTGTCTGTAAATGGTGCCAAAAATGATGAAATATAAGGAAATATTTACTGCAACAGATGCAAGTGTGGTACAATCAACCAGTGTGGAATTTCATACCTTTCATGGACCTCTTGGGGTTCACCTGTGACAGCACACTTGTTTTTACCTTTCCTCCTTATTTCCCATCTCTCACAACCATCCTTCTTTTTCCCATATTTGCCATCTCATAATTACTGCAACTCACAACAACACTTTCTTATTTTTTTTGCCTTGTTTGTTAGCTTGTCAAACTTGACAGTCTTGCCATTTACTGGAATACAAAAGATCATATTGGAAATCTGCCAACACAAGAGGACTGGGTGGTAATTACTTGATTTCTTGATCATAAAATATCACTGTTTGAAATTATAAAAAGTGTCATTGATGATATGATTTTGATGCAGTTACTTCTTATGTGGATGTCAAGTTTTCAGCTTTACCCTACTAGTCTTCCCTAGGTGATGAGGGTGATGTGTTTTGAGTTACCTTTTGACCCATGATGTCCCACCATGGTTAGCTCACCTGTTTTGGTGTAATTGGGTATCATCTCAGTACTCTGAGTGATGATTCTTGATCACAAACATCCAGACTTCAATCTTTAATTTTTTCTACTTATATAACATGGTCCATGTTAATGTTGTTGTGTGATTTGCATGTAAAATCCTAAGACTTTGGTTTCATTCCAAAGTGGGTGGTGTGTGGTGTTGTGCATTAGCTCTGGTGGAGGGGTCTTCATTGCAAATAACCTTGTGATAATACTGATGACCAAGGTTTTTTTCATTAAGTTATTTTGATAATTATGAGAAATAATGGTCAAACCTCTTTAGGCTCCAAGATTTGATTATAAAATCTCCCTAAATAGCTGCATAAAGGAATTGTGGTTGTTTATTGTGTAAACCTTGACACGAGGAGTCCCTACATCCTTCCACAATACTAGTATTCTTGCCTCTTATTCTCAATACAATCCTCAAATTTTTTTCTATAACTTACAATAAATCCTTACTTTATCATGATGGAGATCTGACACAGTTTTACACACAGTTACTCTACATAAAGAACACCAGGGCTGGCAGGGTTCCTTTGTATTAATGACAATTCTATAAATTTGTATACATGTAGATGTGTAAACTCTATTGACATTTAAATCCCTATTGTCTCAACAATGTCTCTTTCCTGGTTAAGTTGCTTGATAAATTTCCCCCCTTTTTAAATTGAGCACTTTTTTGAGGCAACTTAATGTGACATTAACACAATTTAGTTTAGATCTCAACTTACAGCTTTGTATTTTATGATAACTTTAAAGATAATTTGAAAATGCTGTTGGTATAATAATAAATGAAATTGTAATGACAATTTTTCTGTTTTTTACAGAATCAAGCCAAGGGTGGGATAGCAATCAGAACGAAACAGCATTTCTCTCCTCCTGATTTTAAATACAGTGAGTATATTTTGTGTACTATGTCTCAATTCCTAGGGATTTGTTTGCATCATCACAGCTTGTGCTGATATGTTTTCACTAACCTTTATTCACTCAGAAGTTTTTGATGTTGTACAGTGGCATAATTCTGGAACAACTCAATGTAAAAAACAAGTAGTAGTACTAAAGTACTATTAACCAAAGTAGTAGTACTAAACTCAGAGTAGTACTACTGTTCTCGTTGTTAAGTCTTGCAGCCAATCTCAGCCACCACCCAAGTGAAGATGAATATCAAGCCAGGTTCTGATTTGAGTATCCCAAAGGTATGTTGTTGGACTCATGCTGATTGCTTTGCAATAAAAGCCATAAGGTTATTGTGTATGACATGACACTGTTGTGTGGCCAATGGTTGAAAGGGAGCAGAAATGGGGAAAATTACATGTTCATTTTAGCCTTAGAAGAGCCAAAATATTGCTCTTGGGATTAGGAGATAGTTCTTGAAACTCAATCAAGCAACCAGTTGATTGATCAATCAGTGGGCTGGCAATTGAATGGGGTGCTGGTCAGTTGAGAGATTATTTTTTAAATACAGCCATACATCAAAATCTTGTCTTGCAGGCCATGTGATTGTTTTTGAAAGTCAACCAATCAATTGATTGATTGATTGATTGATCAGTTGCATAGGGGGTGCATGATTAGTTAAAATACTTGGTCAATAGGTTTAGAGGGTTTTTTTCCATAAAACTACTGACAAATGATGACAGCAGTCTCCTCAGTTGCTAAAAAGGGGCCGCCATGGCAACTGAGACACAGCCTGCTCCCACACACCTATCAGTACAACAATTACCAATTATGATTATCTTTAAGCAAAATGTGAGAGGTTAGGACAAAAGTAAACAAAGTGGCAAAGTAAGTTGAGTGAATGTATAATAAATTATCAATGCTGCAAATCTCTCAGTATCCTGTTCATCACAACCTTAAAACTACTACAATGGCTTGGTTTTACCTTGCTTAAATTACATTCAACCTCAAGTAGAATTTAATCTTTTCATTTATGCTTACACATTATTTTTGTACCATGCAGATTTTCTTAAGCTTGGTCTTGGAAGAGATATCTCTAGTTTTGATGAGACAGCAGTACCATGATATGATTGAGTTGCTGGAATCCTTCGACAGAATGACCACAAATTCTGTGTTTAGAAAGTACAAACCAAATGTCCCTCTCCATGGACATGCTGCACAGTGGTAATTTCATCTCACATCTGTTATTTCTGTTATTACCTGAAATATTGAAAGCCTTGACTTGTCTACAAACTTGGGTGGAGGAATTTGATGCCATCCTTTATGCTGTGAAGGTCTTGAGTTAGCATTACATTTTTACTCCTTTTGGTCAAAATAAAAGAGCTGAGTAGTACCTCCATGTCATTGAATTTGAGTTTAAGCTGGAAGCTTTTCCAAGCTTTACATCTCTTGTTACAGTATAATTTTTGTGCATAATTATATGTAATTGTAATGATGTTATGCATTCTACATTTACTTTGGGTACATTGTCTATGTTGCCTCTTGGAAACAGGTGGAATTATGCAATTACAAGCATTCTTGAGGAAGATGTTCGGAGGAGATTAAGAAACTGGTCCTGGACACACATGAAGGAACACAGGTATCATTGTCGAATGAGTTCTGACTAGAAATAGTCTATGATTCTCCTAATGGAAACTTGATTTCATGCCTTTCCTTCTTTCTTCAGGAGTCTCTGCAGGGAATACAAAATTTTGTACCAGAAAAAGTTACTGGAAGACAAAGCTTCTGAATCATTGTCAAAACATCTAGAGGTAGGTCAATATTTACTTGGCATAGATGGCAACTTTCCACCTTGGCATTTTATTATTGCATGTTTACTCTGTTATAAAATCATCAATCTTCAGGTACTTGAGAGCAAGTTGGATGTGTTGAATATCACCATTTGTCGACGCCAGGCTGCTTATGAGGTTCGTTTTGATAACAGCAATTGTTGTCTTGTTTTATCATTTCTGTGACATTTTAAGTTGCTGGCCTTTTTGTTAAGTCTGCAGCATGCGAGTAAAAGGCTCTCATCTGGGGAGCTTGTGTGTTCAGTTGGTTTCCCTTTATGAAGCATGAAGCAACACGGCATATTTCTTTTCCCATCAAATGGGATGCTAATCCTTTGCAGGGTTCTCCCTCCCTCCCCCATGTCCCTCTCCCCCTTCTCCTTGATAGTTTGCCACTACACATGTATACTCTTAGGTTGGCAGAGACATGGTAAGAGTAAGCCGGGATGGGGCAGTGGTTAGAGTGCTTGCCTCAAACCGCTGTCTTAGGGTTTAGTTTGTATTGGTTTTTTTGTTATTACTCCAAGGGTTTTTCTCCAGGTCCTCCAGTTTTCCTCTCTAGACAAAAAACAATGTTCCAAATTCCAACTTGACCTGGAAACAGAGGTCAATAAGAGCTACTTGGCCTTTTCATTAGGCAGCAGCATCTTTGCAAAAATATAGGAGTTCACTTTAAGTTTTGCATCAAGGGAGCTGCAGCATTAAGGAAAAAGAAGAAGAAAGTGGAAGAGAAGAAAAGTGGCAGTTGGTTTTCTGGGTTCTGGGGCTCCAGTAAAAAAAGCAAGAAGGAGGAGGATAAATCAGGTAAGGCTTTTATCTTAAGATCATTGTTTAAGTACCATAGAGTGCTGAATCTCATGCCCACAAGGATTAACAATTTAAATGAAAATAGCTTCACCGTTATCTAAACAGAAATTTTAACTGAAGATCAGAAAAAAGAGGAACTGGAGAAGTTGTACAGTGCCATTGGTTACAGTGAAGGAGAAACCATTACAGCATTCCCCAAGGAGGTACTTGCTTAGTAAAAGAACCCTTTAAAAAACACTATCACCTAAATTTCTTACAATCTCATGAAAAAGGCAGCAATTTGACTGATATGTCTTGACTTATATTTGCGTTTGAAGGAAAAAAATAACCAACTGTGTTGTCTCTACTGTTTGTTTGGCCCAAAAATCTACAGTAGCTCCAACCAGCCACAAAGTTCATATATTTGCATTGTGGTGAAGAAATGAATTTAAGAGATCCTTGCAGCTAAGAACACTACTGAACTAGTAGTTAAAAATAGGACCTGAAAAAAATTCTGGCCTGTAGGGGATTTGAACCCATGACCTCTGCGATACCTGTGCAGCACTCTACCAACTGAGCTAACAAGCCAATTGAGCAGAGGTCATGGGTTCAAATCCTGCAAGGGCCTGAGTTTTTTTCAGGTCCTTTTTTCAACTACTAGTTCAGTAGTGTTCTTAGCTGCGAGGATCTCTTAAATTTGTAGCCACAAAGTTATTGACACATGACATTTTCAATCCCCCATTATTTCATTATTATTTCTTTTGTCTTGTTTTTGTTAACCTAGTTGCCCCTTTCCCCCAAACCAATGTCTTATTTGGCTTATGGTATCTTTTAGCTATGTGTGGCCCTGTACAACAGGCAACATTGAATTGGGGAGGGAATTCTTGTCAAGAATTTAGAGCTAGTGCAAACAGTAGTGTTTTTCTGCTCATAAAAAAATTGTTCAAAGTGACACGATGTTTCAGCTAATTTTAATTCTTATTGTCTCAGTCTTTGACTTTATTTTACTTTATCACCCCTATAACTTTAAGTACTTGGAGCATCCTTATTGTATTATTATCTAACAGTATTTTTGGTTTTTATCCGAATTATTTTGCAGTATGTGGAAAATAAAGTTGTGGTGAAATTGAAACAGATTAGTGTGGCTCTAAGAGATGATGCAGCTGTCAAGTGAGTATTGAATAAAAGTGTTTCTTCAAGCAAACTTGCCAGAAAATTGATTTCATTTTCTCTGAGCTGATCTAGCCATGAAAGTATGTGTTGCTTCTGCCATCATTTTGATAATAAAGATATTAAAATAGAATGTTGTACTTGTTTTAACCCGTACAAGTGATTGATATGAAACTTCTTCCTATTATATTCATACGTAGAAGTTGTTAACTTGATCTAACACCAAATTCTCATAACTAATTTACAAGAAAATGTTTAAAAGCTAGGGGCGGGGGGGAGAGTCAACAATCCCATCTTGGGAGTTAAAGGGTTAACCTAAGGTGAAATGGCCTAACGTGCGAGAAACCTGTAGAAACTAGTAATGAATTTGGTGTTAGCTTTGTATCTACATGTAACTGGTTGACAGGATGGAATGAGTTTTCTTGACCAATCACACAGTATAGTAAAGCAATAGTTAAGCAGTCTTAGGTTACTGTTAACACTCAACTGTAATTTCTCAATGCAAGTTCCATTTCAGAGGATTGACAATAGCTCCCTTGAGTTTTGTTATTTTGTATTTCTTATAGTGAAAGAACATCTTAAACATCATCCAGACTGTCACTCCTCTGTAATTTGTAGGTTGCTCTGAAAAATGTTTAGATCTTTTTAGGGAGTTTTTCCAAGCTAAATGAAGCTAGAATGTGATGAGTGACCGTCTCCCCTGTAGGTTAGTTGATGTTGCCAAACTGAGTTTCCAGGATCTTTATGCAGAGCTCTCCCAAAGACCATCAGCACAAGCAATCAAGTAAGTTGAATATATACAATTTATAGGGATGATTTTGTTCTAGTAGCAGAAATAGTGAGGAACCAAAAAAGGTCAAATAGGAATTATTTCAGGAAATAATTTTTGTTCTAAGGATTTGAAAGTTTTTTTCCAAACCTCTATGATTCAGGAAAATTCTACACTTTCATGTCTTTTTTATTTTTGAGTCTTTTTTCTTATCTTGAGAATTTTAACATCAGATCTGTTGAGCCAGAGTGTATAAATTTAAATTTTTTTATTTCTAAAGCTTGCTTTAATGGGAGATTACGTAAGGTGACTAGATTCTAACTATCAGAAAAGGTGAGAAATTAAGTCACCAAGTTTGCAGCCACAGGCAGCTGTCCTAACCTTGTAAGGCCTCCCTAGCATGGCATAGATTATAAGGTTGCCCAAGGATCCCCACAGAGAAAAGTTAAATGAGATACAATTACAGAAAACGTAGGATGAGGATATGATGCTAAAATGGTTAATGGAGTTCTAATGATATTAATGGTAGTGACACTTTGAGGTAGGTGTCTCCTTATTTTGAATTTCTTGTTCAGGCTGTCAGCAAAGGTTGACCAGATGAAGATGTTTGGTTCAGCTGATGCTGTAGATGGAAAAATGCCGCTCATGATAACCTCTCAAGATGATAAACTAGGTACATCACTCTACATGTTCCAATAAACATTTTTTAATTTTAACAAGCTGACCTTTCCAATATAATCTCTAAATTTAGTACTACTCTAGGATAATCTGAGATAGAATTTTTTTAGAATTCGTTTTCCTCTTGTCATTATATCAGGTTTGTAAATAATGTTTGGGAAAGTATTTTGATCACCAAACAAGAAATGGTCCATCTGCTCTTCACTGTTTATCGTACTGTGTTCACTTTTACTATTGATGGAAAAACTAATATAACGTAACAGAAAAAAATATGTGTTCCTAATCTTTGAAAAATGTAATTTCTGACGTTTGAGTGACATGGGAACGAATTAGTCAGAAATTAATATTTTGTGGGCACGTTGAAGAGGTCGTGGAAGGGTCGGATTATTTAAGCATTTCGCAAGAAAATTAAGTCATTCTAGGTCGGTCAGTCTTATTTTTGACCACTTTCTTTTTTTATAGTTTACTCCTTGTTAAATATCGTCACAATCATTGATTTTCCTTTGTGATTAGTAGTCCAACAAGGTTACTTTACTCTTTCCTCGGGGTATTGTGCTGCTGCATTTGATGAGGAATAAGTTTCCACACATTTTTTGGCCACATCTAAAGAGTGTTTTTTCAGTGGTTTTTCGTATCTGGTGTAGCACAGGTTCTTTTTGTAGAACCCATAGTTTCAGGATGCACGTGTTAAGATTGTACCAGGATGGGTATACTAGAAGACTGACTGACTCATCCTAAATAAACTTTTCACATTGAATGTCTCATGTGAGTGTAGTCAGAATTATCTGCCTGAATAAGCAGTATGGCAACATCTTTATCTGTTGTAAGCAAACAAGTTGTTGCAACTAACATGGATGTTTTTTTTTTTTACATCTTGGATAGCAAGCCAATATCCTCTTTTTACTGTATCGTTTGAGACCAACCCATTGGACGGAAAGTGTGACCAGAGAGCTAAAGTGACATCTCAACCTGTCAAAGTTGTGTATGATGCCGTAAGTTGTAAAATATTTTATAATATACGCACCCCCTAAAATTTGAAAACTTAGTTTGTAAATGGAGTTCTATTACCTTAAGGCAGCAAACACCCGAGATGTATAATTCTGTCTAGTGAAAGAAGGACTGCGCTGTGCAGTGAGGTAGAGCATTGCAAAAGAAAGCTTCAATTGAAAATTACACCTGGTGGTTAAAATGCAGATTTTCTTGAATCTATGCTGGCTTAAGCCTTTTACCCCAACGAGTGACTAGTTATCTAATTTCTCCTTTCAATATCACCTCTGAATCAAACATTGTGGCCGCGATAATAAAGAAAGTCATCACTGATTAAAGAGGCTCTTGAATGCTAAACAAACTCTCTCCTTGTCAGCACATTAGCAAATGTATGAAGAACGTTACTGAAAGAATATCTTAATCATAAGTAGACATACTGTGGCTTGTTCCTTTTCCCAAAGGTGGATGTTAAATATTTTTTTGCGCTTTCAATTTTATTTGCAGAACACAGTGGATCATATCGTCACTTTCTTTACACCTCCAAAAGATGTCCATCTCCAGGAGTAAGTGCTACACTATAGTTTAATATGTAAAATCTTTGTAGTATTCTTTTCACATTTGCTCTTCAACAATGACTTTAAATTACATGATTGTTCAATAGAAATCTTTGCCTTGAGCAAGAAAAATATTCATGTGTAGCAGACCCATTCGAGATTTCTTGATGTCACACTCAAAACACAAATCCTCTATTTGTAGTGTTGAACTAGTTTAGAAAAGTAGGGAGATTTGATGTCTTATTTCAGGCTGTCAGCCGAGGCATACTCAAGACTAGAAGATCTGAAGTCAGTGTCCAAAGCAAGTCTGTATTATGCAATCGAACACCACAAGGTAATACTTTTCTGTTTTTGTTTATGACAAAAATTCCTTCCAACCTAACAGATTCTAGTGGATTGTTACTACAGACGTTAGTCACAGGTGTTAAAGATATAACTCCTCACAGGAAATTTATTCTCCGTCCCATCCTCATAACGCCCATGGGAGATCTGTGGCATATTAATGAGTGCAGGTCTGCGCTAAAGCTTTGTTGTCCTCCATGGTGTTATAATCATGGTGAACTCTTAGAGTATTCTATCCACCCAGGAGAATCGATCCAGGCTTCGGGTAACAGAAAGCTTTCAGAGGCACAGGGGCACACTCTGAGTCTCCTCAGAGACAAGTATAACTTGTGACTTAGCCATATGTGGTCTTGAAAAGTGCTATTTTGATGCGACCATGTTGAACTTTGTTCAAAGTGTTAAAGATTGTGTATACCACAGGTCTATATGGGGGTAAGTTTCCAAAGAAACTGTGGTATTACGTCGGTGAGAGAGTAGAGCAAGGTAATTTGGTATTATCAACTGAGTTGATAACGTAAATTGGCCATCTTTGAGAGTTTTAAAGTGGACGTTTCGAGCGCTAGTCCTTCGTCAGAGTGAAGATAATACCAAATTACCTTCTTATGTCAATATGGTTTGGTTTCCTTATGTTAACTTGATTCTTGTTGTACAGGTTGAACTCAAAAATTTATGATCAACTATACTTTTTGCAGATAACAGATGTGGATGTGGATGTGAAGTCTCCATTTGTCATCATACCAGAGGGAGGCACCTTTAAGAAGTAAGTTGTTGAATTGTGGGGTGCATCCACTCGGAAGAGGGTGCGAAGTACTTTGCAACTTGCGGTTTTATGGTCATGTGATCCCAACCTTTTTAGGATAAGGTGAATATATTGATACAACAATTATGCTATCCTTCAAATATTAGTACGACATGAGTATAGGATTCCTCATTCCCTCCACTGGAATAATATGCCAACATGTATGGACCACCAGCCATTCCAAGCTAAGTTTTGTGGTCAATCAGGCTTAAGAACTTTTTATTGATGAAGTTATATTTTGAACTCTCGATTTGTAATTAAAACATTTCCTAGGTGTTTTCTCTACTGCTGGTGATACTAAATTGGTCCTATATTGGCTGATGATGCTACATTGGTTCCATATTAGTCCAACATTGGTCATATATTGGCCCTATAGTGGTCCTATGGTGGTCCTTTAGTGGTCCTCTATTGTTCCTATAGTTATACTACATTGTTCCCATATTGCTCTTAACGTAACGTGGATTTAGTGAACATTTTTTAATATTACTCTTTATTAACAGGTCAAGCAATGTGCTTGTCATTGATCTTGGGCATGTGAAGATCACCAGTGATCCAGACCAAGAGAGGATTGTATCCACAAAGGTGATACTGATCAGATAATTTTTGGACCACTTCTATGTTTAAGATGTTGTTCAAGAGTACTAGAATTTGTGACTCGCTTTCATTATTCCACTGAAAAACTTGGGCTTTGGTATCCGATTCGAAGAATAATTATTGTGTTTTAAGGAGAGGCTGTCATGTGAAATACAGATTTTTAAAATGCACCATTAAGAGAGGGTGAATCAATTTGCAAATTTGGGGAATTTACTTTAAACGTGCATTTTATTTACACTCGGGACGTTCTAGAGAAACATAGAAACAGAGGAAAAATAACGCAGATTGGTAGATTTTCATACCTTTACAACTTCCCTTCCATTAACTGTACCATTGATGGCAAAAAGTCATTGAAATAAGACTTTTAGAAATGTCCAGGTGCTACTTTTGATGTCACACATTTAATTGGCTTGATTATTTTTACCAGGATCTAAGCGTGGAGGAGTTGGAGTCGAAGTGTTACGATAAGTTTGATTTTAAACTGGAAGACCTTCAAATACTCATCGCAAAAGCAGGTAATGGTGACTGGGTCTGCACAAAATTCTGTGTAATTGACAGTGTATCCCGTCCAGCAGAACTTTTTTGTAACGTTTTTTAAGAAACAGAGTGAAAACAGCTATTGCTAGAATGTTAATTGCCTACACGCCATATAGACAAGGATAATTTGTTTAGCAACCAACAACTTCTTTAGTTGGTGATCATTTCCTCTATTCTCGTGGCCTTACTGTTTGATTGTTTGATTCTGGTGTGATGCTGTAAGAAGAACATAGATGCCAGTCACTCTTTGGGAATAGAACGTTAATGAGTATGGACTTTTGACGTAAAGTCTTTTTATTTTATTTTTTGCGGTAGATGAAGACTGGCAGACCGCAAGGAAGCAGGTCAACTCTAAGATGCATATTCTAGATCCGATGGGAATTGACATGAAGCTTCAGAAAGCATTAAATCCTGACGACATCAGGCTTGCACAGTAAGAATTGTGTTATTCTGGTTCTTCTTCTAGTATTTTCTTTCATGAGATCGGCTTTGGTGACCGCTGACCGTTGACCGTTGAATCGCTGTGTTGGAGATATGTTTGATGTGCGCCGAGCAAACTACTCATGTTCCTCGTGAATGTATGTTTGACTGCTATTTCTGAAACAGGATCACACTCTCTGGAACCCTTCCAACTGTAAAAGTCCATGCCTCTGATGAGAAGCTTCTTCAGGTTATTAAGGTGTGGTGGAATAGCTTAATAAGGAGTAGACCTTAGTATCTAAACAGATTACGAATGAAAGTAGTTTTTTTTTTAGCTTGGTTGTTAGATAAAGAAAGGTGTTGTTCATTCGTTATGAACATGGAATAAAGACAAATTTTGATTCCCACAAGGAATCGATCTGAAAGCCATCAGAACTCGCGGTCTCAGGCTCTACCACTATTTTACCCTTTGAACTCTAAGATTGGTATTCGTATTCTTCATATTGTTCTCTATACATCGCCTATGATACTTTAATGGAGAATTTGTTCAACAATCACTGTTTGATTCAACAATGATGCTGTAATAGAAATATATAAATACTTTTAAAATATATGCCCCCTTCCCCTTGTCAAGATTGGCAACGAGTAAACTGGAGAACTCGAAAAAACGTAATGTTGAGAGGTTAGCGGGAAAGACTGAGGTTCAAATCTCGTGGGGGACTCTTCTTTGTCCATTATCATGACAAATAACATTTTCTTCAGGCCTTTGAATTTTGTAAAAATGTGTTGCCTTTCCAGGGACATTATGTCTAGACTCTCCCCATGATTGCATGACTGCAATCAACATTGTGGTCTCGTTTACGGCTTTGTGACATTGAAAAACCAACAACAAGAACAGCACAGAACAACCCTGATATTCTCATGTGAGATTGGTGTAATCTCAAAAAAATTTCCTTGAACTCTTTTGTTGTCTTTTGGGTTTCAGCTTGCTACCAGCATCCCAATACCAGGAGGTGAACGAGCTTTGGACCAAACGGATAAAAAACCAATGGTATGTTAGAAACTACTAGATATGTAGTAGTCGTTTTTTAACTACTACGTGTGCTTTGATAAAAGAGAGAGTCATGACGATCTGGCGGAAATGCATTTAAAACATACTTTTATCGCATAAACTGGGGTTTCAACAGGGATTTCCGGCTTTGAGAAAAGCCGCAGCAACACACGTGAAAAAATTTTTTCACCTGTGTTTATATAGCCAATCAGCTGCTGACACGTCACTCGCCTTTGGCGCCACTCGGTCAGGTTGATGTATGATTGGCAAAGCCTTCACGATTCTCAATATAAGTTGTCTGTTGGAGCTTTCTCGAACCGCAGCGGCTAAAACACTAACAATCCGTATCGCTGACAGACTGTGAGGTGCAAACTTTCTCAGAAGGGGAAGGAAACTAATATACTAAAAGAAAAACCGAAAGTTACATATTCAGTGGCCTTGGTGTTAGCATTTCTCTCAGATGAGAATGAAAATCGACAACTGGAAGATTTGCCACTGGCCGATTTTGGCTGTTTACTTGAAATAATTCTTCTATCGGTAAGGACAACGTCAATAAATAAGAATTTTGCAAATTGAAAATTACGACCACTGTTGTTTTTGTAATCATAATTCAACGCATTTTTCCGTCTTAAGAGTCAGCGCCAACGCACTCTACGATTGTTATTCGGGAATTATTGATTTATTTATTTTCATTCATTTAATGAAGTCGGCTTTTCTGGTCAGTAAAGGGCTATTGCGTTCATATGATAAACAAAATAATACATGGTTGCTCGTAGATATGGAATTTTTCTACTTGTGTTCAACTCGACTTCTCACTCGTGAGCTATTAAGTTAAATACTTGAAGCAACATTGACTTTTTCTAAATTTCTTGTTGTAGGACATTCCTGGTGAAAATCGCCGGTATGCAACTGTAAGGGCTGATGGTGACGTAACACAGTTGGGTGTTTTGGAAGGTGCTACAGGAGAACAAGATGACGCGGCTGAGGAAATGGATGAAATATTCCAGACGCCACCTGAAACTCTAACCGGGTATTGTTTAGTTTTATACAGTTTTTTTTTCGGTTGGTTAAGAGGTAAAAAGGGGAGAGTTTCTGAAATATTTGTTCCCCAAGAGACCAAATTTGATGGTTAAAAATACGGCGTAGAACCATAGAAACACCTTTTTTATTGAAGACTTTGGGGCGTAAAACCCACAAACTCTCTAATATTTCATTTCCCAATGTGTTTTGCCAAAGTTCGGCTACCCCTTAATTTGTATCATCGAAATTTGGCCAATCAGGAATTGTTATTACAGTATTTTCAGGTATAATATTTTCCTTCTTTTTCTTCCGTAGAGAATCCAGCCTTGAACGAGCTAAGAGAGAAGAAAAAAAGGCTTTGGCCCAACAAGTTAAAGTTTCGCTCAAGTTTAAGATAGAAGAGGTGTATTTGAGTATTTTTCATCGGAGTTATCTTCTTATTCTACTTAAGGTTTCGAATTTTTTAAAGTTTACAGAAGAAGGAAATTTATGAGAGTAAGTTTTTAACTGTGTCGAGAGTAATACAGGATTGTTCTGTAATTGGTCCAGAGAAGTCAACCAATCAGTTGTAAAACTAAAATCAACCATGGTAATTTAGTGTTATCAACTGAGTTGAAAACGTCAATTGGCCTCCGTAACGAGTAAAAAAGCTGACGTTTCGAGCGTTAACCCATCGTCAGCGCGGTTGGCGAAGTGCTAACACTTGAAACATCAGCCTTTGAACTCTTTACAGTGGCCAGTTTACGTTTTCAACTCATTTGATAACACCTAATCACCCTGTTATACTCTCCCACCGATGCAGCACCACAGTTCCTTTAGAAACTTACCCCCTAAAATCAACCACCTCTCGGCTATGCATGTTTTCCTGCGCTTCAGACTGTTTGCTTGTTCACTTCCCTAACCGAAAAGCGTTTTTGATGGATATTGATGTATCTACAAGTAACAGAGTTGTGGAGAAGTTATTTCTCTGCCAATTCTAAGTCGAATTTGAATGAGGACTGTTAAATTTTGTCCTCCTTTAGAATAGCAGTCTCCAGGTAAACCAACTGATCTTGAACTTTTTATGTTGTATTACAGATATTCGTTGATTTTAGCGCAATGGATAGTGGAGGGAAATTGACACCTTGTCTTGCGCTGCATGTCAAAGGCCTGGGTACTGATGTTGTCATGCATCCTTGGGATCTTTCAGCAAGTGCTTCTTTGTCTTCTCTGGCCATTGTGGAGAAGATCCATGGGACTGGTGGAGGTCCTCTTTATCTTGTGCAGACGCCTGTTGGGGCAGAGCTACTCTCTGTTAAATTTGTTATGGTAAAACACCTTATCTTGTGAGGTCTACTGCATGTATTTAAGACCCAGTTTTGACCAGTATACATTACGTGCGGCGTTGGCCATCGGTGGCCGTTAACTCGATGTTGATTATGCCACAAGCTTCGTAAAATACAATCCAGGCTTCACTTTCGTGAAAACCATCACTAAAAAACAGAGGTACGCAGTGCATACTGAGTCTGTAATGATGTGGGCCTATGACAAGCCCTAGTAAGCCGGGAATTCATGGCAATTTACAGATTCATTTGAGGTCGTAGAAGGGAGTACGGCTAATCTTGGAATTAATGAAATGACTAATCTCTATACTTGGGAAATATTGTTCTGCATGCCTAAGAACAAAGTGAAAAACAAAATGTTATCCTGAGTTAGAGGCAGTCAGTGTTTTGGTAATTTGAGGATGTTTTTGTTTTCAAATTTATACAAATGGTACTCTCTATTCTCATCATCAGGATGCAGATGGTAGAAATTAGTTCTTTTTGTCTTTTGAGAAGTAGTTAAATAGTTGACAGGAGATTTATTGTTTGTGGTTGTCACTTCCGTGCTTACACGGTGTAAAGGTCTATATCTGCAGCACTATATCTGTTTATGATTGAAGTATTAAAACCCTGGACCCTAAAGAAAGACTTGCGTCAAATTTCTCCCTTCAGGACCACCCCAGAATCGTATTGTAAGGTCAAGAACATAGAGGGATTGGTTATCAATTCGAGAAGCTCGTGACTGTTAAACAAATTCTCCTTGTCAGCATCTTAGGAAATACATAGAGAACAGTATGGAGAATATGCATACTGATGTTAATGAGTAAAGGGTTACTTGCTGCTTTTGATATCAATTTTAGGTGGAATCAGACCACCCAGAGTACAGCTCAACATTTAAGTCCACTAAGCAGTCTGTTGCTGTGGAATTTTCTTCACTGCAAGTAAAACTGCATCAAGAAGCTCTGCTCAACATCATCGATGTTTCAGCCAAAATGCTGCCGCCTAGGTGCTGTAATTTTAATGTAGCTTAAGAACGGTTCATGTCTACTCTGTTTTGGCGTTAAGCCTTTTACATCCTCTTATGTAGAGACACTTGGCTTTTGGAAACAGGCAATTCCAATAACCGTAATTTGGTAACTGATAGTGTAGCTCGCAGCGCGCGCATAGTTATCAAAAAATGGAAGTTACTGTTACCCATCAAGCTAAAAAAAAATTAATGAATCATGTAAGGAAAGTTATCCGTCATTTTTTCTCGAACACCGTTATATTGGTTGGAGTTTATATCCAATCCTGACACGTAAATTGTAATGTGCATTTTCCAACAGACCCACTGATACAATGTAGTTTTCATATATATAACTAGCTTTAGTTTTTATAACTTTGTACTGATGAAGCATAATTCCTTTTTTTCTCATATGCATTATATTTATAGGTTACATAGATTACATGTACACAGATTTTATAAGTTTTTTGTAAATCACGTTCTTAATGTTTATCTATCTATCATGCCCCTTTTGTATACACGCAGTTAAGCTTTTCAGCTGCAAAGCATTATTGTAATAAACATATCTATATGTCTTTGTGACAACTCTCTCTCCACCAGTTGTCAATTGAAGAAACGTTTTTTTTTTTCTCTTTTGCCAGTGAAGAGACTCCAGCTCTGTTACTTGTGTCTGCTGAAGATACAAAAACGGAAGGCAGAGATGAAAATAAAACGTCTGAGCTATCTACGCCTAAAGGCAAAAAGAAGAAAGATATTAAAGATGAAATACAGATTGAAGTGACTGCAAAGCTGGGAGGGATCGATGTTACAGTGACATCTGTTGAGGGTGATTTGACGCATGTAATTATTGGAGGTGAGGGGTTTTTTACTCAACAACCATAATTTGGTAATGCATAAATGAGATGTTACAAATTACCCATCATCATTTCACAATTTTTGTAGGGGAGAGCTGGGGCAATGAAAATTACACCTTTCCTGCCCCCTTCCCCCTCCGTCCTTTCTAACTCTAAATCAAACATGGCTAGTCGGCTAATGAGGCACTGCACTACAAGGCATGATACGATATGTTGGGCTTTTGTTCAATATTATTTTGAAGGAAGCAAGTGAGCAATTGTGATAGTTTCAATCCGCCAAAGAATTGGTATTAAAAATAATATTTTCAGTCTCTCTTGAATTTACTTTATGTACTCTATGTTTGACAAGTTCAAATATTTTTCTTCACACAAAGATTTGTCCGCTGGCTGTGTTGTTAGAGACAGCAGAACAGACGTTATGGCCAGGTATGTATGACCTAATTGTCTTAGTCAATATCCCTTTTTCTCTGATCGCGATCAAAATCACTCAAACTTTCCAGGTCCAAAAAATTATCGTTTGATAGAAAAATTTTCAATTGCGTGTTGAAAGTAATCCAGGAATGTTCTAGTTTTACTTTATTTCGTTACATGATTGGTCCAGCAACTCGCGCCACTTCTTTAACCAATCAGATTCAAACTAAAACCAATCGCGACTTGGTCACTTGCGTTTTCCCGTGCTTTAGGCGGTTTGCTAGTTTTCACTTCGAGTTGTCATGGGCTCCTTGTGATATTTTCCTGGCAATGATTGGCTGTTGTGGTTGCTTTGGTTTTGGTTTTACGACACTCAATCGAAAAGCTTTCTAAGAGTCTCTGTTTCATTTCAGCATGAAAACTTTGTCAGTGATGGATTCTACTCCTGGGGCGGTATATCCGAAGATAGTATCCCTCGTGAACGAGGAGGTGTTTAGCCTTCAGGTGTGTAAAATGAGAACTGTCTATTTCAGACATGGAACTGAGTGACAACAAGGTCATATACCAATTTAGTTTGAGATTTGTTCTGCACCTTTTGTACAACCACCAGAGAAAATTTCCTTCAAGTGTCCTTAAAGAAACCTCACACCAATTCTTTAACCAATCTCATGTAAAGTGATTAACCACTCTCAACCTGATTACTCACGTTTTTTTGCGCCTCTAGCAGTTTGCTTGTTTTTGCTCTGAGTTCTCATCAACTCCTAGTAATATTTTGCTCTGTTCTGATTGGCCATTAATCGAGATAACTATGATTTTGGTTATACGACAATCAATGTATAAGGGTTCTTTCATGATCGTTATTGCTGTTTTAACCAGTGCTGTTATTAACTTGAATTAAGAGTAAAACTTTCTAATTTTATTCCATACCTTATGTTCTTAGGTTATTGCACACAATGATGCAACTGTCGGCATCAAGTTTAGAGACATGGAAGCTGTAGATCTGAAATTCGAGATGGCAATTGGTTGTATCCGTGTCATCTTCCTAAACAAATTTGTGATGAGGCTGCTGGTCAGTAAACTTTATTAGCGTCAATATATTTAGCATTTGTGATTCCTTACAGTTGCAGAAATTGAAGTTAGTAAAGCTGTAGTATTTTGTGTTGAATATTATTTTGGAAATTTTCAGCCTTCCGTTTGAATAGAATGCTATTCATTGTACTGATAGTTAGTGCGCCTCAGCCAACAGGAATGAAATGGCATTTATTTTTTGTTACCAACTGTGAGTTACATGTAACCACTACGGTTAATTTCGCCTGAGTAAATATGATTACTTTATCTTTTAGAGGATGAAATCATTCCGAGCTCAGATATGAATCTCTGTGTTATTTCAGGACTTTTTGAACAAGTTTCAGCGGGCAAAGGATGCCATGGAGTATGCCAGAAAAACTGCAGCTGAGTCAGCCAGTGCAACAGTGAGTCACTAGCCGTTATTAAAACCTTTACATCTTGACCCATTCACTCCCAGATCTCATTAGTAATTGTCCTTACTGTGTGCTATGCAATTCTTATGATGTTGTTTGAGAGAGTTTGGTGTTAGATTCTCCTAATTGATATTTTTCTTTTTTCTCATTCCTTGTCTGCTTGATGTTTTACTGATTTGAGAGGAGAAACTCTGTCTTGGTCACTCAAGGGAGTTAAAGGGTTAAAAGCAGTATTCACTTTTTTCTATTGTTTTGACAAGGGGAATTTGTTTAAAATCATGAGATTCTTAATTTGGCCTTGATGTTTGATAAAGAGGTAATACTGTAAAGTGAAATCAGACGCTATCCACTGTTAGGAACTAAAGGGTGACTTTATTAGGTGTAAAAATGTGTTTTTCTGACTTTTAGATTCAGATTTTGCAAACTCAAAGCTCAAGAATAAGCTTGAAAGTTTCTATCCAAGCACCTGAGGTTATCATCCCTGTGAGTGCGACGTCTCGCGATGCACTTGTTGCAAATCTTGGTCACCTAAGTGTGTCAAACACCTTCAACCTTGCACATGATGGGGAGGATCCTGAAGGAAGTGATACTGTTGTTATTGACAACATGGTGGTGGATCTTAGTTCTGTAAAACTGTTGAGGTATAGATTTCATCGTTTATTCTAGCGATTTTGAAACACAGTGACCTAGTGGCTTGTGCAGCTGTGTATACCTTCAGCCTGAAGCCACTCCTCGTAGTCATTTGGGCAGGTGTTGAGCCACTTTGTTAAGATATCGTTCAAGGCATTCCAAACATAAGGAGACAGGCTTAAATTCAATAAAATTCATGTTTTCACGGAATGCATGTAAGCACCCCATGTACGAGGTGTTCACGATAAGTCTTCGGTTCCCATTTAAACATGCTATTGTTTCCTGGTACGAATTGCCTCAAATAAGATTAATAATAATAATAACATTAGAACTGTAAAACTCAACCACACGTTACCAGGATTCCGTGTTGACTCTGGTAAATCCATGCAATCAAGAAATAGATTATGAAAGATGATGTCATTCAGTGAATGACACAGGCATACTTCGAAAAAAATTCCAAGTGCCCCCAAAGGAGTCGAACACACGACCTTCCGATTAGTACTTGGGATACTCTTCCTCTCAGGTTGAGCTCTAGCCTCGTGGAACTAAATCCACGGTAACAAATTTCCTGCAATCGATTTGAGATACTTTTGCACGATGATATAACTGAGGATGGTAAATTTTAAGCCTGGTGAAAGATGATGTTGTGCAGTGAATGACACAGGCGTACTCGGAAAAAGTATCTCCAAAAAGAAATGCATAGTTTGCTGCTAGGTGAAGGCAAAGAGATTGAAAATGTGTGCCACACTCGTGTCTGATGAAACAATCCTTTTTCTTTGTACAATAAGAGCTGTGATGACTGATGGAGAAACCATAGGACCTACTCAACTGGTCCTTGAACCAGCGAATCTGACAGTTCATGTGGCTCGAAACTTGTCTCCTTGGTATCACGATGTGCCTGATATCGATGTGAAGGGAAAGCTTCATGCAGTTAAGGTTAGTTTATTGATGAAAAGCATTTGAAATAAACAATTGAACAAATTGCAAACAGAATGGTTTGCTTTTCGTAGTAAGAAAAGCAAACCATTCTGTTTGCAAATGATTTGTTCCCACCACTGAATAATTTCAGTCTCGGTATACATTCCCAAACTCGGTAGACATCCCTTCAGTCATATGGTGGCCTTTTGAATAAAGCAACTTGGACTTCTAGATAACTCTCCATGTTCCAAACGAAAATGTTTTTCCATTAAGGTACTTAGATTGCAATTTTAAGTGAGACTAATCGTGGGAAGAAAATCAAAGAACAGTGTGGCAGCCCATATTTCTTATGACTAAAAATTCAAGTTAAAATGTTTTTTTGGAGGGTACATGCCGTTAGTTAGCGTAAGTCAACGCAACTTTAAACATAACATCGACTAACTGCTGTGTGGGGTGAAAACGTACCCAAAAAAAAGGGTGTGAATCTTCCTCATTCTAACTTTGTCAAAATTACATTTAAACTTATCAGAAATTAGAGATTTTATATGGTATAACAGATATTTACCAGATATTTACATGTCACGTGTTCTGTCTTTGTACAGTTATGTGCTGGTGAAGATAAAATAAGAACTATACTGGGGATCTTGTTCAAGAATCTCAATGAAGGAGTCACATCTCGCACAGGTAAAGGTGTCGCAATGAGTAGCTACTGAAAATTTAGATTTTTGATTTTATGGTTATTTTGACACTGATCACAGATATTTTCACAATTGCAGAGGAGATAAGCACCATAGCACAAGATACAGTTGGTAAGATTCTTCATTTTTTTACATAGAATTCTCGGGAGTGTTATTATGACAACCCCAATTACCCTATAATGCCTCGCCCACTGTTATTACCACTCGTGTTAGTTTCCAGTTAAAGGTTTCGTTTGACGTTTGGGGTTGAAAATCAGGAGATGCAAGAACGATTGAGTTCTTTTTTCCTTTATTATGTGGTAGTATGACACTAAAATGAGGAAAACTAACATTCAGGCAAATATAACACTTAATCACTGGGTAAATGTTTTGTCTAGGGCCTGAAATATAGACTTCTAATTTACTTAAAAAGGCTTAAATAGCCATGCCTTACCTTTCAGATTCCGCGGGCGTTGCCAGTCAAAGCCTGAGTGTTGCAGAACCAGCTTCGAGTGATGTTGTGTGGGACTTTGTGAAATTTTCATTTGAGATTGAAGAAGTTTCAGCTGCAGTGTTCTGGGAGGAAAAGGTTAGTTAAATGTAATTTGGTATTATCAACTGAGTTGATAACGTAAATTGGCCACCGTAAAGAATTTTAAAGCTGACGTTTCGCTCTGAGGAAGGGCTAACGCTCGAAACGTCAGCTTTGAAACTCTTTACAAAGGCCAATTTACGTTATCAACTTAGTTGGTAATACCAAATTACCTTGTTATACTCTCCCACCGACGCAGCACCACAGTTTCTTTAGGGACGTACCCCCATTATAACTGCTAAATGATCGTGCTAGGGGTAGCGAAGGTGGCTAGTGTAACATCCTAAAATGCTTTTGTCCATTTTTAAACGATGCTCCTTTGCCTCAGCCTACCGGCACCACGTCATCCAGAGATGCAGAATGCTGTTTAGGGCAGTTCTCGCTGGTCCAGGTTAAAGCCTCAGGGAGTATCAAATCCAACTCGGCAATAAAGGCCAGTGTGACGTTAGAGAGTTGTATTCTCGATGATAAAAGGCCGCAGAGTGAGGAAGGAGTCACAAGGTAAGAAATGATGCAATAATGTGTAGTTCACCAGTGTTACGTTTCTCATTTTGACTTTTTACTAATTTGTCGCCCTCTGTAATACAAGGAGTACTAGAGGCGCCCCAAGGCGTCGCCCCTTGAGTAGTTGCTTTAAGTTCCGTCACCCCCTAGTGAAGTTCATTTACTCAGAAATATGATTGCATTGCCCCAATTGAAAGTTGCATCGTCCCCAACTTTTGATCTAAATTCGATTAAGGTTTTAAACGCGCATCATCATCCGGTGTCGTTCCAAAGCAATGATAACAGCCCTTCAAAACAAAGGGAAATCCAGTGAAGCCAATAAGAAGTCAAATTAGAAAGCAAGTCGCCCCGTTTTTTGGTAATCTATCTTATCATGGAGCAAACTAAGGGAATGTAATTGCGGATTAGTCTTGGCACTTAGTTGGTAAATGCTTCAAGTCTTTTATCATGTTAATCTACGCACTGGCTATCCATAGAAAAAAAATACAATGTTGGTTTTCAGGATGATTGAAAAGTTTAGTGGTGGTTCAAGTGATGTTGAAAACATGATCGATATTCAGTTCCAGCAAACTGCTGCTCAGGACAAAAACAGTAAGTTTGATTATGATTTTCATTCTTATGGTCACGTTATCATTTGGTGACAACTCGGCTTAGGGTGAAATTTTCCTTTCAAATGCACTTGTGGCTACCGAGAGATGCCAAGCTCTCCGTAATTTTGTAAGAATTTCTATGTTTGCTCTTGTGTTTGATAAGTTTGTTATAGAAGCAGCAAGATAAACGTCGAAAATTCCACCATTTTTTTTGTCATTCCATCATTGAATCTGAACCTAAAATGTAATCCGAAATTAAAATAGTTTTTAATTCTAATTTAAAGACCAAGTTTCATGTAGGCAGAACACTTTGTTCTTTGCTTTCATCCATGCTACTGCAGTACAAAATTGACTGTGATAACGAGGTAATTAATTTCAGAATATTAACCAGCAGATCAGTTTTCAATTGACTGACGTAAAACCAAAGTTATTACAATAGCCAAACATAACAAAGGTTTGTGACATCATTGATCAATGAGGACTCATTTAAAATAGGAAAATACAAAAAAGCGCGGGATAACGGGGGCAACCAAATCGCGATTGGTTATCTTTTGACGTCTGATTGGCTTGGGCATTACGATTTTTAGACCAATCACAGACCGAAGTAAAGCAAAACCAAAGCAATCCCAGATTACTTTCGACATTCAATTGATAATTGCTTTATTTATGGGTGGTTAAATGTGATTGAAACTAGAGTGTGTAGAATACATTAAGACATTAGGGTACCGCTTTTTTGAGGCCGAAAATTAAACTTGGCCTCGCCTCTTTCTGCTTACATATTCAGTTGAGATGGCAATACAGAGCTTCAACGCTGTAGTAAACTTGGAGTTTCTACAGGTTCTGTCTAAAGTGTTTACGTCAGCGTTAGCCACGGATGAATCAGACAGCACGTCATTGCTTGCCTCTCAACACGTATCTCAGGAGGTGGCCGTTACACATCCATCTGTATCTGTTGCGACCACCGATCACGAACCACCACAAATCGACGTTAAGATCGCCGTTAAAGACCCAGAAATTATCTTGCTAGCAGACGGAAGAGACAAAAATACCAATGCTCTCTTCTTGAAGGTTAGTACATATCCAGCAGTGCATAGTTGGCAAAATAGAGATGGAAGTTCAAATACACTTAACCCTCTACATCATCAGTGTAAACATCAGTATGCATTTTCTCCATACTGTTCTCTATACATTTCCTTAGGTGCTGACAGGGAGAATTTGTTTAACAATCAAGAGTTTCTTTAGTTGGTGATCATTTTCTTTATTCTAAGGAGAAATTAGATGCTAGTCACTCGTAGGGGTCAAAGGGTTGCACACTACTTTGCAACCAAACAAAAGAGGGTTCAAACGAGCAGTCAAGGATGGAAGCCAACATGCCATAAGGCAAAGGGAAAGACAGGCAAAAAAACGGGCAGACAGACATACACGTATAGCTGAGAAAGAAACTACGTAAAAGAAAGAAAAATGGCTTTCGAAGCCACAGTTTAACCGAGCTTGTTGATGTAAAAAGTTACGGAGAAACATTGTTTTTTAAAGGTATTCGCGAAGGGTGCATCGAGTTTGAAAAACGGCTTGTGACCCTTTTACTTAAGGATTGGATTCCCACGAAAAGTGGAACTATGATGGCTTATATCTCACGGATATGTTCTCAGTTCAGCCACTTCCCTCGTAAAATTTGTAGTAAATTATACATTCATGTGTGTTTTATATTCTCAAACATAAGCGAAGAGTTTATTCGACGTTTTATACATATTTTTTTCTTGCAGAATACAATCGATTTCCGCTTTGTTCAGGGTCTTGGACAGCAAAAGATGTCGGGTTCTGTTTCAGATGTCGTAATTACCTCAGCATCGTTTGACAAGGAGAGAAGAGCTTCAACGAAATCTAGGGTGAAACTTTATTCCTTTTACTTGAGGGTGTAGTATATTGATCAGCGGCGCGACAACGTGGCTAGAGGAGTCAACTTACCTTCCGGAGCTCCTGGGCTCGAGTCTTAGGTCACGATTGTAAATGGCGAACTGCCCGCGGGGATTTTCAACCTTGATGGAGAAACTTTCAATTGAGCGTCCAAATTAATCCAAGGTCTCTTTGGTTTAGTTTACTTTGTTGTGTGATTGGTCCAGAAAGTCGTGCTCCTTTCTTAACTAATCAGATTCAAAACTTCAACTAATTGCGACTTGGTCACAGGCTTTTTCTTGCGTTTTAGTCGCACTCAATCGAAATGCGCTCTATGCTTTAACCGAATGCGTGGTTTTTCCCAAAGAGTAGCCCAGATCCTCCGTGCTTTCTGCCTCAAAAACTTCTGAGAGTAAGCTCTTCATATGTGAAATGTTTCTCCCTGACAAATTATTTGAACACTTTACTCAAAGTAATTCACTTCCTTTTCATTTGCAGGTTCTTCAGCTTTCGCATATATCTTTTGTAAGCTCGGCACCAGAAGGCGGTAGCATGCATATTGACGTATCGACAGCAATGGCGTACATACACGTGTCGCCTCCTACAATTAGGACATTAACAGCGTGTCTGATGTCATTAGCCCCAGCTAAGGTTTGTGTAGCGTACAGAATCATTGGTAAGAACGCATTTGGAAGGTTTGTGTGTCTCATGAACATGTTGATAAGAATAGTTTTTTAAAGGTTACTATGACTTATGAAATCCTTTTCAACACTCCCAAGATTTCATTACTGAATCTCGTTACAAATTGATAGACAATTTTCATGATGTTGCTTCGGAGAATTTGTCATTGGGTCGACTGATAATCCCTTTGCTGATATTTTTCTTTATTCTCATCACTTGTTGCTTTATATCGTATTGTTAATGTGGTGAGAAGTTGTGTCTTGGTCACTCGTGGGCGTTATGGGGTCAAGGAACCATCTTTAAAAAATCCTTATTTAACGTTTTTATGACTTATTAACCGATACGAAAGAGTCAATTTGAATGTGTGCTCGTGTTTCATCCTTCGCATTCCCTTTCCTTCCGATTTTTCCTCTCCAGACGGAAGAAGATGGAAAGAAGGCAATTGAAAGCGCTGTAGACTTATGGAATGAAAAGCCAATTACGACTAAGGATCGATGGTATTTATCCCCAGGTGAGGCAAACATTACCGTTTATTTAACACATAAACTGCGGTGTTAGACAAGGATTTCCGGCCCTGAGAAAAGCCGAAACAACACACGTAAAAAAATATTTTATTTCTTCACGTGTGTTGATATAGCCAATCAACTGCTTACACGTCAATCACCTTTGGCGGCATTCGGTCAATTTGATGAATGAATGATTCTCAATTGAAGTTGTTTGCCGGAACTTTCTCGAATTATGTCGGCTATAACACTAAAAATCCGTATCGCCGACAGACAATGAGGTTCAAACTTTCCTAGAAGGGAAAGAAAACCAATATACTAAAAGAAAAACCGAAAGTTGCGTATTCAGTGGCTTTGGTGTTAGCATTTCTGACGGATGAGAATGAAAATAATAATAATAATAATAATAATAATAATAATAATAACAACAATAGGCTATTGTGTTTATATAATAAACAAAATAATACATGGTTGCCTGTAGATATGGAATTTCTCTTCTCGTTTTCAACTCAACATTTAGCACTCGAAGAGAAATTCCATATCTACGCGCGCCTATGTATTATTCTCTATTTAACGTACTCTATGACTAGTCGAAGGAACCCTCTTCTGAGGGTGTTACAGTTATCCTTCCTGTTTCTGAGGTTGCGTGCAAATTATTTGTTCAGATGAAGTGAAAACGGGATGCTCTGCTTAGTATTTTACTTCTATATTGCCAAAAATACAGAAAAAGAAATTTTTTTAGTTTTCATTGATGTAGAACTTTCAGAGTATCACGGCTATGATCAAGACATTATGGTAAAGGTTTACCTTTAAGTATTCTATAGATCCCAAAAGCAGGGCGTGAAATTGCGCCTCATACGGGCGCCAATGCGACTAAATTTTTCACTTTGGCGACCAAATCCTGAATCATAACGATACCTAGAGATATAGTGAATTAAAAAGATTTGCAAAGAGAAATCCGTGGCAAACTTCCTCGTTAAGTTTGTTTAATTTCCAAAACGCAGCACATGCATCTCAATTGATAATTAGACGCTATCTTGGATTTAGGTGAGCTTGAACATTGTATATCACTCATCCTAGTGTCCACTTTGTAGAACTTTGTAGAACTTTGTAGAATTTTGTAGAACTTTGTAGAACTTAATTTTGGAGGGTCTATCAAGAACGCTGACAGCGTAAAAAAAAAAAAAAAAGGTTTTGTTTGTCTTTAAAAATGGCGACCAATTTTTTTTGCATTGGCTACCACTTTGAAAAATTAGGGAGCCAAGTGGCTTTCAGGAAAAAAAAAATTCACGCCCTAAAAAGGGTTTTTTTGGTGTGGGGGAGGTGGAGGGAGAGAGTTACTTTATCGGTGAGAACACTCACTCCCCTCCTGTGAGGGCTGGGATTGAGACATTTTGTCTTCTGCGAAAACTGAGACCAAATTCTCATTATTCAGGCGCTTGGTGGCAGTTTTGAATTTAAAATTTGGGTTTGTTCGTTTTCAGCCAAAAATTGCCGTCAGGGTTTAAACCGCATTTGTGTGTGCAAGTTTTCAAATGTAGGCTTCGGGATCTAGTTGAAAGCATTTAAAAACAATTCGTGAAGGGAATGACAGTTTTCATGAGTTTTTTTAAATATTCCTTGCATGCCTGCACTCGATGTCCGTACTCCTAATAAGAACTCTTGAGAGCTTTCCCGTGTTTTTAAGGTTGGGGTAAACTTTTCACGTTTGTGATTTGCGTTTTAGTTCCAGAAGACCAGCTTGTTCCTGGGAGACGGGTGCTTGCCAGAGCTTTGACTAACATGAAGTTTTATGATCCGGGATATATTTACATGGCTTTGGAAAACATGATTGGTGTCCACTTTGACGGCGGCCTCCCCTCCGCCTATGATCCAAATGACATCACCGCTATGATGGTGGATAAAGACCCTGATCCTCAAGCTCTGGTTGTTGGCACACCTGTGGTGGCCAAGCGTTCAAACGATTCATCTCATGTCGAAGGAAAAGTGAAAGAAAGGAAAGAGGAGAATGGAAAGGAAACATATTTAATTGACTTTTGGGATGGCATCGAACAATGGGACACTCTAGATCAGATTCGTATTCTCACCACCAGTAAGCCAGGAGGTATGAAGTTTGAGGAGTTTTAGCAGACAATTCTAGCCATGTTACATTTCTGTTGTCAGCATAGGTTCACATTAGTCCAGTTGCGTTGGTTGGGAAAGTTACGAAATTAGCTCGAATAACCGGAGATTGGCATTTGCTTTCATCCTTCTTTGAACTAAACTCCATCGGATTCAGTGCGAACGATGAACGCCGTTTAATATTTTAAAAATTTGAATGAACTCCATGCTTTGCAACTGCATCTAAAATCAAAGATGCGCATGTAAGAGTCTGCCTCAATTTTTTTTCTTGTAGTTCCCAGGGGGCAGATTGAAGTGTCATCCATCGTATTTGTCAGATTAAAAGACGACATGTACAGGAGAGGTTTTGTCTCCAGCAAAACATACAGGAAACATGTGATACGGTTAATCGGTGAAGTGGCCACCATCAGTGTGGACGCAAACGACAGTGCGGCGGTAGTACCAGATGTCATCCCAGATGTAGCTTCTCTTACTGTTGGAAGAACAGTTATTGCTACAGTTGACACTGCTTTTTGGGAGGCGGGATTTATTGTTCAGATTCGGACACGAGATGATTCAGGACAGGACATTTACCGCGTCAGGTTCTTAAATGGTGGCGATACGTGGATTTTTAACATCAACAACATCCGTATCTTGATGGCAAGGAAACCTAATGGTATGTGTGGCTACCAATTTTCAATTGAGTTTCGAAAGTAATCCGGACTTGCTTTGGTTTTGCTATTCTGCACCATAGAATTGGACTAGAAAATACGTGCTACTTTCTCAACCAATCAGGTTGAGCTCTTAAAAAATTACAACTTGGTCGCCCGCATTTTCCCTCGCTTCAGGCAGTTTGCATGTCTTTAGTTTCGTTCTCATTAGTTCCGTGTGGTAATATCCTTTTTTCTCATTGACTGTTTTGAGATTCGCAGTATTTTCACTTGTAGGAATTAATGTAAATTATATGTAATGGTTAGAGAGACGCTAGAAAAAATGAATCGAAAGACTCTGGTAACTTCGCAAGCATTATATAATATTTTTCCTATTATGAAAATCACTAGGCAAGGTGCAAGGTGTATTGGTTCTAATTGCCGTGAAGAGGACATAAAATCATATCCATTATATAGTTCTAGTGTGCCTAGTGTAGTCTGCGCAAAATACTACGTAAATTCTAGTGCAAGCGTTTTTTCGATGGTATTACTTTCTGTACTACCATCATGAAAGTAATAAGAGTGGGGTGAGTAATAAGGGGTGGGGTGGGGTGGGGTGGGTGGAGGGTTGAAAGGGGTGCGAACCCCCTACTGAGATGACTTGCCGCTTTCTAATATGACTAATATTCTGCAAAACATAAATCAAAAGTGTGGTGTTGAAGAAAAACGAATAACGACGTAATGATGACAGTCGTAATCCTCATTCTTTGTTGTTCGCTTTTAAGATTTGTTTACGTCACCTGTCCGTTACGTCATTCCTAAGTGGTGCACCTCCTCCCAAGAAAAATCCTGGATCTGCCTCTGTTGCCCACTATGTCAAAAACTGTTATATCTTATTGGCTACTTGTTCTTATACAAGGGGCTACATACAGAACGATGGAAATCTAGAGTAAATGAGAATTTTTTGCCTTATTATTTTCTCTCTCTAGTCCCAGAAGGCATTTTAGACGTAGGCACAGTGGTGTGGGCACACACGTCCAAAATACGTTACTACAAAGGATTTGTCGCCTACAAAGGAACAAAGCTGCATGTTGATCTCTATGACGGAGATAAATTTGTGTACGAAATGAAAGATGCGTCACGCAGAGTGATTCCTGATGTGCCGCCAAAGGCGGCAGATATCAAACCTGGAACCAGAGTTATAGCCAAGTTTAAGAACAAGCCTCGGTATTACAGTTCTACAGTGATGGAGGTGGACGCCTCTGAGCCAAGCGAACCGATGTATCATGTGAAGCTTGACGATGGAGATGAGACGTGGGATTCTTTGTATCATCTCAGACTTTTACCCAAAGAGGTTCAAGTTGGAGGTACGTTTTGGAGTGTTTGTGTTAGCTCCTTCATGATTTGAGTGATATAAAAAAAACTGATTTGATAGCAGGCTTGCTTTGATGAGCAAACAATCAGTTAGTAAATATCTTGGGATGGTTTGTTATTATCCTTTGCGATTAACCTAAACGAAAATTACTGTATGTTTTATCTCTAGGTGAGGAGAAGCCTCCTAACCATGTTAATGCCAACGAGGCTGGGAACCATAAAACAGAATTGGTAAGTTTACAAGGGCGTGGCTTATCGGGTTTCTTAGGGTGCCTGTGAATTCTACCCCCCTTATTTGAGACACCGTTTTGTGACAGGTCAAGCACGTATACATCTCATGATTCAGATTTGAGAAAACAGGCGAATCCAAACAATCTAGCCGGGATAAATCTTTCCAATGCTGGGTACTCTATTGGTCCATCGCTCTTGCCGTTAAGAATGCGAGCCCGCTGATACACAAGGAAGAGAAGCCGTAAAAGACAGTTACCTAGGGCGCGCGGAAATTAATAACTTCCCATCCCCGCTCCTAAAACAAGTCTTAGCTGCACCCCAGCCACTAGAAACATTTTAGATCCATATCAGTCATCCTGATATTTTTAGGGGCCACCAGAGATAAATTTTTCTTTCACAACGATAATTCAAAATGTTATTTTTTTTCTCAGTTGGTTTTTGAAATGGAAGGATTTGACATCAAGCTTGAAGGTTTGTTTGGCAGCCAAGTGATTCCATTGCTGTCCGTTGATGGATCCATCCAAGGAGAAGTTCGGAACTGGTCTTCGGCAGTAAGTAAAAAAAATGTTATAACGTATGCTGTAGCAATTATTCTTTTGAAAGACAATGGTTCATTTTCATGTGAATTTTTTATCAGTAAAAGCGGCTTTTGAATCTTAATACCCCTTCCAACTTTTTCAGTTATAGCAAATGCTTTTCCTCGTTATCGAGTTTGATGAGATTTTTGTGGAGCATTGGGGTAGTTTAACGCACCTATGTTGTATTTTGGCATTTTTTCGTTAGTGTTATTATTTTTGTTTTCTTTTCGTTGTTCCCTTTTATTTTGTTAGAGACCCGTCTCCCCAATGGCCGGTGCACTAGATTCTGTGTTAAAAAAATCCTAGTGTGGGCATTGGAGCCCATTTCACGAAAATTCCGGGTCGGAAGCCAAATTTTAAAATCAAAATCTAAAGCATAGAGAAGCAGGTTCTGTCACCCTAGCAAGTACAATTCATTTCTTTAGCTGATAGTTAAATTGTATAATTTTCAAAACTTTTGAAATCCCCATCTTAAATGAAAACAAAACAGCTCTACGGGCCCGTTAAGTTACCAGGGCTGTTTTGTTTTCATTCAAGATAGGGTTTCCAATAGTTTTGAGAGTTATACAAGGTGCGTAAAAGGATACCAGCGAATTCTTAGCGAAACCCCTACGAAATACCAAGGGGGGGGAGGGAGGAGTGGGGTGTGTATAAGGGTAACCTGCGATAGACTAGAATCCCATTCAGGGAGTGTAGCAATGGCGGTACTCCTACTCGTCTTATGCTACAGAAACCGCGACAACTTCGGTCGGGGGAGTCCTTTGGCTGGTTTATGTGACTTGGCATTTCTTATTTATTTCAGTTGTCAGTCCATGCTGGAGTCGACGTCATTGGAAACTACTTCAACGAAAGTGTGTCTGAATGGGAACCTCTTATTGAGCCGGTGGAGGATGAAAACAGCACTTATCGACATTGGGAAGTTAATTTTGACGTGAGTAAATTCTCGTAGTGAAGGAAAGGCAAATCCTTGTAAAATCCTCACTTTTTCCAAATTTTTCCCTTTTTTCACTGTAGCTATCTTTAGCAAATGGTGGAGATGAAAGCAGCAGTTTGGATGACAATTCAGAGGCAGCCATGACTATGGCAATTCGATCAAAGGATGAATTACAGCTGACTGTAACAAAAACATGTCTGGACATCTTCACTAAACTCGGAGCGGTCAGTACAAAACTAGCAGGATGATGATAGTGATAAAAATAACTTCCACAGAAATGATTATGATACTGATAATGACTAGAAAGAAAACTATCATGACTTTAAAAATAACAAAAATGACCTAAGTCTCCTTCGAAGCTGTCTCTGGGATGTTATGCAACCCCTCCCGAGAGACTGGCTTTTAGCTTGGGCGCCCCCTCCCGAGAGACTGGCTTTTAGTTTGGGGAAATCGTTGCGTGACATCCCAATGTATGGCAGAGTTGGAGACTACAACAACATTTATAACTGTAGTGAAAAGTGGTAAGAATGAGGCCTGAAAGAAAATCCACTATTTTTTCTGTGACAAATATTGAAATACCTGTTCATGTCTGTAGGCTTTCAAAGAGGCTGTTACTCTGAAGGGTACAGGAGTGGTAGCCATTGAAGATGTTCCACCCTATCAGATATGGAATGAGGTTTGTTATCAACAGCTTCTTTTTTATGTAATTTGCAGGTGATTGTTAAGGTTTTTATTGGCTATATCCTCCTAAAATTAAATTTACAAGATTCCAAAGCCTTAGCTCGTCAAAGAAAACTATCCGCACTCATGGATAACAACTTCTCTCGGAGGCCTAGACTCAATTCTGGTATTTAAAAGCAATAGGTGTGTCAATAAACACGTTCTTTTATAAGATAAACAGTATTCGGTTTCAAGCAAGGCTCTAATTTAAAAATAACATAAATATTCGCAGTGTTGACTTCTAAAGTTTTGCAAGGTTCAGTTCTAAAGGTTCGTGTTCCGTTTCTTCTCAGTGATATCATTAACAGTCATGTTTTGATTCTTGTTAGCTTGGAATGGAAGTGAAGCTTCGTCCGGGAAAACAGCTGGTACAGTATATGTTCATCCTACTTTTCTTCGCTCCAAAATTCCTGAATATTCTTTTTCCTCTTTCTTTGTGGCGGAATTTGATAGATGCTGCAAGTCAGGTTGAAAAATTGTGAATGTTAAACAAGTTCAGTTTGAAAAAGAAACCTTGTCTTAGTGGATACTAACGGGGTCCCGTTTGTGTTCGATAGTTGTACTTGTACTTGTCTATTAAGAGGAAATCAAAGAAATCCCGTCGTAGTTTTACTTAAAGTGTAAAAAAGTCATAGCCATTGAAACCATGTAATGTGAAAAGAGCCTTATCGAGGTTTGCATTAGAGCTATTTTCAATTCACTGTTTAAAGAAATCCAAGATTGCGTTACTTTGTTCTGTCCAGAAAACTGACGTCACTCTGTAAAAATATCAGATGCAAAACTAAAACCAACCATGAATTAGTCGCCCGCGTTTTCCCGCGCTTTAGGCAGTTTGGTTGTTTTTACTTGGAGTTCTCATTGGCTCTTGGAGATATTTTCCTTTCTTCTGATTTGACGTTGTGATAACTTTGGTTTCGCTTCAGCTGTACTCAGGATACATTGTATTTGTGTTACGATAGATTGCAAGTGGAGCTGATCAAGATGGCATGGTTACAGTGCTTCCAGGTCAAAGCCTTTCCCTACGCTTTGCCGAAGGAATTCACAAGAGAACCAGCCGATACGAAAGAGCAAATAGTACTTCCGGAGGAGGGGGGCCTAGTATTGGTGTTGAGGTGAGAACAGCCATTAGGCTCAAAATTCCAGATGCAGTGAATGTTTAATGTCACTAAAAGGAACTGGTATAGAGAATGGTTTGAAACCAGAAGTAACATTTAATCGTGTAGTCTGATTGTCCGGGTGTGAATAGTCCATAGAAAAACTGTTGTCACTAGCAGTGACTTATGTTTCAATAACCTCGGCGGAAGTCATCATTACAGTCAAGTGTCATTTTTCGTGTGAACTGTTTTGCTCAATTTTACCGTGATGGTATTTGGTGTAAGAATCAGTCAGCATTAGTCATACGTGATTTAGATCCGTCGTTTATTGTGTAAATGTTGTGATTAAATCTTTTTTATGGTACTGGTTGGTATAGACATCTTTTTGCGGGGAGACTCTTCCTAGTAAAGAACCAGCTTTTCAGCAGTAGTTACAAAGATTGCCGTGGATAAGATTTATTTCGTCTGTTTACAGTGCCAAAAAAATCTCAAAACTTGAAATCCTAAAATACCCCAACTTGAATCTTGTTTTGAAATCATTAGGTGCAAGGCTATCACGTGATGAAGCCTGTCTCAATCAAACAAGCAAGAGTTATCTTGCAAAATGTCATCCCAAAAAAGGTAAGAACAAATAAACGATGACAGGCAAAAATAAATCATAATTAAGTATAATAAGAATAGGTATAAACAATAAAATGTAATTTTGTATGCTGATACCTTTTCTGTTGATTAAACAAAGAACAATTTCCGTTGTCTTACGTGCGGAGCAGGTAACTAAAAACAGTTTTGAAGCACATTTGATACAAATGCACGTTTAATTTAAATGTTGGATCAAGTAAGTTGACATCCTGCTTCACCAAGCCACCCAAATATTGTTTTTCTCTAGCTTAACTGAATTTAACTGATCACCCGATATACCACCTAAATTAATTTAAATTTTTGAAACATATCTCATATTTTTTTCCTTTTCAAATCTTACTGTCCATAATTGTCAGTTAAAGTAGGCTAGAAACACCTCAGAGATGTATATAAAATATTAAAAGTGAGGTAAATACTTTTTTTTCCTTGTCAAGTATGACTGAGGTAACTTTTCACCAGATTTCTTCAGCCAACTTTACGGTGTTCAGTGTCTAGTTTTAACGTAGTTAAATAAATAAAAAAAATTACTGGATGTACAGAAAATGTATTCTTACGTCGTTGTTTAACAAAAAAAATCCGTATCATGATGCAGTAATATTAACCTCGTTTCTTGCTTTAATTATGTCTAGAGGTGAAGTTCTAAGCAATGAAATAAAAGAAATTTATGTTAAGATTAATGAATAATGTAATAATTGAGTTAAATTTAAATAGATAAATGTAGGGCACATTTCAATTGATTGTCATCAAAAACCAATTACGAAGAACTCAAAGAAAAGGAAAAAAAAATTTTTGAACCGTGGGAAAATACAAAGTGACAAAGTTGCGGTTGAGTTTTAGTTTTGCGTCTCGTAAGTTGAAAATGCAAGTTTTCGAAACCGACCAGAGACCAAAGTGAAACAAAACCATAGCAATTTCAGATGCCTCTCGACACTCAGTTGAAAATTTTTCTTAAATTCTTTGCATGCTTAGTTAGTATTCTTACATTTCAGTTTATAGAAAGGATCGTTTTATTACCAGAAATGAGCACCATAAATGAAATGGTCCTGATAACAGATCTTGACCCAGATCAGGTGAAGGGCAAGTACCCTAAATTAACGGCTCTCTAATGGGAAACGTGATTTTATAAACGACTTCAGCTTTCTCGACTCTTCTGTGGGCTCAATTCTGGCTTTCAACGCTAACCACTCGTCTCTGTTTCATAAATACTGGTAAACCGATAACCCTATAAACCATATTTCTTATTTTTTATTGTCAGTATCTGTGCAGCTGTGCATATACCCCTCCCCTGGCCCAACATTAACCCTAACAGCCTTACCTGATATCTGTTGACTGTTGTTGGGTTATTGGAGGGGTAGGTGGGCAGTTGCTCAAATACTGAGCTAGATCCTTTCCTATTTGAGTATAAGTTCAGTGTCTTTATGCTGTCTAAGTTTTAGTCAACATTTGCTAGTTTTCTAATGGAGTCTTCCTGTTACTTGTACTTAACTGAGTACTTCTTTTTGCTTACAAACTTTTTTTTTTCTTTTTGGAGCTTTTATTGCTCTCTAAACCGTTAATCGCCAACTTCTGAATGACTACTGAGTTGAAATGAACGACAGAACAATAAAAATTTAAAGTAACATGTGCTTTTCTTTACAGCTCCTCTCTGGATTGATTGTATCAGTTGTGATTCAAGTGGAAACTGGAGACGGCCAGAAGATAGTTACTATCAGATCACCCTTACAGGTCAGTACACATAACTTATCAGATATATGTCAGTATCTTAGCAACTGCGCACGTGCCCCCCACCTAACCCGACAAAAACCTTAAGTTGTCATTCGTTGACTGTCGTTGGGTTAGGGGAGGGGTAGGTGCGCAGTAGGTGCTCAGATACTGACATTGATCCGGTTCAGAGTGAATTTCAAAAAATAAATGCTTTTAACTTACCAGATACGAGTAACGTGGAAACGATTTACGTCGATGAATCGATTAAGAAAAAGGAACAAAGCAAAACAAAAACTAGCAACAAAGTTTGGTTTAATGTTGCCTTCATAACACAACGCTTTTTAACACAGGTGAACAACCACTTCCCGATCCCAATGGACTTATTTTGCAAGAAGGAAGATCAGTTGTCCCATGTTACAACAATTGAACCAGACAGTGTGTTCAGTGTTCCCCTGATACTGGCTCACAAGGCTGCACTTTACCTTAGACCTGCCGGATTCGGGTTTGTTTATTTTACTGTGATCTGTGCTTTGACAATGACAGTCTGAAATCAGTTCATTGGTAGATCAATAGAATTATTTTATATTTGATTATGTCCCATTGACGTTCTGGCATATAAAGACTTTTATTTTGTGGCGAGACTGCTACAAAACTGCAATGAGGAGCAATTTTGCCAGGTCTTACCTGCCGTCGATTCTCTAGTTGCCCTTTCAACTCCCAAGATCTCATCGTTAAATTTCCCCCTTAGCTGGTACATATTTGTTACAAGAGTTTGGTATTACATCAATATAACAACCTCTACCCGATAAATTTTATTATTCTCATAATCTGTTTGCTGGATAACTTATGGATGTTATAGACAGATGTTACGTGTTAATCTCTTCTGGGAGTTGAAGGTTTAAAAGCGTGTCAAAAAAAAAGAAACCTGTCTTAGTTTTGATCAAGATCTGGTCTATAGGAACGAATCTATAATATCCTTCCATAGCTAAAAAGAGGTTTGGAAACGTTTGTGGAAAAAAGATCGACCTTTGGAAGAAGAAACTAGACATTGCCAGTGTCTGGAATAGTAACACGATACATGTAACTGTATAAACGCAACCAACACTGAAACAATTCAAACTCTATGTACACAATTTGTTTATTACCTTGTGATCTTGGTCTCAAACTGCTTCAAATATGCATTAAGTACAATTATTGGCGCCTGTAAGATGTAATGGAAACACGTTCTGACTTGAGGACAAGAAGGACAAGGTTTAAATCCAAACTTCTCTGTTTCTGATAAATTTTCTTTTGCTTTATTTTTTTGTGATGTTTTGTTTTGTTTGTTGTTATTTATCTTAAGGTATGGAGCGAGTACGACACCGCTGTTGTGGAACAAGTTGGCATCTGAGGGGTCTTCTTCAGTCCAGTGTCCACCCCCGGGCGGCGAGGGACCACCTTTTCATATCGCGGTAAGCTACGTCAGAACAACTTCTGTGTTGAAAGTAATCTGTGAAAAAAAAAAATTGTATTTTCGAAAATTCCAAATGTAAATTTCTAGGCTTACGCAACTTATGTGTAAATAAAACTATTTAAGATTACATAATAAATACCTCTTACTAACTCAGGTCGAGGTCTTTACCGCAAGTTACGGTTTTTTTCGCTCGGATTTATGGCCTAAGCGAAGCACGTAGTATGTGGGGCTTGCCGTAATTGGGAACTATGGTAAAAGAAGTTTATCATAGTTAAACTATTTAACAGTTCAGTTAAATATTGAATTGTTTTTATTTCCATTCGTTATGAAGGAGAAGGATCTGTTTGTAGACAAGCAAGGGTTTTGACTTGCTACTGATTTAACATCAAATTGTACTCTGTTGCAATAAGGTTGTATGAAATTGAATGTGGACAATTCTTTTACAGGTTGATTGTGAACAAGTGTCGTACAGTGCAGTGCATGGATCCTTAGAGCATGCGCCAAACTACGTCCTACACATCTACCCATCGGCTGTTCTACATAACTACTTGCCATATAATATTCTCTACAGTACACCGGTAAGCAGTTGTTTTTAGGGGGATAAGTCTCTAGAGAAACTGTTGTGCTGCGTCGGTTGGTGGGTAAAACAAGATAATCTGGTTTTTATGACCTGAGTTGCGAAGGTAAAATGGCCACCGTGGATTCAGAAACTCCTAACGTTGGCCAATTTACATCATCAACTCACTTGATAAAACCAAATAATCTCAAGTTATGTCACGTGAGTTGAGTGTGTCACACATTTTGACGTTGTCCGTGATCTATCACTGAACAGGCGCACAACAACAAGCAATCTATTTTTTTTTTAATGTATGAAAGGTTAAGAATAATGTGCCGAAAACTCGGGTGAAAAATTTCGATTAAAGGTTCGGAAACAAGCTCTGCTTCAGAGAAAAATAACGCATCACGTGTACCTTAAATAGAATTTCACGCGTCACGATTAAACCATGAAACTTCAAATCTCTCTTCTTGTGTGCGAAGTTTTTGGGAAATCTTGAATTGATCAATTTGTGGTATCGAAGACGTTGGTTTTAAGTGATCGTTTAACTGTCAGTTTCTTGATGTTTATACGCTTGCTTTGCTAGGATACGCCTCTTGTTGAACTTAAAGGTGGCGAGAAATGGCCTTTGTTTTCTGTCAGTCTTCATCGAAAAGTCAATCTTTACATTCAGGTAACTGAAGTATGTTATTGACATTATTTAACACCGAAATGGCCAATTAGTGAAACCATATGCTGAAAGAAGTGAAGAGGAGACGTAATTCCTTTCTTATTTCTTTAACAGTCAAACTCAATTTACACCGAACAGTAGATGGTTATCAAGCCTTAAACCTAATTATCAAATAGAAATTTTTACTCGCTTCTTATTTCAAAGCATCATCGTTTGTTTCACGATGTAATTACTTCTTTTTCTTTTTGCTCATGTTATTTCCTCTTTTTCAACAATCACAACCTTGCACAATAATTACAACAAGATAAAGAAAATGGAGAAGGGCGTAATATAGCAAGCTAATTAGATGCCCTTTATGGTAAATTACATTTTTTTTAATGCAGTAAAAGTTATACGTGTAATCACTTCCGATGTGGATTGCGACGTTTTTGACAGCATACTGTCTTCATCTGTTGATCAGGTCGACTAATTACACATCCGACCGCACGAAATATTACGCTTCGCTGTGATTGGGTAATTTTGAACAGCCTGTTATTTGCGCATGTTCTTCTTTAGCGTTCTGCTGTCTTATGTTGTCGTGTTTCTCAATGCTCAGCGTCCATGCTTCTGATATTCCCTTTCCACTGTCACTGTTGATGTTCTTAGAGTGAAGTCTGAGGTAAATATGATTTTTAACCTTTAGATTGACAATTATCAAGGGAGCATGTGGAAAGGCCAGGTTGAACTTCTCAAGGGAATGGACGAACTCACAACGTTTACCTTGGAATCAACTCAGGTGGCGGCTTATGGAAAGCACTTGGTAAGGGTTGATAGAATAGAGCCATCCTCAAAATGGCGGCCGGAAAACTTCATTTTAGGGCCAAAACCTACGTGATCCGAACAGTGCATAGGGAAATCTTAAAATAAGTTGTCTTTTATGTAGGAATTTCATCAGTGTCTATAAAATCAATAGAACATTACATGGCCGCTTGGGGATACGAATTTTAGTATCTAGATACTTTCAACACTCGAAGATAAAATTCGTATTTGTGTTGCTTACTTATTACAGAGACTGGGAGTGTTAGCCACATTTGATGGGACAATGAAAATTACCTTGTACTGCCCTTACTGGATGGTCAACAAAACTGGACTTTATCTGGAATACAAGGTAGGAGAACATCTTCAATTCGCTGGTATCCCTTGATGCTTTAGGTCAAGGGAGGCACTCTGATAGCTCCAAAGTAAACGATTTTTATCTCCCTATTCTCAGAGACAGTTTTTCTCTCTACATAGCTATCCGGCTAGCTTCAATTCAGTCTCGACCCCCAGAGCTCTTCTGCAATACGAGAGTTCGAGATTGGCCTTAGTTAGTAGGCCATTTCCGACTTCCTTAAATCCTCACTTTGGAAACTTAGTCATGTGCAAAACCCTTGTTATAAAAATGAGTTACCAAATAAAAATATTTTCATATCAAAGGAGTTGCTCTAAGGCTCGTTTCAAGCAGAGGCACTGGGCAACTCGGAAATAGGCTTTTGAACGACGAAATGGACAGATTTAGTTTAGGAATCGTCTAGAAGGCATGCGTGGTTTATTGTTTCTCTCTTAGACTTGGTAAGTAACGAGTTGATATATTCCCTGTTTTTAGGCGCCTGATGACGAGACCGTTATACCTCATCCCGTTTCCTTGACCGAGCCAGTCATGTTTTCTCACCGAGGAAAAGGAGTGGTGAGAATTCAGTTTTCGTTCTATTTTACTTCTACCCACAGTCGCGTCATCCCTTGCTGTGACCTGTACTTTTTCTTTTCTAATCCATCCATAAATGGTGAGAATTGTCATAATTTCTCTAACTTAATGGTATTTGGCAGGCCTTTGTTCGTCTTACCGAGTCAGATTGGTCCAATAAATTTTCTCTGGACGCGGCAGGCAGTGGAGGAGCTCTAAAAATCACGAAGGATGGGAAATTGTACGAGGTATTTAAAAAAGCTTTAGTACTTGAACAAAGGAAGTTGTCATGTTCTTTGATTCTTGGTATTTTCATATTATTGCCGAAAGGTTGGAAGTGAAACAGCAAACCTCCAATTCTTGCTTTCTAACTCTACCGCACAGTGAGGTTCTAAATCTCCCAAATGTCACAATTATTTGCAGATTGGTATGCAAACAACTCTATCCTACTTCAGTTTAACCAAGATTGTGGAATTCACGCCGTTTAATCTGATAAATAATCACACAGAGGTAATGATTAGAATGTTTATTCATAGTTTCTGGTGTAATCAAGCTTGTTTTTTTCCGAATTCAACTCACAAATGCCTCGGAGGCTGCATTTTTGACCTCTCTGTAAATGTTCCTTTTTCCCGCTGTAGTACACAGTATCGCT